CGTATTTTTTGGAGTATAAGACTCTCCGGACTATAAGATGCACCTACCTTTTTGGGGGGAGGAAAACAAGAAAAAAAATCTGCCTTTGCCCATTCGCCGACACTCGTTTGCCACCGCCCGTTCGCGGCCGCTGCGGCCCAATTGCCATGGCCTGTTTGCCACTGTTGCGGCTCATTTGGCACTGCCTGTTTGCTACCACCTGTTTGCTGCCGCTGCGGTCTGTTCAGCGTGGCACATTTGCTGTAACCCATTTGGCGCAGCCCATTTGGCACAGCCCGTTTTCCACCGCCGTGGCCCATTCACTGTGGCCCTTTTGCTGCTGCAACAGCCCATTTGCTGCAGCCCACTTGCTATGGCCCATTTGCCATGGTCTGTTCGTTGCCGCTGCGGCCCATTTGCCACAGCCCGTTCACTGTCGCCGCGGTCCGTTCAGCATGGCTCATTTGCCACAGCCGATCCCCGCTGCCTGGAACAAGCCAAAAATGTGATGCGCAGAGGCTGAAAACAGCCGAAGAGTGGGGGCAGGTTGATGGGCAGGGCTTTGGTAACATTCGGTATATAAGACGCACCACAATTTTCACCCACTTTTAGGGGGGTGAAAAGTGCATCTTATACTCTGAAAAGTACAGTAGCTTTTATCAATGGGCTGTCAGTCTTTTAAATGCAACATAACACCACAATCAGGTTTAATATGATAGACTTACAGTGCCAGTATAACGGGCAACATGTATATACCGGTGTAATATAATATTATATATGTATGTATGTGAAAATATGTGCTAGTTTATTACTTATTTGGGTTTAGGGATTTCTTTTTTATTGATTGATTTATTGGGATGTATTCTGTGTTCTTGGGTGGGCTACACCAAGGGAGGCTCATTCAATTTAATTGTACATGTTGTGCATTGACAATAAAGGTTTAAATTTGAATTTGAACAAATAAGAAACATTGTACATGACACATTCAATAATTTTTTGTAGAGTTGATCAATTATTTCCAACATTTGTGATCCAACAGATATTTTACCCAGACTGTGTCAGCAACTGATTCTTTACATTTATCTCAGCAATAAAGAAATGTATGAAGTGTTATTCTGAGTTACAGCTGCATACACCCCTGTAGATCATGCATACAAGTTTTATAATTCACAAGGAACATTATATGCATTTCTGTGCTGCATACTTTCAAAGTAGCATCAGATAGCAAAGAGTCGCACTATTCTATATTTTGCTGCCTTCTATCCAGTGATTGTCTGGATTTTTCAAGATAGATATAAGGATGCTTTTTTAAAAAAGGATGTACTGTAATGTAGAGTTCCCTATTCTAGGTGCATTGGACCGCAGGGACCAGGGATGTCCATACATACACTTTTGGGGGGGGGGCAAACCAGGGGTGAAATCCAGCAGATTCTGACAGGTTCTGGAGAACCAGTAGCGGAAATTTTGAGCAGTTCAGAAAACTGTTAGCGGAAATTTTAAGTAGTTTGGAGAACCGGCAAATATCACCTCTGGCTGGCCCCAGAGTGGGGTGGGAATGGAGGTTTTGCAGTATCCTTCCCCCAGGAGTGGGGTGGGAATGGAGATTTTGCAGTATCCTTCCCCTGCCATCCCACCAAGCCACGCCCACCAAGCCACACCACGCCCACCAAGCCATGCCCACAGAACCGATAGTAAAAAAAATTGGATTTCACCACTGGGGCAAACATCAGATTAGGGGAAGGCTATCCTATACAACAGGTAAGATTAAGAGTGACTGCCAAAGCCTTACCTGGCAAATTGTTTTCCATGTAATTCTAAACAGGGTTGCTCAGAAGGATCCTTATTTCAAATCCTTATTTGGAAGAGAATGGTAAACCAATAAACAATTCTCCCTATCTGGCATTCATCTTCTTCTAAGTGGCAATTAAACACATAAGTAAGATAACAGATAATTTTCTGCTACAAAGCTTTACAAAGATCACTGCACCTACTAATTAGTAAGGGGGTCCTTAAGTGAATTACCAGGTAAGGATACAAGAAAGACAAGCAACTGTCTAGATTTCTCTTAGCAACAGCCTACTCCTCCCTTTCTTGTCTGCTTCTGAGGCCAGCAAAATAACTTTCTGCCAACACAGCCAGGTGGTTGTATTAAAGGGCAGGCCTTCCAGCAATAGAAAAGATGCCAGCTGCAATGCTTTGCCATGAAAATCAAGTCTGCTTTAGTTACAAGGCCAGCAAACGGGGCCATCCTTAGTTTTAACACAGGACAAGACAAAGAAATCTCTGGCTTTGCTTCTCCAATTGCTCTCCCTTATATGTGCATGTGGGGAGGGGGCCAAGTGGAGGAAACCGCCTGGAATGGCAGTTCAGCCAACAACCAAATTATCCCATCGTCAGATGACAGGAGCAGAAAGGCTCTGTGACTTGTCAAATGAGCTATTTCAGAACACGCGTCTAGCACTCTTCCAAAATAAAATTTAACCCATGTCCCAAAAGAGACCATGTCACAAATAACAAGCCTGTTGAGCAGTGCAAGGTAACACAAGGGAGGGAGCAGCATCTGATAATGAGCAGTCTCTGTCCTTGACTAATTCTGCAAGGGAATAGCAGCTCTAGCTGCAACGGCTACAACCAGCAGCATCCAGAAAGAAGTAGTGAAGTAGACAAAATCTGGCATTCCTTCCCCAACAGCAATGGCCCTTTTTGACAGAAACTGCAGCAATCTTATATAGGTAATCCTGGCTAAACTTCTGGAACCAACTTCCTCTGGGGCTCCAGTTGGCTCCTGACCTCCGCACCTTCCACTGCAACTTAAAGACATGATTGTTCAGCCTGGACTGGGGGGGGGGGGGTGTTAACATGTATTTTAACACGCTTTTATTGGATATTTTATTGTTGTGAGCCGCCCTGAGTCCTACGGAGATAGGGCGGCATATAAATAAAATAAAATAAATAAATAAACTATGGAATTAGGGTCACGGATTCTGTCACTGCACGACAGTCATAAAGCATGACATCGCTGACTTATGACCACGCTGACTTATGGCAGCAGTTGTGGCAGTTCCAGTTGTCATGGTTAGCTGAATCCTGTGTGATCCCAATGTCCCGTGGTCATGTGACTCCCGTTTGCAACTTCCTGCTGGTTTCACCACTGACTTTGCTTGTCAATAACAATTAAGTGAAGGTCACAAATGGCGATCAGATGACCATGGGACACTGCAATGTCCTAATTGCCAAGGTAGTTGACAAGTGCCTGAATCATTCTTACATGACTACGGGGATGTTGCGAAGGCCAAGCTTTCAAGGAAAAATTGCAAGTCTCCACATTCGCTATCGTAATTGCAAACGATCGCTGAACAAATAGTCGCTGATGGGGATAAAATCAGCAACTCTTAGCTGGAGCTGCCTGTTTCTTTCTCCCAACCAAACCATCTTTGTGGTTTTGGGTTCGGTAAACACAGGTCTAGTGTTAAGCACTCGACCTGAGTTTCCAAGTGAGGACTTGTGCTTGATAGTGTCCACAACAACCTTGTGTCAAGAGAAAAGGAAAAGTTTGATTTTAACACCAGAATAGCTAGAGATGATTTAAGGCATCTCAACAGCAGGATGGGGATGAGATAAAGGATGGGGAAAGTCTCACTGATGTGCAGTGATGGGGTTCTCTGCCCTAATGACAGTGGTGGGATTCAGCCAGTTCGCACCACTTCGGGAGAACTGATTGTTAACTTTCTGAGCAGTTTGAACTGGTTGTTGGAAGAAATCATTAGGACAGAGAACGGGTTGTTAAATCACTTGAATCCCACCACTGCCTAATGACCAGCTGGGTAGGTGTGGCTTGGTGGTCATGTGACCATGTGAGCGTGGCCAACTCAACGTCACTCAGGTTGATGGGTGTTTCACTTTAACTGTTACAATGTAACAAAGGTTAACCAGAGAGGCAGTTTCTGTAAGCAGGGCAATAAAGATTAGGCTAGAAACACCACCAGAACGTTTCCTTCCTGCCTTCCTTACAGGATTAGCCCTGTAAAGTGGGGGGGGGGGGAGAAACAAAATAAGATTTCTTCCAACGACCGGTTCTCCCAAATAGGTGCGAACTGGCTGAATCCCACCACTGCTGATGCGGCATCTAAAGGTAGTTGCGCTCATGGAGACCACCAGCCCTACGATTCTGGCAGCCCTATGGAATTTGGGCTGCAAAAGTCTAGCTGACCACAAGATGGCAGCAAAGAGACAGCGCAAAACGCAAATGTTTTTCAACCTGAGCAGCTTGAAGACTTCAATCCCCTGCATTCCCCACCCAGCATATTCTGGGAGCTGCTGAAGCGCACAGTCTCAGCTGCCCAGGCTGAAAAAACCTGTCCTCTGCCGCATCTCCTGATGAGGAGGATTTTTTGGCAGCCCATGTACGGTAGCCAGTCTCCATTGGGTTGCTTACGCTTCACTCATCTTGATTGACAGGTATGCAAGGAGGGCAGGACTCGAAGGGTGACGTTTAGACGTTCGGAATGCATAAACGTACAAATAGAAGAGGATGAGATTTGAATATCATTTGTTGTTTTTTTCCTGGGACAGAGACAAAACCCTCCCATTTATGAGAATGGCACGTTAGAATAACTATAAATGAGCTACAGGAGCAAAAATAGGAGCTGCTGCTGTTTGGATCGAAATAGCTGAATCCTTTTTTTGGGGCATGAGACAAAAGAAATATCCTTTCACATGTCAATTGAATAAAGACTCTAAAGGACTCTATACGATTCCTATATCTTGGTTGAAACGTGCAGAGAATGGACCGGCTCAAGGAACGCCGAGTTACAAGGCCACAGAAATGATGAAGTGGGCTAGTGTAAGATTTCATTGAATAACTCTCCTGTCAATATCATGGCGAGGCTGCCTATTGGTTGCTACAAGCGTACATGTAATTTGTGAAATCTTCCTCTCTATTGGCTACTTCTCCTAGCTGTTAGGTGGCTATTCTCGTGACTTTTCTTTCCTATTGGCTACGCTTTTCATGAGAGGCGGAACGTTCTTTTCAGTTTAGAACCCGGCTGCTGAAGGAGGGCATTGCTGTTGCAGCCCCGAAGAAAGGAGGCAAGAAGAAACTGTGGTTCCCTTTGGCCCTGTTTGGGGGCACTCTGGACGTCATGGAGGACGGTATCTATGGTAGGGCTCCCTAAGATTCTTCCATTGGGAAGCTTATAGAGGGGAGACAAAGGGGCAGATTGTGCCATTACGAGACCCGCCCAATAACTACAATAGGAAAAAGAGTGGGTGGACTGAGCCATTCAGTACCAGTTGCGTAGGGGGCGGGGCCGATCCTTACAAAGAGGGGTGAGGCTGGAGTAAACCATGCGAAATAAAAGGGGAATGCCGGGTCGGCCCGTTCCATAATAAGGGAGAGATCGAGATTTTATTTCATTTAATGATAAGGGTGCGATGCGTTCCATCGACTAAAGATATACATGAATCGGGCGGGGGTGGGTGGGATTTTTAGGCTATACCATGACAGGAGGGAGGGTGGAATGCACCATTGTCTGTGACTTCCAATTAGATAAAATGGGATGGGTCTGTTTAAGCGGCTCTCGAACGCGATGGAGGAGGGTGAGAATTGGCAACCTATTGACGGAATTGATGAGACGGCTCTAAAAAAGCACCGTTATAATTTAAATGGGAGGATGTACCATTCCTCGGAGGGAAGGGGCAGTTTGTGATTGGATCCAACCATGCTGCGAGGGGAAAAGGGGGGGGGAGAATTGTCTAAATACTGTAAATCATAGGCTCTCATCCTGTTTATTTTTAACGTGTTATCCTTGCTAATAATATTACACCTTATTTATTAATATTATTTAAATTTAAATGTGTGTGAGCTGCCAAAGGGTGGTTTAAAAAGTCTTGGTTAAAAACGGCGTTTTGCACGATTCGTTTTTAATCAGGTGAATTGGCTGCCCAGAATTGCCTCAAACTGTGAGACATATACATTTAATAAACAAATGAGTGGCATGTATATTTAATAAATAATAAAATAATTTATATGTGTCGGGAGTATTTCAGATTTTCATCTCCTCTGGGATCTTTACATTTTCAATAAAACAATTAAGCAACCCCCATTTCTTCTTTAGAACTGAATTAAAGTTTTTGTAACTCAAAAAGATTTTGGATATTATGCACTGCCCCCAACTTCTTTTTACAAAGAAACATAAAACATAAGAATTACTCAGAGGACTGTATGTGCCAATGCCCACACCTGCAGGCTGGCTTCATTATAAGTTCTTGTTCTGGGTGTGCCTCTGAGCTGAAAGCTGGACATCCTAGACTTAGAGGAAGTGGCTTTTGCAAAGGTTTTTTATTATTTTATATCTCTTGCTTTCCTACACAACATACCTGATTCTCTACTCATCTCATTTCCTGCTTGTAACAACCCTGTGAAGTCGACTATGCCAGTGTTAATGACTCAAAGGCACTATCCAGAGATCAACATTTGGACCTGTGAACTCCAGTTTCTTGACAGCTTGGTTCCTCTTACGCACACATTGTAAATGAATCTTGAATAACCACTTTAATGCTCGTATCTGCTAACAAGATTGGAATTGTTTTATGTCGGTCATAAGTCCTAGGCGGAAAGAGGAGTTCGATGCCGATGTAAACAACATGGACGATGAAAGAATGATAATAAGTATTTATACAACATTGAAGATTGGCATTGCACAGACTTGTCTGGCCCAAAGCAGAGAGGATAGATTCCAACTAAATGCTAGAAAAAAAATCCCTTTTAGCGATTGGATAGTGAAATCAGTTGTCTAACAAGGCAGGGGGGTTCCCATTGCTGGATGTGTTCAGACAATGGCTTAACTGCCATCTGTTAGATCTGGGTATAGACCAATGTTTTCAACCTCAGCAGCTTTAAGAAGTGTGGACTTCATCTCCCCATGCTGGAAGTTGCTGAGATAAAGGAACAATAGCAAAAAGCTGAAAAGATAACTTTAAGGACACAGGCGACATTATTATATAGGTAAATAAGGTTGAAACATTCCTTAAGCCCTGGGAAGCAAGATAGTATTGGCAAGAGATTTAGGCAGGTTTGATTCACTAAGATATAAGAGGGAGAGAAGGTAAAGCACAGCAAGGTTCTATTGTTACAACCTATCTCAATAAAATATAATTCTAGATTTCCTGTGGAATTTTTTGTTTGTTTGTTTGTTAATAATTTAATTGGAAGTTTTTAATAAGCGCAGTAAAAACTAATATAAACCAAACTAGAAGAAAGGGGAAAAGAAAAACTCAGAAGGTGCAAGAAAAAGGAAAAAAGAAAAGGCAACAAATAATTAAAAAGTAGCTTCCAACTATCACATCGACATATGCTAGTATACTGACTTTTCACTCTCTCTTAAAGTTACAAATAAAAACAAAAACTCTCTGCCTAACTTTTATTAATATGCAATCAAGAAATCTTCATTATTTCAATCCTAGTTCAGGAAGAAAGTCAGTTCAAAATCCAGGTCCTTTTTAAAAATTTGTCCTAGGTATTCCTACTTTGTTAATATCAGGTTTTTTCATCTATGCCTTCAAACTCTCTAATGTGTATGTTTAGGTAAAGGGCTTTTAAAAAGTTTTTCTCATCATCTAAAAGTTTCTCCATTGAAATCTGTATCTTTTCTGAGGTATTAGTTATTAATATTTCAGTTCATGCTTCAAAAATCTCTTTTAAGATAAAAGGTTATACCGAATTGCTCATTTAAAGTCATTTCTTATTGGACTTTTATTTATTTATTCACGTTTATATGGTCTCTCATTTCACAAAAGTGACTGGCCAACTTACAACACACTCCCTCTAGTATTCATTTGCAACCTTCATCAAGCCTCAGCTCCTAATAAGGGTTTAGTTTTATTTCAGTCATTTCCTGTGTGTATATTATTTAATTTATAGACTTGGTTTTCAAATCTTATAGCAAAAATAAACTCTATAGTCTCCCAATCTATTTAAAACTTTCTTAAATATTTTTTTTTTTTTGCTTTTTGCCAATTGTATATTATTTTAAATTCTCTGCTTAAAATTTCTTAAATCCAAGGAAGAAGGTAAAATTCACCAGGTGTCAAATTAGAGTTGCCATTTTGAAGGTCTCCAATATCGATAAAATAGTGAAATGAAACATTTCTGAATGTAATTCCAAAGTGAGTTCAGTTGGCTTAATACCTTTAGGAAAAGCTCTGCTGATATTTGACTTCGACCATGAGAGACCACTATTTTATGGTCTCCTCATAAAGAGCTCTTATGGGCAAATTCTGAAGCTCTTGTTCTTCAGTGAGATTCAAAGAACCAGTCTACATCCCATTCCTCACAGTGGTCCTTGTTCATGAACTTCAGTCAGCCATGACTGAAGAAGCTCTATAGAATCTGTTTCTGATCTGGTCTACCTTGAAGAGCTGATACTTAAGACTTAATACACATATTATTTGTCCTAGACTTACAACCATAATGGATCCTGCCCATTATGGTCGTAAGTTGTAACAGTCATAAACTAGTCATCATGTGATCAGCCCAATTTTATAACTTGTTTTTTCTTGCTGAAAACCAGAAGTAAATGCTGATTATCAGCAAAACATCATAAATTGCAGTTGTGACCATGGGAGGGGGAGAACCAAAAAGTTGGAACTTTGAACAATCGCTAAGCAACTGCTCAAAAATCAAGGACTACCTTTAGGTCCCCTTCTGATTATGTGATAATCTCACAAGTTCCTGAAATGGAGGCATGAATATGGAAGTGGACTCATTTGAAAAGACACCCCTGGCTTTTTCTAATGGTTCAAAGTGACAAGAAGAGTAAGCTTTCTTCAGTCTGCTTTCTTTCCTCCATTGCAGTGCCTCCAGATCTGACACCAGAGGAGAGGCTAGAGTTGGAGAACATCCGGCGACGGAAGCAGGAGCTGTTGGTGGAAATCCAACGCTTGAGAGATGAACTCAGTGAAGCCATGAATGAGGTGGAGGGACTGGAGGCCAATGAGGGAAGGTGAGGGATTCCTTCTCCCTAGAGAAAATTATCTAAGGGGTTCCCAATCTTGGCAACTTCACAACTCCCAGAATTCCCCAGCCAGCCTTGCTGGCTGGGGAATTCTGGGAGTTGAAGTCTACATATTGCCAAGATTGGGAACCACTGGTATAAAGACTGCTTTCCTATTAAGACATTATGGTTTCAAGAGAGGCTTTTCTGAAACTGTTCCAGGCTTCTCTGAACATATGAGTCCCTGAGTCATCTCAGGATATGCCTGTTCGAATTAGCGGCTGTTTCCTTGACTTCTGAGATTTTCTTTTAATATATAATACAAATAATGCAGCTTCCATTGATACTAGAGTATTTTTGAAATCTCTAAAATGTGGATGCCTGCGTTTGTGTCAGGTTCTTTATTTTTTTTTAAAGATGCCCTTCATTATTGAGGAGAGGTTTTATATAAATATCATTACAGGTAGGTTTTTTTTAGCAACCACAACTGGGACTAGCAACTCACTTGTTAAATGAAGTGATTGCAAAATGAAACCATAACTGTGCTTACAATATTACTTAAACTTTCCTTTGCTTTACAGACCTGCAAAGGTTGCAAATGCGATGATTGGTCATAAAAGTACTTTTTCATCACTGTTGTAACTGTATGAGGCAGTTGTTAAATGACTATTATCAGTATCTTAAGTATTCTTTGGAGATAAAAGGAATATCTTTGTAGAAGGAATGTCTTTATAAAGACAGTGCCTATTACTATTTGTGTGAGCACAGTTGAAACTCATTAAGTATACTACTTTCTTCAGCTGCATAATGTGTAGTCATGCACAGTTTTAACTGATGGAAGTGGAACAGTGAAATGAAAATCCACATAAGTCAATGACAAAAAGTTGTTTTATTAGGTTGCAGCCTTAATTGTAGGAAATATTAGGCTGAACTTCTTCCCTTGCCTAGGGGGAATCATGATTTTTTGTAAAGGCAGCTTTCTCTGTTCTGGATTGGAGAACTGAATTAAATATATTCTTCATGGCTACTTGTATTCTAATATGAGAACAAAGAGGTATTGTGAGATAGCATCATTCTTGAGAGACAGAAAATAAATGATTCCCAGAAAAAAGCTATTTATTTTAAATAGTAACACAAAGCCTCTGTTGCCCTGCACTGATAGCCCTGCCATGCCCACCTAACTTTCACTATCGTCTTCCTTCCGCTGTTGATAAGATGTGCTAGCCTTGCTCTGTGCGAGGCAGCTTCTGGCTGTTCCACGCTGTCTTCCCAAGGCCAAGCACACCCTTCTCTAAATTTTGTGTGTTTTGCAATGCTTCAGAAAGCCTGAGTTGGGGCTGAAATAGAGGCCCAGCAGTGGCTGATTGGGGCTATGAAGGCCCCAGGCCCCTGCTTTAGCCCTTGTGTCACCACCTCTGAGAAGTGTCATTGTGCAGGGTGGCCAAAAGAGCAGAGATGGAGAGAGAAGATAGGTAACCCCTTACCTTCCAAGGTTCAGGGCTGGGAGGGACTAATCTGGGAATGGTTTGAATCAAGTGGGTCCTTGCCTAATGTTTGACAGCATTTGATTAAAGATGGCAACAGAGCCTGCTGGTCATGTGTTGTCAAACTTTATGAGTGCATCGCTTAGTGATGGAAATTCTAGTCCCAATTACTATCATTAACCAAGGACTACCTGCGTATGTATTCAAAAGCCTAAATGAGCTTAAAATGTTGCAGTTCCTTTCTGTAAGAGTCAAAGGTATGATTCTTTGTCTTGGACAGTAAAACTCTACAGAGAAACCGGAAGATGGGGATGGGGCGTAAGAAGTTCAATATGGATCCCAAAAAAGTAAGTGAGTGAAGGGTTTGCATGTTATGATATCTAAAGATTAGTCCAAGGGAAAACAAATGTTTCCTGATGACCCAGGAATTGCTGCGAATGAGAAATCATGATTTTCTTCCCCAGGTTAGGACAGAATTATATGATTGAGGGGCAGGAAGTCCAGTTGAGAAACCCAGAGAGCCAGTTTGATCTAATGGTTAGGCATCAGGTTAGAAAGCAGGAGACTAAGTTCAAGTCCTACCTTAGTCATGAAGACCATCTGCATGACTTTGGGCCAATCATTCTCTCAGCTGAACCACCCTCCAGGGTTGTTGTTGTTGTTGTGGGGAAAATAAGAGAAGGAAGGTCTGTTTTACATGTTTACCACATTGATTTATTTGTAAAAATCCAGAAAGCACACACACACACACACACATATACACCTATACACAAACTAACCTGTCTGAGATTTCTGAGTTAAAGATAATTTGAGGATGGGAACATATTTGTGTTTGTTCTACATTTTTTGACTTCACTGCCTTTTCCAGGGAATACAATTCCTGGTGGAAAATGAACTTCTGCGCTCCACACCTGAGGATATTGCTCGCTTCCTCTACAAAGGGGAAGGCCTCAACAAGACAGCCATTGGGGACTACCTTGGCGAGAGGTGAGCAAGAACAGCATTGATGGGAGGAGCAAATGAGAAAGTGAGAAGATTGCAGCCATTGATAACACAGTGCAGATTAAACTACAGTATAGAGCTTCCTGGGACACTAGAAAAGAGCACAGATACTGAAGTGGGATAGATTAAATTTATTCAGAAAGGAAGGGTGAGAGAAAACCAAATTTGGGTATTTTAGAATGAATTCTAAGCAGATTGAAGAGGTCACGAGGGAAGAAAATAGAGTAAACATTTCAGCGATTGAGATGATAGGAATAACTGCCTTCAAAGGGACAGGATTAATACAAACTCTCTTAATCTTTTATTCAGGGAGGAGTTTAATATTGGTGTGCTCCATGCCTTTGTTGATTTGCATGAATTTACTGACCTCAACCTAGTGCAAGCACTCAGGTGAGTCTGGAAATCTTCAGCCATCTACTATATCCTCATTAGCTACAGTAGTTTTCCAACAATTTGGCTGCAGTACCTCTTGTTCCTATCTTGGGGGGGTGGGGTGATAAGAGCAAGAATTTACTGTTTCTCCTGCTAAAGGGGAAGCAGAGCTTGCCTGAAGCCACCACTTCTGTTCCTGCCTCACCGATTTCAACCCTGTAGGCGAATGGGCATCAATTCTCACAGCCTTTCCTTTAATTTTGTAAAAGAAAGAATGCCATCCTTTGGCATTTGCCTTATTTATTATACTTCCCTATAGCAAATCTATACAATAGTCTATAATCTATACTATGGTTTCTCTATGTCACTACACTCATGGTATGTTTCTATATAAATGGACGGAGAATCCTTTGGCTTTCCATATTTAGTTATACTTTATCTCCCAACTGCATAGTAGTAGTTGTAGGTAATGCATCTCAGGCTAATTATAGTGCATGAGACCAAACCCTATAAAAACAAATGCATAGAAAGTCAGAATTGAGAAGACAGCACAGACAGATGAGGCTGTCTCCTAGTTAGCTGCTGCAAGAAGATCACACACATAGACTATAAACAGTGACATAACAATGTGGCAATAATGAGCATTGGAATTTCTGCAAGAAATAAGCACTTGCCTGTAAGCCAGAACTGTTGGGATCCCAAAATATATAAAATAATAGAAAATGAAGAAGCTAAAGTGCTCTGGGACTTTGGAGTTCAAACAATCACCTGCCATGTAATCCCCCAACTTTAACAACTGTTGAGAAGACAAAAAAAGTCTGGGTAGTGGACAGTGAAATAGCTGAAGGCAACAGAAGAGAAGAGAAAGAATTGGAGAAAAACATAAAATTCTAAGACTTGCAAGTAGAAATAGAACAACTGTGGCAAAAAAAATAAATAAAGATAATACCCATAGTGATAGGCTCCTTGGGTGCCATCTCAAAACATCTGAAGCAGCACTTCAACACTATGGGCATTGACAGAATCACTATCAGTCAGCTGCAAAAAGCAGTCTGTCTTTGAACACCTTTTATCCTGCAACAATAGCCTTGATATCATCAGACAATTGCATCTGCCTCTCCCAGATCCTTGGGAACATCTGGCTGACTGTGCAATGAACCACAATAATTTATTAAATGTATGTCACCTGACATATAAATAGTTTACAGTTGCTAAAACATATAAAAACAAAGAACAGTAGAAAACTAAACATACAAAAACAATACAGGGAGGAAGGAAAAAAGGAAAAAGTCAACCTCTCCGAATGAAGAATGCAGAGCCTACATTTGAATTTGTTTTCTAAACATGAAAAATTTGTACTTTTAGATGGATGGGGGGGGAAATTGAAGTGATCTCCCATGATGAGGATCACTTCAGCCTTTGCTAGGTATAGGGAATGCTGAAAATCAAGTACAAAGTAATGAAAGAGGATAGAAAAACACAGGATGCAAAACATCCCAGATATGGAATCAATTTAAAGAACATATCCAATACAGGTAGTCCTTGACTTACAACCACAATTAAGTCCAAAATTTCTAAGCAAGACAGACTTGCCCCACTTTTACAACTTTTCTTGCCGGAGTTGTTAAGTGAATCACTGCGTTTCTTAAGTTAGTAACACGGTTTTTAAGTGAATCTGACTTTCCCATTGACTTTTCTTATCAGAAGGTTGCAAAAAGTGATCCCATGACCCTTGGATACCGCAACCATCATAAATATATGCCAGTTGCCAACCGTCTGACTTTTGATCATGTGACCATAGGGATGCTACAAAGATAGCAAGCATGAGGAATGGTCATAAATCATTTTTTTCCAGAGCCATTGTAACTTTGAGTGCTCATTAAAAGATGGCTGTAAATTGAGGACTACCTGTATTTCAGATCAGACAAATAAGAACTTCCCCTGTGTCTTCATTCATGGCTTCCCATTCCTCTTTGCAGGCAGTTCCTGTGGAGTTTTCGATTACCAGGAGAAGCCCAGAAAATTGATCGTATGATGGAAGCCTTTGCTCAGCGGTACTGTCTGTGCAACCCAGGGGTCTTTCAGTCTACAGGTACAGATTTTTTGAGAAAGAGAATGGGGGCCTCTTTAGTTGTGAACCACAAACCTTCTTTGGATTAATGAGGAATGTGGGCAGTATTTGAATCAAACACTGAATATTGAGTACCAGGACATTCCTGCCATTTATTTCCCTGTGATTTCACTGGTATTTGCTTGCGGAGCATATTTTTCCTGCATACAAGAATTAAAGACTCATTAATGTCTATAAAAGTACAAAGCTTCAAGAGAGCACTTTTTTCAGCGTGAGAGCCAAAGTCCCTCCAAAGAAAACTTATTAAATTGTATGAAAAGTTCCAAAATACTGGCTGATCCCTCCACTTTGTCACACGTTTTGCATGCTCTATCAAACACATTGTTCTTTGAATACAAAAAAACAATGATTCAATAGCTGGAAGAGATGAGATCTCATTGTCCTAATAAAGGAGAATATTTGTAGATCACGGTTGAAATGAGGAGTCCTTGGTGCTCTCTGAGCTTGGTTGTTTTCTTGCAGTCACTAGCACTGATGATTTACCTAGCTTGGGTAATAAAACATCTGCAAGAAAACAACCAAGGTAAGAGAGCATCAAGGATGCCTCATCTCATTGTCTGTTACTGCATCAGTATGGTGCACTGCATCTGGGTTCTGGTGGGAAAATAGGAGTTGGGAATACACAGCCTTGAACTTTAGATACATCTTGTATGAAAGGGTAACTAAGAAATAAATGTTTATCTGAAAAGCAGGGTTTCAGGAAAGAAGGAAATCTTCATCTAGGCCTCAGTTGGCCAAATTCGTTCTGTAACCATAGCTTGTTTACCCTGGAGTGTAGTGAAATTTAGGATCCGTTTCAAGGGATCAATTTTACCCTGCAGAATCAGTTATCAGATTGTCTTAAATGGTGATCTTCGTTAGAATCTCTGTAAAGATGGTGCTAGTTGTTCTGCATTGTGCCACAACCTACTTTAATCCATTTAAAGTACTATAACAATAATACAGTTATAGTTATCCTTTGAGCCACAAACCTATTATCATAAGAGCTAAGTATTCTAAAAACTACTTTTTAGAAATAACTTGTGTAGAATAAGGTGAGAATACGAGACCAAATTACATATAGGTAATCCTTGATTTACAGCAGTTTATTTAGTGGCCATTCAAAGTTAACAACGGAACTGAAAAAAGTGACATGTCCATTTTTCACACTTACAATTGTTGCAGTATCCTCATGGTTACATGATCAAAATTCAGCCACTTGGCAGCTGACTTATATTTATGACGATTGCAGTATCCCTGAGTCATGTAATCACCTTTTGCAAACTTCTGACAAGCAAAGTCAATGGGGAAGCCAGATTCACTTAACAACTGTGTTATTACCTTAACAACTGCAGTGATTCCCTTAACAATTGTGGCAAGAAAGGTGGTAAAATGGGGCAAAATTCACTTAACAGATATCTCGCTTAGCAACATAAATTTTGGGCTTAATTGTGGTTATAAGCCTATATATTCGGATCACATTATGTTTGAATATTTTGTTCAAATATTCCTTTAAAAATACTTAAACACATCAGAGAAAAGCTTTGCATAGCCTTCTTTCTCTGAAGCATGTAGGTTGCTTCATGCAGGAAGTATTTCTAAAATATTTTCTTATGTAGCCTGTTAAGTAGTTCAGACCGGAAGCACAATTAGGACTGCTAACTCAATTTTTATTCTAAGGTTACATTAGCAGAATCTTGCAAGCCTGAAAATAATTTCTCCAGAGCTTTACTTTTATTCTGCTGAAAACCAGGGAGGGTCCCTTCTTATATATTTTCCAGGTCACCTTCGCTTCAATAGGCTGAGATAACTGTCTAGGCTGCGGCTCTTCCTTCTATCTCCCAGGGTCATTGCCACATTCTATTATAGAGTAGCCTGAAATGGTCCTATCTAAAGACTCTGTAATAAAATACTCACAGCATTTCAGAACAGCTGAAAAGATGAAACAAATGAGCTGCAGTTCCATAACTTAGATTCCCTCAAGTATTTTTCCTATAATGATTTTATCCTCTAAATAGAACTTGAAGAAAAACCTGTATCTCATATCTACTCAGATGCGTAGAAGTAAGCTCTGAAATGCTTATTGAGTTCTTTGTTCCCCCAGATACGTGTTATGTCCTCTCTTTTGCGGTGATCATGCTAAACACCAGCCTTCATAATCCCAACGTCCGAGACAAGCCCACAGTTGAGAGGTTTATCACTATGAACCGTGGTATCAATGATGGAGGTGACTTGCCGGAGGAGTTGCTGCGGGTGAGAAGTTAGCAAAGTGAACACAGGGCTTGTTTTTTAGCTAGATGATTCTCTGGTTTGAAGGCTAGTGGGAGGGAGGAAAGAAACCACCTTTTGTAGTTGGTTTTTTTATCATTTCAAACATTTTCTGCTCAGTTTTGAGGTACTTTTATATAGGATTTCTCAGCCTTCGCAACTTTAAGACATGTGGACTTCAATTCCCAGAATTCCCCAGCTAGCTATACTGGGGAATTCTGCAGGATTGAAGTTGACACATCTTAAAAGTTGCCGAGGTTGGGAGTCCCTATTCTCATACCTTGTTTTAACATAATGCTATTACTGCGACTGCAATTTCTTCTACATTCATTTTAAATACTTTGCTTTAATTTGTAAGTGTGTTTCATTTGTAAGTTTCGAAATTATTTTATCCCCTCCATTGTATAGTCAATCAAGCATGGTCACTGTGCCATGGAAATTCAAACAGACACACAGGCACATCTTTTTTCTTGCCAAATTGGAAAATAATAGAATTCCTGTCTGTAATTCCTCTCCTTCCTCCCTTCCTGCTAGAATCTGTATGACAGCATCCGTAATGAGCCCTTCAAGATCCCAGAGGATGATGGGAACGACTTGACACACACATTTTTTAACCCCGATCGCGAGGGCTGGCTCCTCAAGCTGGGTGAGAGGCGCCCCCCCTGTTTCCCCTTTAAACACTATGGCCTTTTCTCCCCTTCCCCGCTACCCTTCCCCCTGTCCTCTCCCACCACCCCTACCCCACGATCTTTGCACGCCTCTGCACTCTCCTCTCTTCCCCCCCACCTGTTGTGTCATTTAAAGCATGACCTCTCTCTTCATCAGATCAAAGGGATCCTCCTGAAATCCACCCTGATGTCCCTCCCTTTCCCATTAACCAAATATATATATATATCTATATAAAAACCCATGGGGATCCATCGAATTGCAGAGGTCTCCCTTTTTCTCCCCGCCTCCCAGTTGAGGTGGATCTTCTCTGACAGATGATGAGAGGGGTCTGCTGGGATTTTTGTGAATTGCCTTTAAAAGCAGGCAAGTAACTGGAACCCCAGTTTCAGGCCACTGAAAGCCATATCTCTGGCGTCTGATATTTCGCCATTATTGCTGGTACCTTTTCAAACCTATTGGATGCCTCTATAAGTCAGGTGGGGTGGAGGAGACAGGGAGATTAAAACAATGGAATATTCCAGTCTTAAATCTCGATTCATAGTCAGATCATGCTGTCTTTACTTTTCCACACTATACAGGGCAATTAGTAGTACTACCAGTTTAACTTCTGTCATAAAACATAGTGTAGATAAAAATGCACATTGTAGAATAATTCTCTACTCTTGAACTACTTTGTAAACCAGAGACAAAGAATTCCTCCTTGGACAAGGAGCATGCAGCTTTATGATATCATTGTTAGGTTGAAGCAAGTGGAATAGTACTCTTGACAAGAGTGAGGCACGAAAAGGTGAGCTTTTAGACCCTCAGGGAATCTTCCTGTCCATCCAAAGTAAGCCAGGTGCAATATAAGGTCCAAAGCAGGCAAGGCCAACTCAGATCCAGACTATAAGAAATCCAAAGTGACGTCATAGAGTCAAAAATGGTATAATCCTTGGGATCAGCTGTTTAAAGTGATTGGATGGGACTCTGATCACTGAGTCCTGATTTCCTACCAGGAGATTGAGATAGAATAGTGCAGATAATCCTTGATTTACAACTATTTGTTTAACAATCGTTTGAAGTTACAACAGCACTGTAAAAAGTGACTTATTGACAGTCCTTGCGTTTATGACCATTCCAGTGTCCCCATGGTCAAGTGATCTAATTTTGGGTGCTTGGCAGCCTGCATGCATTTATGATGGTTGCACCATCCCAAATTCATATGACCACCTTTTGTTGTTGTGACCCAGGCCCAAGTAGGTAGTATTAGAAGCAAACAGTTCCAAAACAAACAGACTTTATTAGAAAAACTGAGAATTAACTCATTCTTAGCGTAGTCCAAACTAAATTAAAACAAATTCTTCATAACACAAATTCTTCAGTCTAATCACCAACCTGAGTATAATTAGGCAAACTGCCAAAGGCTTCTCTTGGCAAAAGTTCAGAAGCAGAAGACACCAACTAGAGATAAGTGCAGCAAGACAAAAACAAGTCTATCAATGTTGTTTTCCGACAAAGAGCCCAAGAGCCGTTGCTGGTCTTTTAAGCCTTATGGGAGGAGCCAATCATCTCTTGGCCCTACTCTCGCGTCGTCCTCTTTGCTGTAGCTGCTCTTGCCTTCTGGCAGCTCTCCTCATACATGCACTAGGAACAGGCTCCTCCTGTTCCTCTGCCGCTCTACTGTCAGCCTCTGGAGGCTCCAAAGTCCGCACATCACTCCCTGATGGCCCTGGCCCCATCTCTGCCTCTGACACAGAGCCCTCATCCGGGCCTTCCCCAGCCTCCAGGACTGGCCCCTGTTCTTCCTCAGCCTCATCGCTGTCCGACTCCACTGCCAGCTCCGCAGGCTGCTAGCGGACCACAACATTTGTGATCTTCCCAGCCAGCTTCCAACAAGCAAAGCCAAGGAGACGCCATATTCACTTAATGACCGTATGATTAACAACTGGGGCAAAAAGGATCATAAACCTGGGCACAACTCACTTAATGACAGAAGTTGGAAATCCAATTGTGGTTGTAAATTGAGGACTATCTGTAGGTGCTTTATTTTGCTCTTCTATGTTCTGGTTAGAACTTAAATCAGGGTAAACATTTCTGTTTGTTCTTTTGCTCTTGTAGCAAATCTTGGCTTTGGAGCAGAGAACAAGTTAAGGAATAAAAGCATACAAATGGAGGTGCTTTCACACTTGCTAGTAGAAATAAACCAGTTTTAAGTTCTTCCACCAAGGATGTGGTTGTTTCCTTCTACATCACCCTTTCTTGTGCTTTAGTAGATCAACACTAGAATGTAGCGTTTGCTGTAGGTAAAATATTATTGCATCTATCCATCTGTCCTGAAATAGAGCAGAACAGATGGACAGTAAAAAGAAGAGGAAGGATAGTGTGGCCCAAACATTGTATGTTTAAGGTGGAGAAAACGAGAAAAGCAATATTTGGGCAAGAGGGGGGGGGGGGGGAGAGAATAGAAGCTAGCCTAGTCATTTTCCTCAGAGAAGTTAAATGGACAGTGAATTTTGAAGAGCTATGCTTGGAAACTGAATTCTTGGCTTGATTAAGATGCAGCTTGCTGGACAGGCCAGAACTCTTGGTGATTTAGTATCTACCTATAGAAATGAGTGATTAGCAAACTATTGTTGCAATCATTTTTGCCTCCCTGCGGAGGCCATTATATAGCAAAGTTGGTTGCATCATGGTTTGCAAATGTCACCTAAATCTTTACAACAAGGGTGTCCAAGCTTGGCAATTTTAAGATCTGTGGACTCTCAAAAGTTGCCAAGATTGGACACTCCTGTTTTAGAGGTAGGGTTTTCTGTAACCTGATTTAAAAGGCCTTGTCATTTAGCAAAGCTATGCCTATCCCATTTATACCCATCCCCATACAATTTAAAACCTTCCTCCCTCTGCCTGTCCCATTTTCCTATCCCATTGCCCCCAAATGCCTATGTCTGTGTTGGAGGATTTTTGATTTGACCATGTACTTCTACCTTATGTTGATGTAACTTGTTCTCCTTTCTCTCTCTTCCTCTCTCTCTTCCTCTCTCTTTTTCTCTTCCTCTCTCTCTTTCTCACCCCCATTCTCTCTATCCTGACTCCCCTGGTCCCTTGCCTTCTCTTCTCTCTCTTTGCTCCCTTCTTTCCCCACCACTGCTACCCTTCCCCCCTCTCTCCTCCACCATCCCACGGCACGGACTACATTTGTTCTACTGTCTGAATACTGCCCCCAAACCAGGAGGTAGGTGAGAGGAGGGGGCTTTTTGCTTTGCAGCTGACATCTGGTTTGCCTGGTGCATTTTGGACTGGAAGTGGGTCTGTGGTTGGGCTTTAGGGCATGGAGGGGTGGGAAATGTTGTAATATCAGTTGTAACGGGGTTCAGTGGATCCAAAATAATGTGGAGAAGATATAAGGAACTAGCATTCTCTTCACCCCTAGAATGATACATGTCTTGATGCAGGGGTGAGCATCCATTTTCTGTTGAGTATTCTATCATTCCCTCAGTGATCGTTCGTTTGGGACCATTTGCTAATTGGAGGGTGGGGCTGCAGCAAAAGCAGTGGGTGGGGGTACCCATTCTCTCTTTTTGACATCCCCTCCATCCTTCCCTTTCTGACACTTTCCCTTTTCTCTCAATCTGTTTCCCCCTCCCCCATTGCAGCAAGCCACCAGGTAATAGACACAGCTGTTGACAGAAGTCTGAATTGATCATGCTTATAGCTTTAGGGCAGGCTGCATACAATGAAACTGTGGTGCCACTGGAAGGGAAGGACAAAACGTTAATGAATTGAGAGGTTGAGCAAGTTTTGTGGGGTGGGTGAGAAAATTTCATCTCCCCAAGGCTTTGCAATTACTCTCATACCTTCAGTCCTATTACCACCATATTCAAACAGTGCAATTGTAGGTATTTTTGAGAGGTATTCAGATAGGTTGTGAATTGTCCACAATCTGCATGTCATAAATAGTCTACCTGTCTTAATGGATTACTCTTTAAAAGCAGGCCTACCCTTTTCCCCCTTATTAAAGCGAGCGAGAGAGAGAGAAGGTGGTTGCCACAGAGCATAGATTCTTGTACTTTTTAATACTCATGCAGATTTCGAGATGCAACTTCTGTTGAGAGGCAGTTATGGATGTCAACCTTCAGGCTGTCCTTAGCTTCCCAAAAGTATCTGCCTGGCAATTGTCGGAAGCAGCAAAGACTGGGTTACGTGGATTTTTGGTGTGTTCTGAAGTTCCTCAAAGAGTATTTTGGCATCTCGTAGCTTTGTCCATTTCCACTTGAGAGGCTAAATGCTCTTTGAAATTACCTTAATTGAGGACTGCCAAAAAAAAAAAAAAAGGATTGAAATCCTTATCCAGTGATAAACCAGATTTGCACCCATGCACATGTACAGATTAGCTTTGCCTCAAGCTGGGAATGACTGTTGGCTTTGCAACAAATTTGAACTTGTATCTTGTTTCAAGCCTAGAGCAATTGCTTGCTTTGCATGCTAAAAGCACTGCTTTTTTAAAAAAATGTAGGTTGAGTTCAAAAGAATCAATTGCTTATGCAAAAGCTGTTTCCCTCTGGAGTTGAGAACTTTGTTTAGAGAGGCTAGAAATTTCTCCCAGACTCCTCACAGTGACCTTGTTTAAAGGAGATTTGTTTCTCAGACACAGCTATGCTTCGTTGGAGCAGCTTGTCTTAAGTCAGGAGTATATATGCTTTTTAGAGTGTTAATTAATACTCCGTGATAACCCTGATATTTAGTTGCTAAAACACACATCCAAATTGTCTCAAAGGTGCTTTTTCAGAAGGCAACTGGACTTTCTTGTTTTTCTTTGAAGACGTTATCCCCAACAGCCTGAGCCTGTGTTCAATAGTGAAGGGGGATACAGGGCAGAAAACATCCTGCAGAAAGCACAGCTTCAATTTCTCAATGACTAAGGTGACCCTGAGGACACAAATAAACCTCCAAGTGGCCTCAGTGACTCTCTAAAAAGAATGCAAATAACCAACTGTTGGCAAGAAATACAAATCCTTCCCTTCCATACCATCCAGTCAGAGCTGAAGAAGCTTCTTGGGTGAAAAGCGAGACATCTTCAAAGAAAAACAAGAAAGTTCAATTGCCTTTTGAAAAAGTGCCTTTGGGATAACCTTGACCTGGATGACTGAGAATCTCCATAGACACACGTCCAAATTGACAATAAATTAAAACTACTCCCATTATTATAAGCTTCAGGACAGCCTTACAAATCTTGTCATAAAAAAGATCTTGAATTGTATCCATTCTCAAGTTTACATTAAAAAAAATAGACAGTAATTGGAGTCCCTCAGTGCTCATAAAATAAATCCATTGTTGGAAAAGGTACTGTTTTGCAAACTCCTAGAATCCTTTCCAGCTGTGTTTCATTACTTTGACTCAGTTTTGTGCTCTTTTTGTCTAGTTTTCCTTCCCCCCCCCCCCCTTTGTGTCTTACGTTGTTTCTGAATTCTTTATTGCATTGGCTTTGTTCATAAGCATGGCTTCCTACCCCAAAATATGAAGATAGAGTATGTTTAGTGACCAAAGTAGACAAAGATGTAAAATGAGAACAGATTCCCCTTCTTGTTTTCAGGAGGACGGGTGAAGACCTGGAAGCGACGCTGGTTCATCTTGACTGACAACTGCCTCTATTACTTTGAATACACCACAGTTAGTACAGTTTCCCTCTCCTGCCCATCCTGCACTCCTCCTATTAGCAAGTGGGAATCTTAAAGAGTCCTAGAGGTTGCAATTCAGGGAATCAAATGGGCCAGTTGGGCAAGAAGGCTTGCAACAACAGGATGGTAGTCTAGGAACAGTAGCCCACTCGGAACAGAGAAGTTGCTCAGGAAATATTACATTTACAAGAAATATGTAGGCAGAAAGAGGGCAGGATACAGCAAACTGTTCCCCTAAACTCTGCAAGATTAACAGCCAATTCATAACTGCTCCATGCATGGTTTTTATGGTTATAACCAAAATCAACAGTATTTCAAATACAGGAGCACCAGTGCTATTCCAAGTCCTACAACCAAGTGCTGTAATAGATGAGTACATTATGAGAAGCTAGGCAGCCACCTAGTATGTCACACTGATGAAGAGCTGGTTTCTCTGGATTAAGACTCTAATCTGCTTTATGAAGTCTCTGAAGTCATCAGAGATAATTATTGTAAAATCAAATCTGGATCGGTCACCAGGACCAGAGATTTACTCTTCTGAGCTGTCAGACTTGTGCTGGAGCCCATCCTCAGGGAACTTCTCTGTACTGGAATATATGCTTTGGTCTATTCTATGAGTCGTATTTATGTGGTGCCTTCCTATTGGCTGGTTGGTGTGTTGATGGCTGGAAATTGGCTGAAGTTTCCTTGTGCTGCCAGGCCCTTGTGGAAGGGCCCTAAACTGGTGGAAAATTAGCACTCCTGTTAACTGATAAAGGGACCCTTTTCCCAGGCTTCAATCATTTCCCTGGCTAGCACACCATTCAGCCAATGGGAACGCACCACATAAATGTGACTCAAAGAATAACCCAAAGCACCTATTCCAGTAGAGAGAACTTCCCTGAAGATGGGCTCCAGACAAGTCTGAAAACTCAGAAGAGTAAATCTCTGGTCCTGGTGACTATCCCAGATTTGATCTTGCAACATTATCCTGGGACACGTGTATTTGCTTTCATTTGTAAGATATTATCTTCACCCTTGATTTTACCTTCACAACTGCTTTGTGAGGGAGTTCCAGTTGACAAATAATTGCAATAGCACTTAGACTTATATGCTGCTTCACAGTGCTTTACAGCCCTCTCTAAGCGGTTTACAGAGTCAGCATATTGCCCCCAGCACTCTGGGTCCTCATTTTACCAACCTTGCAAGGATGGAAGGCTGAGTCAATCTTGAGCCAGTCAGGATTGAACTGGCAGTTGGCACAGTCAGCCTGCAATACTGCATTCTAACTTAGTGTGCCTTCCAGACACATTGAGAATAGCGCTGTGAGAATTTCCATTAGATATTAATATTAAAAATTCTAGGAGCTATAATCCCAAATTAGGGAGACTAATTAAACTTGACCCTCCAAGAGATTTCCTGGAACAGATGCTTTCAATGCCCTACCTTTCCTACCTACCCAGATTATTGGGCCTATTCTGTTTCATTCATATTTTTATGACTTTTTAGGATAAAGAACCAAGAGGCATCATCCCATTGGAAAACCTAAGCATTCGGGAAGTAGAAGACCCACGGAAACCAGTAAGTGGTGCTGCATTATAATTGCTTACAGCATTGCTAAAGTGGCTGCTTGCTGGATATGATTCATGGTTGGCCATGTTTCATTTGCAGAAAAATTTATATTGTCACTTTTCTGATTGTCTGCCTTGGACCAACAGTCCTCAATTAAAGCTTGGGCAGGCAGGCAGGCAAATAAGGCAAACTTTGAAGACACTGGATAGCCAGAGAATTAGCAAAAGCTTTTTTAAAAAAAATTCTAGGGGAGATCATTTGCATACTTCATTTACCTCTGTTTCATATGGTTCACAACAAGCTCAGAGAGCATCAAGGGCTCTACAGTTCAACCCTGAACTACAAGTATTCCCTTTTATTTCCCTTCTCAAAATATTCTCTTTTATTTCCCTTCTTTGTACTCCCAAATCTTCTGGAAGGCATTTTCAAGAACCATTTGCAAAAGGATGGCCTTTTAAAGGCTTTCTCTTCCTTTCATCACTCTTATTTTATTTTTGTAGAATTGTTTTGAACTCTACATTCCCAATAACAAGGGCCAGCTAATCAAAGCCTGTAAGACTGAGGCGGATGGACGTGTGGTTGAGGGGAATCATATGGTCTACCGCATCTCGGCGCCTACACAGGAAGAAAAAGATGAGTGGATTAAATCCATCAAGTGAGAATAAGACTTTATTTTTTTTTCAGGATTCTTGATTCCCAGCTCTAGCTCCTGATAATCCACTTGAAATTCCAAAACTTTATTTAGCAGAAAGCAACTGATTTAACTTCGGTGGAGATTAACCCAAACTTTGGCACAGAACCTTCAGAACATGTTATGATATCCATCCCATAAATCTTGAAATTTCCCCAGAATTTGACAGCCTACTCTGACTTAATAAGATTTGAGAGATATTCTTTTTTTAAAAAAATCTGTTCAATATTGGGACACACAGATTTTGTCTTAAGCAGGAGTCCCAAACCTGTGAGCCCAGGAGCCCAACCCTACTGGGCTGTGAGGGGTTTGCAACCAGGCTGCGGAAACGGCCAGCGAGCACCCGCACACTCACTTGCACAAGCAGCGGGTGAGCACATGCATGTGCACTCCATTTGCATGCGGTAGGCTCATGTGCACGCCGTTCACACAAATGGAGCGCTGGCATGTGCACATGCGCTTGCTCGCCACTCGTGCGAAACTATGCCCTTCCTCCCTCACTGGTCCACAAAGACGGAAACTTTCGGGAATTCTGGTCTTAGGGATCTCTTTTTTCTGCTTTTTTTTATCCTGTCTGTTCTTCTCAGTTAATATCTGTCATGCAGAGATATTATTAAATTAGAAAGGTTTCTTCTTTCCAAGAAACCTTTGGTTACATAGTTCAGAAATGAAGAAACTGATAGAATATTCTTAATATAGTCTTTAGAGATTTTGAAGAAAGAGGAAGAAAAACTTGATTTGGTAATCTTAGAAGTGATTCAATTATGCAAAGTATTGCGGGGAAGGCTCAGTTGAGGTCCCAAGTTTTAATCTTTCCACATGTGTTAAGAATAGGAACAGTCCAGAGAGGCTTTTATTATGCAGTTTAATAAAAGCTAAATGTTTCACTCAACATTCTGAATAGGACATAAATTCATAGTGGGGTTCTTGGAAAACCTAGAGCTAGTAAGCCAAAAATTTAATGTCGTAGAAGCGCCACTTCTCTGCAGTAGCATAGAGAGGTGGATAGGTGAGTAATGAAACATCTCCGATCAAAATATTATAGCCCCTGAAGCTTAGATACGTCCAATTTGCTTTCTTAAAAAATAACTTAGTAAGTAACCTACCGTATTAAAATCTTTAGTCAAAACTTTCTCATTTTAATCTATTGGTCTGAGGCTGCATTTCCTCATTGCAGTGCATATAACAAGATTGCCTAAAGAGCACATCTTTTGTTGTGACTTAACATGTCAACAAGTATGTATAGACATGCCCTTTATTTCTTTTCCTCCCTCTTTTTTTTCTCATTTCCTTGTTAAGCACTTGTTTAGACCACTGATTTGGTTGAAGGGTTAGTTGGCGTGGGAGTATAACACAATGGGTGGAGCTAATAGAGTTAAACTGAGCTAAAAAATATTGTGGGAGCCCAACCACTATCTTAACATGTTCTGTGGCGCAAAGGCATAATATGATATAATTTCAGATTGTAGCTTGTCCTGTGAACACAGAAATTCTCTTGACAGCAAACTAGGCTTGGAATGTGGTGCGTTACATAAAAGCAACCATTATAATATTAATGGCTAAGCAGGATTTGGAATTTTTACTTCCAGATCTACCCACCAGCTATGCTGCTTGAGGCTTAAATGGGATTAGAGGGAAACAGTCCCTTTCCCTCTTTTGTACCTGGCTCCTTAATGCTCCATATTACACTTTTTTTGCAGGGCTGCTGTAAGCGTGGATCCTTTTTACGAGATGTTGGCTGCCCGCAAGAAACGGATCTCAGTGAAGCAGAAACAGGAGCAGGCATGAGGTGGGGTTTAGCTAGTTCCCATCCTTTCCCCTCTCTGTACATCCTCCTGTATTATCTCTCGGATCTTCTGACAAGCCCACCTGGGTTGAACTCCATGAAACCAACCATTCCTATCGTGGGTCCACCACACTACTTGGCCAGTCTAATGGCATGCCAGCATCCCACTGCCTCCACTCAGTTATCCCCACCCCACCCCCAAGCTTCCTCTAGCCCTGTGGGGGTTTGCCAGTGGGACTTGAGCTTGGGTGACTGCCACGGTGCGGCAACTTCAGGGAATGGATACATTCTTTGTGTTTTGAGGCAGCTTCTCCAAACTGAATTAATCTTCAGCCTTCATCAGACAGAATCAAATGGTTTCAAAGCATCTCAGTTAACCCTACCATACCTTGATTATGGGCAACCAACTTTGATCATGGTAACGGAACATTTCTATTTTGACTGGACTTCTTCGTTCTGCTTCCCAACATAACAGCTGGTCTGCATGTCTGAGAAGAAAAAAAAATGGAAAAACCCTTTCAGGCTATTAGCAGTTTAGAACGTGGGGAAGCCCTTGTTTTCATTCATCGGCTACAGAAAAACCGCACCTTGCTCGCCTAAACCAAGCACATCAGGGAGTAAGCTAGCATGTCTTTTGAACTGCTAGTTTTCTGTGTTTCAGGATCATTCAAGTCATTTAATTTCCCCAAACTGCTTCCTGATGCCGATAATCACAAGAGCATTTTTTACATGCTTTTCTCTGTAGGATGTCCCTTCGAATTTGTTGCCAAACCAGCCACATTGTGCATCCAAGAAAGCAGTATTCTGGATCTGGCACACTAATGTCTATATGTACCCTATTCCCCATTATTTGGACTTAAGAAAGGAAGTAAACTCACCAACAACAACCAGCTGGGGCTAGAGAGCCAGACAACTAAAGTATACACACTGACATAATTTTGAACACTATTTGTAGTCTCCAGCAGGAATAACTGACACACATTTGTAACTGACACTTGTATTTCTTCATTGTTAGGCCCAGATATCATTGTTCCCAAATTTCCTTGACTGCCAAGCAAAAACGGATCCTCCTCAGTTACTTGTGGAGTCATTAGAACATTGCCTCTACCGCTAATTCTCCCTGCTCTTTCCTGCCTCAAGTGTAGCAGCAACCTATGTGGGGCTTCCTTCTGTAGTTAATTCAATGTATTTTTGGTGGCTTACAGAGGAATTCAAATGAAAACACTGCCACTGTCATGTTATAACATGATCATTAGGACACTCCCTAATTGGGCGATGACAGTTCTGTTTCTATAGAACTGCAACAAGAATTGCCTCTCCTTTCTGCATTATCTTTTTCAGATTCAGATCTTTTTTAAAATTCTGGAAACGGTTTTCTTCATTTATAATAAGTCATCATGCTATCAGGATGGTTAAAAGACTGTATCTCCCATTTTTCCAGAACTCGTTTATACTTACTTGCACATTCAGGTTATAAGATCTGAGAACAATAAAGAAGGAAGAGAGAATGAGTTTATGAATTGGAAGAAAAATTAGTCTCTGTAACTCCCTTTTTGTGTGGATGTTAACAAATGCAAAAACAAGGTAGTCCTTGATTTACAACCAGTCTCTTGGCAACCAAAATTATAACATCCTTACTCCCCAAGTACTTACAACCCAGATTCGAAGTTCCAGCAGCCGGGGCCCCAGCCCACCCTATGTTTATTACATTTTAGGATTTTGGCAACCATCTTGCATTATATGGCCATTTTCAACTTCCCGTGGTTACATGACTTAAATTTACCAAGTTTTTTTGCAAAAAAAACCCTGACATTTACTTACTGGCAAAAATACACCCATTGCAGACGTAGGCCCCAAAAATGTTGAAAATTCAGGTGGGTCGTGTGATGACCTGTTGTAACAACTAGGAAAATGTATGACCCCTAATTCCAGGTTCAATTAAGTTAAGGGCAACCTGTAGTTGTTGTGTTACTCTTTCCCCTTTCCCCACTCTCTCCAAGATTTAAGAAGTTTGCTCTTCCTGGTGATAGCCTCGCCTCACTGACCAGGCCTCCCAAGGCTGTCTCCTACTTGAGTGAGAGGGATATTGTACCTCTTCATCTTGCAGCTCACAGCTCCAAATCTAGTCTTCCACCACTGCTTTTCCTCAGGTTGTCCCTTAGGTATAAACATCTTCGAGCCTGAAGGCTTTTTCAAATCCCGAGTTGGGCTTTCTAAATCACCAAGTACTTTGTGGCACATCTCAAGCCTTTGCGAAAAAGTAGTGCAAAGTCCTCAGGAGCTGCAAAGGTCTCCAGCTTGATATTCTACTACCTTTGTCCACATGCATTTCAGCTTGATTGCCCTGCCCAAAGAAAAGCCGCATCGACTGCAGGGGGTTCAAATCTTGTTGGATTTAAATCCGAAGCATCTTCTCCCCAGTTAGAAACTATGTGGTCAGAATGAAAGGTTGTGTTTATTCCATTTATAAGAAAAGCATGAGGGAAAAAAAGGCAGCAAGTGAAAGAAAAGGATTGATACTAATTTTCAATCTTTGTATTGTGAAAATAAATACCAGAAAATCCGGGATACTCTTTAAAGCAGCATTTTCCATCTCAACCCATTAATGAGTTTGCTCAAAGCTGAGGTATCTGCTTTATACTTGCTCAAACCCATCCTAGGAAACCCTTTAATCCCTAATCCTAAAAACTGGCTGGGGAAATCTGGGAGTTGAAGTCCACAAAGTTGCCACTGTGGGACGGCCTTGCCCTAACCCTTTGCCTTCTTTTCAATCTTAATTTAATTGAATTCCCAAAGTGGCTAGCCTTTCCCCTTCTTAACTAAAGTTTAATTCTATTTCAGATCCAAATGTATAACATACATATTTTTATAAACAAGAGTTTCAGAAGAGGAAGGTTAAAATTATTAATCTCGTAGCTGGCAAAGAGGGAAGAGATTGCCTTTTTTCCAGCTGTGTGTCATAACCAAAATTATTTCTCCCAAGCTATGATTTGTGTGGAGATGAGAGGCAGGAGAAAGCTCCCTTTATTTGTTTGAAGGATTAGTTTTTATCAAGACACTTTCCAGCTGCTTAATAATGATCAATCCACCCCCATACATATACACACACACACACAATATCCACATTCAATATTGCCCTTGGTTCTTTGACCTGCCTTCTGATTTTATATTTCTGAAAAAGCATCTTTGTACATTGGGACTGATTATTACTTGTTCTTCAGCAATACAAATAGTCCTTTTCTTCATTACGGATTTGAATATCTGTCTTGTAGGAAGGAGGTATAACAATCTCCCCTCCCCTACTTGCTCTTTGCTCCAGAAGACAAAAAGAGAAAGACGGGCATTTTTCATTGAAAGAAACTATATGATATTTCCTTTGATGGTGATGTTTTTGATTTATTTGTTTTTAAAGGAAATGTTAACTATTATTTAAAAATTTAATGTATACATCTCTGGATGATATGTAAACACCACGAATTTATCTATGTTTTGGCTGATTCATTATTTTATTGTTATATTTATTAAGGACCAAGGACCTAACCTGGCCAAAGGGGAGAAACTGGAGTTGTGAACTCATGAACATTTGCTTTCTCTTAGACATCCTTTTTATTTAGGAAAGGGGAAAAGGAAACCCCACTTGAGAAACAGCATCTGAAAAATGCCAGAAATGGATAAGAATTACTTAAATATAACCTTTCGGCCAGTCTGCTGTAAGGGAGAGAAAGCAGCGGGAGTTTTTCCTCTACCAAAGGCTTCCCAGAAGCCAGGTTAGAATTTAGCATTGGATTCAGGGTCACCAAGGAATCCTTCTTGAGGCTATTAATATACTGCTGATCTTGCATATCTGTCTCACTGCCAAGGAACCAGATGTAATACAGTAAATACCATTGCTAATAAGATTGTGAACACATGAGTGATCTACCTGAGGAACAAACCTGAGCCCTTTTTCTCCCAGAATAAATGCTTAGTTTTCTCCTTCTGACATCAAACATTTCCTGGCATTCTGCAAATGCTACTCTGAGTGCTACTTATTTTATTTTTTTTATTTACATCCCATGTTTATTATTTTTATAAATAACTCCAGGTGGCAAACATACTCCTCCCTTCTCCTATTTTCCTATTAATAACAATACTATTAATAGCCTATATCCTACTCTGCTCTTTGCCTGGGAAACAGGTTACAGGAAATCTGACGTTTTATGTATTATGTCAGCAAATATTAATTGAGTAATTCATCTGTTCAGTGGTCTCACCCGATATGAGATAAAGAATGTTATTTAATATCAATAGCTCTGATGAGATTCCAGATGTGATTTTATTGAACTTGCAAAGGGAAGAAACAGAATTTCTTAAGTAAAAACTTTATTTCTGGATGAGACACCCATGTGCTATAAGAGACATCTCCGTAGCTGAGATATGCATGTTAGAACAAGTTCCTTTTAAAATGATACTTGGAGGATTTTTTTTTTTAGGATTTAAAAATTTAAACCTGTCTCCTACGTGGGACACCTCTTAGTCGAATGTAAATTAAATATATTTAGTTGATTTATTTGTTAGAAGTCAATAGCATGAAATTACGTATAAAAGTTTACAGAATCTAGACATTGACTAAATCAGACTTCATTTCTGAAATCTAAAAGAATGGTCTCCAGATTAAGATTAAAAATGCGTATGTAAAATGGTTAAATTTTTATTAGTGCTTTTGTTCAAAATTCACAATGGATCATCAAGGAAAGGTGGCATCTTAGGTTTCTCACTATCCAATCGCCGATTTGGCGCCCTCCAGACAATTTGGGAATGGAACTACAATTCTCAGAATTCCAAGTAGGCAATAGTCTGAGGACAACAATCTTAAATCCACATCATTAACTAGACCATGAGCTTACTGTCCTAAAAATAGGCTTTGTTTTGGGGGCATGTGGGATGTTCTACTATACTAATAGCTAGGGTACTTATAAATAGTAGGAACAAAGACACGTGGAGGATTGTAATTTATTTGGCAAGTTTATTGCATCTGCTTGCTATAAGAAAATTCAAGACAATTAAAATTATGCATCCTCATCCTTGAATAAAATAACTATATTCTGTCAAAGTGAGGCAGGGCACCTGTTATTTGCAAGCAAAATCTACAATATGGAATTTAGGCTAAAAAGATTGTGTGATTCTACACATCTGTATACATATGCAATAGAAATTTGGTGGTGTGTTCAGAAAGCAATGTCTAGTTTTTGCCTTACTCCTCCCCAAAACCAAACTTTTTTTTAGATCCCGTCCATTTTAACTCAAAACAGATATAATATGGAGGATTGCTATGATCAGTTGCTCAGCAGTGCAATTAATTTAGACTTTGGATTTGATGGTTTACATTCTTTGTTTCCCGTATTTTAGATGGTCATCTTTATTAAAATACCTGCCTCAAGATAAGCTAGTTCTGTAGCATTTGGAGGCTTTATTGCTTTTTTTTTTTTTAACTAAAATTTTGCTCTGGCAGTTTCATTGCTGCTGCTGCAAAACTAAAGCAGATAATTTTATAACAATTATATTTTATAGCATTTTCTAAGCAAGTTCAGGCACTGATCAAGTGCTGATCAAAATTGTAGTGCAAGGAGTATTCAAACGTCACCTAGGAATAGCCACACCAAATACTAGATATATTTGTTCCCCTTTCAAGGATTTAGATATTCCTCAATGAACCTTTGTCTTTGATTTCTCTATATGTAGTGCTGAAAACAACACCACAGAAATGTCCCACCCACCCACCCACTCCTGCATATCAAGCAAGCTCTATGTATTCAGTATAGATTTCTACTGGGTGATAACTTTTTCAAAAATTTTGAGCCTTGCCATCAGTTTGCACAAATGATGTTATATTCATTTGTGCAATATGAATTGTGCTGAATTGACCCTAACTCAACCTTTCAATTTTCATAGGCCTCCAGGGCTTCCTCAGTCACCTTTAACATAGATTGGGTTAAACATCTAACACAATGATATACAACTATTTTTGCTATGATACAGCAGAATGCTGGCCAACATGGTTTTCACAATGATGCATAATAGCACTTTACGATACTTGCAAAATCTGACACGGTTTCTAGAGCTGGTTAACACGGCCTCTGATTTTGGTTCGGTCCAGGTGCAGATCTACATCCAGGTTATATTAGTTGATTCACGGTTGAAACATTTTTTTTTCAAGCATGGCTTTATTCAAATTTAAAAGATATATACAGTACATAAATACTATTTAAATCAATGGAGGGTGGGGGGAATGGAAAGAGAGGCAGAAAAATGGTGAACTCAGAAAAAAATAACTTAGAAACTAAGATATTAATATACAATGTTTCATACTCTTCCTCTAGACCTGACTGGGTTTTTGGCAATTATTTCCTGAGAAGAAGCTAAAGGTCTACTAAGCTGGTAGAAAATATCTGAACAGAAATGCTGAGATTTTTTTAGTCATATGTATGATCTGTAAAAAAAGCCATTGATATTTTTATTGTCTTCATGAGCCATTCTGGCTCATGATAGAAGATTAATGAATGAATCTTCGAAAATCTTTGAGAATGTGATTGATTGATTGATTGATTGATTATTATAGTGCTCATCTCACCTACATGACTCTAGAAAGCTTGCAATAAATAAAATACATAATATAATTTTTTTTTTTAAAGCAGATAACAGTTGGGCATCATCCAATCAATTTATCTGGTAAGGTGATCATCTATTTCTTTAAAGAAAGAACATTCAGGAAAAAGATTCTGGAAAAAAATACTAACAAATTCTTTTTCCCATTCCTTCTTTGAATATCCAAAAAGTAGAAAACTGCTAGTCAAAAATTGGATTTTAATCTACCATAAATATCTTCCTAGTGGACCTATGTTACACATCAAGGTCTTGAAAATGAAGTGTCCTATTAGCCATATTGTCATCATGAGGAACTTTATTTTTTTGCTCCTGCTCCTACATTAAGAAAATCCCAATACACAGTACAGATTTATCATGTGGGAATGTTTCTTATTTTGAAAATTGCTCAGCTTTATAAAACATATATTCCAAATTATATTTCATTGTATTTCTGGATCTTAAGATTTTCCTACCTGCATACATAACCACTTTCTTTTTGTTGCACATGTGCCAAACACAAAGGCCCCCATTTTTTTGTCAAGGAACCCGGAAATTTTGATTTCCCAACCCTTTCTACCACTGTATGAAATAAATCTTGATCCCATGCTTTGCCTTTAATCATTAGGTATCTTTCTCTCCCAGATAATGTTATGTCCATGTTTCTTGGGTGGATTCTTAGTGGCAGGCATTATATGGTAGTTTGATCACTCCTCTATGAAGTTCTATAGAGTTTTCAGTCCAATTGATAAGATCACCACCAATGGAGCTACTGCAGGTTGCCATCTTGTAAATTTCAGCAGGTGTCACAATATAGCTCCACATGTTGAAATCTGACATTTCCCCAATGAAAGCTTGAGTGGCATCAAAGCGGCCACCAAGAGTATCCTGTGGAGGAAGAGTGCAATAAATATGTATTCAGAAGAAACATGCATAATAGTGACAGTACATAAAGTGAGAGGCCTATTTACCTGCTCCTGGCCTAGTATGAAAACACCACCAGGTTTCACAGGATGCCAAGGAGCCAAGTTGTCCCCACTCCCTCTTTGGACACCATCCTGATAAGATTTCCAGATGCCGTGCCGAGTTGACCATGTCACACAGATGTGGTGCCATTTGGCATCGTTAACGGCCAATGGCAAAGTTGCAACCTGAAAAACAAGGACAGAAGAGTTCAAATAAAAGTGGGAATGAGCAAACCTGGGAGTTATAAATATGGCAAGGTACTGAACTTAACACCTTCAAATATATCTGCTGCATAAATAATTACGAGATATTTATCCTACCTTATCATTAATGAGCAACTCCATGGGGTTATTTCCCCATTGAATAAGCACCACTTCGTTGGCTTGGTTGGGCACTGAGTAGGAGAAAGGTGTGCCTATTCCTGGGGATGAAGTTGACTTGAGCCAGAGACAGATGGAAAAGGCAAAGATTTCACGTTGCAGAGTGTGCTTGATCTTGATATACATATAGTTTGTGCGAAGAGGGAAATCCACATGAAAATGTTCGGAATGCTTATCTGCCTTGTTCCCTGGAGGACAGAAGAAAGCAGAAATGTGGCACTGCGCTACAACACAGGGAAATGGAGAGGAAATGGATTATCCCTATACTGCCAGCTGATCTGCTGACCTATTAAGAATTGATTTTCCAGGCTTGCTATGCTCTTTCCATTAATGAATCCCATGACCACTATCAATCAGGTCAAAGTTCATGAACTTTATCAAATTTTCTTTTTTCTTTGGTTATCTTGTCTCCATTTCATTCTCTTTGATACCTTTCTTGATTTAGATTTTGTGACAAAAGGGTCATAAAGGAGAGTTCTCGTGTCTTATTCTTTATAAAACACTATTTGCACTACATAAAAATTGGTAACAATCATCCATCTCGTGTTGAGCTGCCAAAGCACTGTCATATGGTTTCTTTCACTATTCAAGCTCATCTCTGCTCCACATTTTTAGATTTAGATTTTTTTTTTTTTTAGATTTTATTCAACTTCTATACCGCCCTTCTCCCAAAGGACTCAGGGCGGTGTACAGCCATATTAAAACACATATAAACCACAAAATTTAAGAACAATTTAAAAACAAATATATAAAATTTGGCCCACGAAATTAAAAACTAACAAACACCCAATTTAAAAATTCCTATTAGGCCAGCCCGGCTTGTTGGAATAAAAGAGTCTTCAGGGCAAGGCGAAAGGTATGCAGGTTGGGGATCATATGAACCTCTAGGGGCAGCTCATTCCAGAGGGCTGGTGCCCCCACAGAGAAGACTCTCCCCCTGGGTGTCGCCAGTCGACATGGTTTGGCCGATGGCACCCTGAGGAGCCCCTCTCTGTGGGAGCGTATTGGCCGGTGGGAGGCTATCGGCGGCAGAAGGCGATCTCATATATACCCCGGTCCTAAGCCATGGAGTGCTTTAAAGATGGTAACCAACACCTTGAATCGCACCCGGATGACCACCGGAAGCCAGTGCAGCTCGCGCAGGAGAGATGTTACATGGGTGCGCCATGTCGCCCCCATAATCACCCGCACAGCCGCATTCTGGCCACATCTATCACATGTGGCTGATTTTATGATTTAAGCTATATTTTCAGTCAACATTCCCCCCCTTTTTTTCATTCTGTCCATTGGTCTGTCTCTCCAGTAGGATAATGAGATACTTGAAATATTCCTCAAACTATCATGCTCTTTTAGCCATCTTGGTGCCCATCGCTTTTCCTGCTGATTACGTGATTATACGCTACACAGATTCTTCAGAAATGCAGAAGCGAATAAGTATTATTAAATTATTTAAACCCAAGTACTGTACTTGAATCTACATTTTCCATCCACTGTAATATTCATCAACATATTTACGTAAACCTCTTATTTAATAGTGGTTTTTAAAAATCAAGATTAAATTAATATAACCTACATACCCCTTGAAATTCTGGGCTTAATGTTTGTCATAATCCTTTGTCACTGGCTATGTTAATTGGGTCTGAGGAGAATTAAAATCTAAAATAGGTTAGAGTGGGACTATTCATATTCAAATTTCAGCATGACTGGGAAAATTCTTTGAGCCAGTCACACTCTCAGCTTTAGTTATCTCATAAAACCAGTTGTGAAGACGAGAGCTTTTTGAGAGAAAATGAAATAGAAAAAGCAATATGTAAATGTTAAATCACTGAAGTTCTCCATTTGCCTCAGATCTAATTATATCCTGCTGTCAGCCTTCTCCAATCCAGCACCTATCCTACTAATCAGGCAGTATGATCCAAAATCTAATGTTTGGGAATTTGTGAATTATAATCTCTGATAACTGGAAGGCATCACTAGGAAAAACTATTTCTCATTTCTCCACAAACTTGGAAATAGCCATCTAAACATCTGGCTCCTTCATTGTCCATTTACTTGTCATTAAACCCACCTTTTATTATTAGTTCTTTTTATTTAGCAGTTTATTCAATTTACCTTCCTTTCTTCTACCCATCCATTTTTACTCCATGAATGTAGACCAAAGTCTCCTTTCTCATTTTGGCAACACCACATTTTCTTTTTTTCTTTTTCTTTTTTTGATACCTTAAAAATTAATTTTATTACTACAGAGCTTTGGAAAGTATCACAAGATTGTTTTGACTTGCAAGAAGGTCGCAACACTACCCACCTGGAAATTCAGGTTTAGTCACTCACCTTTCTCCACTGTGCGTCCATGTGAAGCATGCCTTTGTCTCATCCCTGTTGCTTTTGGTACGCTGGGAGTCTGATGTTCTGAAGTGTTGGATTTCTCATGGATCTGGTGCTCCAACAAGCTGATCTTTTCCTGAAGAGTATCCCACATGGATGTGGAGAAGGTTGAACTATTCCAATTGTGCTGAAGAAGTCAGCGCAAATGCTCATGTTAATTAAATTCTGCCATTTCTCTAGACCACTTGTAATGTGCTGCCTCTCTCCCTTCCTTAAAATTCTACCTGAAAGCCATTATTAAGCATTTAGTCCAATTCCTGAGTTCCTATACATTGGCCAAGCTGAATTTTAGATTGTATCTGCAAATAATTGTATGTTTTCTTCTTGTTTGAAATGAGATTCCCATTAATGGTGCCATCATCTATTCATGTTCTGTGCCTCATTATTACCATTTAACCCATTTAAAATTCAGTCCTATGCTTGTTTGTTTAGTCTTCTTCAGCCCAATGGGTCTTCCTTCCATTGCAAGTATGTAGAAGATGCTAAATTTAGCCACATTCCTGTACTAAACCTGTCACAGAACAAAGAACCTCCTGGAGCTCCAGAAAGAAGTTCTGCCAAAGGGAAGGACTTTTGCTAGTTTTGCAATAGCCACTCTACGCACAAAAAGATCATCTTGAATAAGTTTGCTCCATCTGAAGCTTCAACAAAATCAAAATTGATCCCAAGCACCTTATACCCTGTGCACATGTGTGTGTGTGTGTGTGTGTGTGTGTGTGTGTGTGTGTGTGTGTGCATCCATCCATGTTTCTTCATTTTTAGGTAAGCAAAGTTATGACAATTGCAAAACATGGAATAAAAAATTAAATTAATTAAAAAATTAATTGACTTAAGGAAAAGAAAGGAAATATAGTAAAGTCTAGTTTATACAAACACCATTCACTATAGTTCTCCGTACCTTTTCCTCTTGAAAGCTATCCCCCCTTCCATTCCATCTGTATTTTTTTTTTATTTTTTTAAATCCCTCTGCGTCCATCTCCCTCTGCAAAGTGACTCCTGCCATTTTCTTCATCGCTGCCTTTCGTTCTCTGGATATTGATTTTCTCAACCAAGAGTTGCTATTGATAGTGCAAGGGAGATTAAATAATTACGTTTAAAATCCCCCTTCACCCCATATATTTTCCAGAATAACACTATGGTAGGTAGGCACTTTAGAAAGATTAGAAGAAGCGGCAGGAAGATTTGTTGTGAGTAGCTAATTCTGGTAGAAACTTCAGTGTATGGGGAGGTAGTTAGCTTTTAAAGAGAAGGTAATAGCATTCCTTAGAATTGTTTGCTTTGATCATGTAAAACAAAATAAGGAAGAGGAGACGATTAAATGAAGGATCATACATGAAAACTGATGGAACAAGAATAAAAATGCTTACAATTGCTGGCTGATCAGCATTTTGGACAAATTAAAAAATGAAGGGATAAAAGTTGTAAATGCGAGGATGAGTATGAGGATTGATGGATAATAAACAAGTGAGTAATTAAGGAATATGTAGATTTGAGAAAATAGATTAAGAGCATTGAGAAGGATAAGTTAAAAGCTAATACCTGTAAATGCTCCAGTCTCTCCTTCAGGGATTTCAACATTCTCTCCATCTGATGTATTGCAGCAGATGCCTCATTGGGTGGATCTTCCATAGCATTAATTTGAGCAGATGTAGGCGCCTTGTGAGAAGAATCATGAGTGTTGTGCCCAACCTGTGGTTCGTGGTTCCCAGGTTGTGCAGTTTGATGATGCTCATTCTCTTGGGCATGGTGGCCTTCATGGGGATCTTGATGGCCAGCATCACGGTGTCCCCTATGGCCATCTTCATGGTGAGACTGGTGAGCATCCTCATGATGTCCCCTTTGAGCATTATCATGATGGCCCCGATGCCCACCTTCATGATGGCTGTGCTTATGGTTATGATTCTCTTCCTGATGATTTCCATGGTGCTCACTATGCCTCCGGGAATGGGTTTCACAGTGGCTCAGTTTGGCTGTCAGTTCTCTCATGGTCTCTCTCTGGTCAAGGATCATTTCCTTTTGATGCACCACTGTCTCCCGCAGATGCAGGATGGTTTCCTTAGCTTCTTCTAGAGTCCCCACCCAATGGCCATTGCCTGCACCATTAGCTGTGCCTCCATGTCGTTGATGGCCATTTGACTGGCAACCATTATCCATATCCAATGGCATAGGACTGCAGATAAATTTGGGTAAGCCATGTTCAGAGGCTATCAGTAGTGGGGAAAAGATGAGGCAGAGCAATGTCCAGTGCATTTCGATCATCAGAGGTAGGATGTTTGGTGGATGGGAAAAGGGTAGAAGTGGGGATGGAAATGGGCTGGCCAGTTCAGGATAAATTAGAAGCAGAAGCAGATGATAACTTCCAGAAAGGCCAAGTCTTTACAGCTTAAAGAATACTATTGTACAACAGATTTCAATCCTGTACCCGTCATCCAGATCTCCTCTTAGATGACTAATAAAATTCCACCAGAAAGAAATTCAGTCTTTATCAAGAAGGAGACGCAAAGATTTTTGACAGAGGAGAAGATACTCTAGATGAAACTCTTCAAGTCATGTTTGGTTCACCAGGTCACCAAGTCTTCAATACCCACAATGACTGGTTCCATTGTCTCAGAAACTGAAGCTTTTCCTTCTTCCCAAATATCAATTTCTTGCTTCTCAGCAGAGCCAAACTGCCAGCAGACATCCAGGCACTATAGTCAGGTGGGTTTTGTTCTTTTTCTGCCTTTCCTTCCTGTCTAATTTGCCAAATCCACTGGTGATGAGGAGCAAAGCATCGTTTCCCTTGGTGACTGAGAAATTAATGGGCTTAAAGTGTTACAGCAGAGCTTTTGCCTTCACCACTGCCTACCATCTCTTCTCTGTTGCTAAGGCTTCTAGCCTGGCAGCCTATATATAACCCCTCCTGAGAAGCTAAAGCTTCAGTCAGAAGAATTAAGGTATCAGCCAAGAAAAAATAAGCTAAATCCAAGCTATGAAATTATTCCTCATTTTCTCTTCTAATTGCAATAATTTACCCAGAGTATATCACTCCCAGCTGGATTTAGAGTATGTGGAACTCCCAACAATAGGAAAGACAATTGTGTCAAGTAGCTAAGACACACACACACACACACACACATATACACATACACACACACACACACACCTGTATAAAATAAATGTGCAGCTAGATGATCTACAGACATACCCTGCTTTTCCACTCAAGGACCTAATCAGATAATTTTAACTATATGAAAAGCAAAGCATTGTGAACTAAATTATAAACATTACATTCTCAATACTAAATTACTGGTACATTTATCACAATGTATTCCACTGTCCCAAGGCTTAATTAAAACTCGGACCACACATTTCTGAATAGTTTTTATCCCAGGGCTATAATTGCACTCAACAATGAACTAAAGGGCCACCATCAGTGAGCTGTTGGACAGCATTACTTGGTCTGTTGTGTGGATGTTTGGGTGGTTTGAGGGTGGGGAATTTGTGGGGGGGTGGGTGTTTGAGGATTGTTATGTGTGTTGGACCTGGTCTTTGGGTGTTAAGTGAATTTCATTGTATGGATATACTGTGTATACGCATACAATGACAATAAAATTATTATTATTAGGAAGTTCAGGACACCTCCAACATGATTTGTTGTTGCCTTTGAAACAGGTGTCTTGCCAATAATTCTGATGACCATTGCAATGTAGATTTAGAAATTCTTCTACCAAATTCTGATTTCTCCGAGACAGCTCATTTACCATATTGATAGTTTGCTTTTTTCCCTCTACAATTCCTAACTTCAGTAGAATCGAATAGATCATTAAATGCTAGAATTAATATAAGGCTGAAGGATTATTAACCCAATGAGTTTCACCCATTTTAAATATAGATGTAAGTTAGACCCTTATGCTGGCTTGTTTATAATGTTATTTATTTGATTGTAGGACAAGATAGTCCAATATGGATTGGGATACCCATCCGTGACCAATGGAAAATATAATCCTTCAAACAGCCTCCCAATTTAAAATGAAAAGACTCACAATCTAGATTAGGCCATTGGGCATTTATAATAAAGAAAACGAAATATACAGATTGGAATAGGACAATACTTAATATGTGTTTCTTTAGTTTAATCTTTGTTTCTACTGCAAAGAAATGACTGAAGAGTATAATATTGGTATGAAAGAATATCAAGGAATCCAACTGCTTCTTTCTGGAATTTATGCCCAGATAAATCTCTACAGCAGAGCATCTTAAATTAAATCATAGTAATTTGTTTTCATTGAATGTAATGCGATTCAATTGTTCACTAACTTAATCTGGATTTAATCATAATCCAGATTTAACATATAAGGATCAATTTAACATCTAAGACTAAATATAGACCAGAAACAGGAATCAAAATACAGAGTTATTTCTTTTAAAACTCATGTTACCAGACCATTTAAAGTGGAATCTTTTAATATAATCCAACAGTAGTTCAGAATTTTGATCTTGTGAGAAGCAACGATCTTATTGTATTATTATGAATATAAATTAACTTTTGGGGATATTTAATTTAATAGCTGGAAAGTAAAGTGTACAATGAGCCATAGCATACGATTGTAGTTGATTGGTTGGAGAGTGCTGGCTCCTGCATGAGGCAATCTAGGCTATGATTGGTTGCTGTGGATGTAAAGGGGGAGTTTCCCTTTCCCCCCCTACCTTTTTTCTTCTGCGCGCTCTGTACTCTGTTTTGATTTACCCCATGATGTTCCTGACTATCTTGTCTGCTGTAAATATAAATGTTAAATATATCTATTTATATAAAACTACAACTTCGGGTCAATGTCTCTGAGTTCATTTGGAAACCTGCTGCTCAATTCCCTGACAGACTTTTTAAAAGAAACCTCAATTTTTATTCATGAAAATTTTGTATTTTGTTCCTTCAATGTATTTTTGCCTCCAATTGGGACCATAATTATTCAACTCACAAATCATCCTGTGAGTGTGTGTGTGTGTGTGTGTGTGTGTGTGTGTGTGTATACATGCATGCATACATGTATATATGTATGTATCAGAGGTGGGTTGCAGCAGGTTCTGACCAGTTCTGGATAACCAGTAGCGGAAATTTTGAGTAGTTCGGAGAACCGGTAGTAAAAATTCTGACTGGCCCCGCCCCCATCTATTCTCTGCCTCCCAAGTCCCAGATGCTAAAGGAGGAAATGGGATTTTGCAGTATCCTTCCCCTGGATTGGGGAGGGAATGGAGATTTTACAGAATGCTTCCCCTGCCACGCCCACAAAGCCACGCCCACAAAGCCACACCCACAGAACCAGTAGTTAAAAAATTTGAAACCCACTACTGGTATGTATGTATGTATGTATGTATGTATGTATGTATGTATGTACAGTATGTATGTAAATATATTTAATCTAAGCATCCAGACTTGGAAAATACGGCATCCATCTTCAGCAGTACCTATCAACCTATTATCTTTAAATTATTTTAAGACAAAAAATAATGCTAAAAAATAATCATAGTCACATTCTTCCTGGTTTCAGTTACTCAGTTACAGTGAACGGTGTGACATTGAGTTGTCTCTCAGAGCCTAAGGCCCCACACAATTTGGTCCAAAATATATCTTCAGCCTCAGGATCTTCAGGCCAAGTCAAGTAGCTCTCTTGTTTAATTAGTTTCCTTAGGCGATGATAAGGAGACAACCTAGAAAATAACCAAAGGATTGACATTTTTTTTTATTTTCCCCATCTCAGACACAAGAACAGACATAAAGTAATGTGTAAGGAAAAGACACACGGGAACCCCCCCCCCCAAAGCCAACTGTTGGACGATACTTCTAAACTTAACAGGACAGCAACTGCTCTCTTCTGTTGTTCTTCAGCAACTGATAGAAAGTGGGATGCCATCTTGAATAGATATTGTAGACCAGTATTTCCCAAACTGTAACTTTAAAACATGTTAACTTCAGCTCCCAGAATACCCCAGTCAGCATGCTGGCTACGGTATTCTGGGAATTGAAGGCCATATTTCTTAAAGTTGCAGAATTTGAGAAACACCACATAAATTTTTCTTCTACACCCAAATAGACCTATATTTATCTCTCTTTTAAAACCATCTCTGAACTGGTTATTATCATCCTTAGATCAGGTGGCACAAAAAATTCTATAAATTAATGATAATCCGGGTAAAGATTTTTGTTGTCATCATCATTCACTTCCAATCACTGGGTGGTTGCAAATTCTAGCGTAGTCTCTCAAATAAACACCTTCCCGTTGTACTTGGGCTGTTAACTCCCAGGATTCTTAGGTACATATCTAGAGAGTGCCAGGTGGAGAATCTGACCTACCATGAGGTACAAGAAAATCTCTGCCTAGCTACATCCTCTTTCCATCTTTACTCGGAAAAATGAGGATTAGGCAGATACCCTCCAGATGGCTCAGTGGGAGAGGTGGTTGGGGAAAGCTTTATCATAGAATCATAGGGCTGGAAGGGGCCTTGGAGGCTTTCTAGTCTTAACTCCCTGCCCAAGGCAGGAGTCATATGGATCTCTTTTTTCATTATGGAAAAAGTTATCTCCTGCTCATTCTTCCTTTATCCAACCTTCTGCATCCTAATTGCACTCTTCTTCTCACAAATCTTTTCTTCCCATTAAAATATAAGTAGATGAAACTCCTGCTTTATATTACAATCTTTTTAAGACCACCTTCATGAGGATCAACTGTTCCCTACTCACCTGTAGTTCGGGATTTCTTCCTTAAAGACTACCACCAAAGGGTCATATCCATGATAGTAGATATTGGAACAGGCAAGTTGAATTTCTAAAGAACACCATTCATTCTCCAGGTAATTTCTGCTCACCAGGCACAAGGTCTTACGGCTTCTGCTTATTCCATTCTGCACATTATCTATATAGTATTGTCCAGGGGCAAAATCTCTAGGCCCAAAACACAACCGGAAGCAGGGTTCATGTTGTTTTTCCAGCTTTTCCAGAATGTTATCGATCACCCATTTGTAGTCATGACTACAGCAGGAAATGTAAGCATCATATTGGTAGTCCCGTCCTTTGGGGCGCAGTTGGTTATAGCCCCAACCTCTGAGGAGATAAAAAGCATATCGGAAAGTCCAGCCTAACTTGGCATAGATCAAAGATAGAAGCAAGAACAAGAGGATGGTAACTGTGGTAGCAATAAATAAATACATTTCCCAGTTGTCAAAGCAGAAGGATAAATCTTCATCAGCAAAAAGACGATTAGTCATTCCAGGACCAAAGCAATAATAGCTATCCAGTAAGGCCACTTGAACATTTGGCACAGATATTGACCAGTTTTGGAACCACGCATTCTCACAAGAGCATATCAGTGGATTTTCAGAAACATCCAAATACTTCAGAGAGGAAAGTCGATCAAACGTTTCTTTACTGAAGTTCTTCAAATCATTGTTGCCTAGGTCCAGCTGCTCCAAAGAGGTCAAACCAGAAAAGATTTCTTCAGGTAGATCCGGGATGGCACTATCTTTTAACGAAAGATTATGTAGGTTAGTTAATCCTTGAAAAAAATGTGACTGGAGTTCCCAAGAGCCACGTTTCCCTGGTTGGATTTCAGAGAGGTCTAGGGATTCGAGAGTGGTAAAATTGATAAATGAAAGGTGGGAAAACACACTGCTGGGGTTTCCTTTCAAAGACAGAAACTTTAGATTCTCCAGCCCTTGAAAAAGTTTATCTGGAGGGTGGATTGGTAATTTAGGTGTCTGAAAACTAATATCCAGTTTCACAAGGGAGTGGAGACCCTGAAAAGGGCTTGGAGTATCATATTTGTTGTAAGTAAAGAGACGGTTATAACTGAGATCTAATGTTTCCAGCTGCGTCAGTGGTTTAAAGACTGATTCAGAAAACTTATATATGAGATTTTGATCCAAGGCAAGGTATTTTAGAGAACTGAGGTTCCGAAAAGCAGATCTCTGAACAGTCAAAATTCTGTTTCCTGAAAGCAAGAGAGTCTTCACATGCAGGCGTAAAAAGGCATAATCCTTGATTAGTGTAATGCTGTTAAAACGCAAATCTAAAAACTCCATTTTACGAGCATAGATGAAAGTGTCGCGGGTTACAGCTGTAATCTGGCAGGTATGAAGAATAAGTGTCCGCAATGCTGCCATGCCAAAAAAAGATTGTTTTTGTAGATTGGTCAGGCGGTTCTTTGATAAGTCCAAATAGCTTAAATTCTTCAAAGCAGCAAAAACAAAACTATCTAATTCATCAATTTCATTTCTACTCAGGATCAGGGTTTGCAATGGTAACCCTTTCCCCCAAGTATTAGGACGGAGTTTCAATATCTTGCACTTATCCATAGAAAGATACTTTAAGTTCCGAAATGTTTCGAATGCTTTATTTTCCAGGTACTTAAATTGTGAGGTTGACAGAGTCAACCAGGTGAGATTAGTGCAAGAACCCAACTGTTTCAACTGAGTATTGTTCAGCTTGGAACGTTTGATGTCCAGAGAAATTAAGGATGGAAAACTTTGGAAGACAGAGCAAGCCACTGATAAATTTGTGTTTAATGATGGATGCATACTGGATAAATGCAACATAGTCAGGTTAGGAAGGGATATGTTGATAAGCTCAGAGACCTTTAGAAAGTTCGAGTCTAAAGACAGCTCTGTCAAAGCAGGTGTGGCTTGAAAGGATCCAGCTTCCAGTTCTGACATGTTATTAATACTTAGGTCCAATTGTTGCAAGCTAGGAAAGGAACAATTGGACAAGTCCAGACTGTGAATGACATTTCTATTCAAACTGAGATTCCTCAGGAAAGGGAAATTGAGTAAGGAAGGACCAACACATGGGGCAGAGATGCTATTGTTACCCAGATCCAGAATGGTAAGTTGGGACAAGTTTTTTACACCTATAGCAATCTCTTGAAAACTAGAGAGTTTATTGGTGGAAAGAATAAGTTCCCGAAGAGCCAACTGGAACATGAATGAACTCGGATGCACTGTGGCAATTTTGTTATTATCCAAGTGCAATACATGGAGATGTTTTAGATTGGCTAGCAAAGCAGGACCTATAGCAGTCAGTTGGTTCCAACTCAAATCTAGAACTTCAAGGTCTTCCAGACTTCGAAAGGCATTGGGTACAATGTATGATATGTTGTTATGATTCAGATACAGTTCCAGTAAACCAGGAAGGTGGGAAAAAGTGGTAGAATTCAGCATTTCAACTAAGTTGTGGGAGGCATTGAGCCAATAAGTCACATTTGGCAGAGAAGCAATGGCAGAATTCAGGTCAACGATGGCATGCCCACTACAAACAGCAAGGCCAGGTCTGTTAGGGGAAAGGACACAATTCTTGAAACCAAAACAATCCACATCCCACTGTATCCATGTGAAGAGGAGTAGCAGTGTGCAAAGTTTCAAGGAAATCTGGTTCAAAGCAGGCATAATCATAAAAACATTAGGCATATGTGCTGGCTTTAGGTTTACTGTGGGCTTCATCAGTGATCATGAAAAAACTTCATAGGTCCTGAAATAAGAATATAAAATATTTCTGGTTAGTTAAAAAGAAAGTGGAGAATAGACATGCTGATGCATAAGCAGTGACCTGAATCCAGCCACTTTATATATAACTTTTATTTGATATAGGACAGTGGTGGGTTTAAAATTTTTTTACTACCGGTTCTGTGGGGTGGCTTGGTGGGCATGGCAGACGAAGGATACTGTAAAATCTCCATTCCCTCCTCACTCCAGAGGAAGGTTACTGCAAAATCCCCATTTCTTCCCGATCAACTAGAACTCGGGAGGCAGAGATGGGGGCGGGGCCAGTCAAAATTTTTACTACTGGTTCTCTGAACTACTCAAAATTTCTGCTACCGGTTCTCCAGAACTGGTCAGAACCTGCTGAAACCCACCTCTGATATAGGAGTTACTTCCAGATGATTGTTATTCTAACAGAATAACAGAGTAACAGTGTTGGAAGGAAATCTTGGAGGTCTTCTTTTCCACTGTTCCCCAACCTTTCTGGGTTGATGGCCCAGGGGCGGGGGGAGGGGTAGAAGAGGGGATGGTTTTGTGTGAAGGGTAGGCATGCATGCACACACATACAGCTTCATTTGTGTGAGTGGTGGCACCTGCAATGAGCGCTAGTGGAGCTGCAAGCACCGGCACTTGTCGCTCACACGTGGGGCTGTGGGCGTGTACACACTAGCCCACCACTCACGTGGCCCAGTTGCGAATAGGCCATGGCCCAGTAGTAGGCAGTACACAGTTTGGGACCCCGTTCTAATCCAATCCCCAGTTCAGGCAGGGAACACTATAACAATTCAGACAAATGTTTCAGTCCAATTTCTTCTTAAAAACCAGCTAGTTCCATATTGAGTGGGACTTAAAACTAAGTCAAGGCTAATGTAAGTGACATTGATTTCAATGGCTGCAGAAGTAGGTCTGAATCTGGGTGCAACAGTGTCATAAATTTGTGGCTTTATTTCTTCTCTATTTGGAGAAAGATAAATATGGAAGTAAAGACTTAAGGAAGTAAAAAAAAAGTCTCATTAAAATTAGCTTAAATTGCAGTTTCATTCTTGGCCTCTGCTTAAGTGATGTATTTTTCTAGTAACTCTAATTGTACAGGCATCTGATCATCACAGCTATTATGACAGTACAGGTAGCCCTTGACTTATGACCACAACTGACCCCAAAATGTTTGTTGCTGGGCAAGGCAGTTGTTGAGTGACCTTTTTTGCTACTGCTGTTAAATGAATCACTGCAGTTGTTAAATGAACCATGTGGTCGTTAAGTGAATCCACTGACTTTGATTGTTGGAAGCTGGCTAGAAAGGTTACGTATGGTGATCACATAACCCCAGGACAGGACAACTGTCATAAATACATGCCAGTTTGCCAAGTGCCTGAATTTGGATCATAGGACCTTGGAGATGCTGCAGTGAGTTGTAAGGGTATAAAACAGTCATAACATGTAACTTTGAACGGTCATTAAATAAATGGTAAATCAAGGACTACCTGTATATAAACCACTGAAAACCTGTGTTTAAAATAATAATACCTACAAATAGAAGTAGAACGACTGTGGCAAAAGAAAGCAAAGATACCATCAATAATACTAGACATCTTGGGTGCAATCTGAAGCATCACTTGAACATCACTGGCATTGACAAAATCACCATCAGTCAATTGCAAAAGGCAGCTTTACTTGGAATGCCTTACATTCTGTGACCTTTAATACCCTCAAACAGCATCTGCTTATCCCAGGTTCTTGGGAAAGATTCGGGGGAAAATGCCAAATCTAGTCTAAACATTTGAATGACTATGCAACCAACCATAATAATAAAAATCAACAGGGAAAAAAAAAAACCCCGCAACATCAATCAAAGCAAAAACCAGAAGCAGGAACTACAATGGCGAGAAGCACAGTATAAAATTCCATTCAACTGCAAAAAAAAAAGAAGAAAAAAAAGAAACAGAAAAAAACTGAAGTTCTAAAAACACTAAAATGGTTTTCAAAATAACTGAATGCATAATCAGGGCTACCTCTTGGCTAAAAGGACCATATAGTAATGTAGATGGTATGCAAGTCTCTCTGGGGACAGCAACCAGTATATAACCAAATAACCATCCCTTTTAAGGGCATTAGCAACACTTCCCTGCTTTGGAGAAGGTAGAACCTCACCTTAGCAGGTCAAATGTTGGTTGATGAGTATGACTAGAAGAGGACTTCAAGGCAATGTGGTTGAGTGAATTCAGAAGAGTCATATACCAGGGACCGACATAAATCCTGTAGATGGTGTTGGTCTTCAGCCAACACAGAATGGCCTCCAGATTGTTGGTTTATTTCATAGATTTCAGAAATCAAAGACTGGTAAGAATTGTCTGACAGCAATTGTCCCAGGACCAAAAATCCTGTCTTTGTTGTGCCTTTCCAGTAGTGGCTGTATAAACTGCAGGGCAGGATTAAAAAAAAAACCAAAAAAAAAACCACTTTGCTTTAGCTTCCCCACTTCCTCCTTACCAACTGAGCCTGTGTAACACCAAACTTCGGATCTAAATCAGATTCTGCAAAATGATTGGCAAGCTGGATTTGTCTGTCTTTAGACCCGGATCTTCTTTGATCTTTTTTGTAGTAGCAGTGAAACATTTTCTTCTCTCGTCTTCTGTATTCACCCTGGCATTTGGAGTGAAGATCTTTCTACCTCACAAATAGTTTCGGTTGGGTGCCCTTGGAAAGTGAAACCACAAACACATACAAAAGAAACCCTTCTCTTGATCAGAGGAGAAGGAAATGACACATTTTCTTATTGTCGGGAATAACCCTGGGTTGATTTCTTTTTTTTCCCCTCCTATAGTTTCTCTCAGATAATCCAAGTTACTGATTATTTGGTGATTTAGAACAAAGCTGCATATCTTCCTATCAGTAGAAAAGCCAAATAAAAAGTTGACATTGAAAATTATACTTACTTGCATGATGGCCCTGCAAGAGAGTAAGGTGCTTGTGTTATTTAAGATGCAAGAAATATTCATGCGGGGCGGGGAGGCAATCTGTTAAGAATGGGATTTCAGATAGAAAAGAGACAGACAGGCAGACAGAGATGAGGCAGAGACAAAGGCAGAGGTAGAGATAAGGAGATTTTTCAACAGAACAAAAACAGTACAAATAAGTGGCTTTTGATCTTTCTAACAGCAGTTATAAATGCGTTTGTACTTTACTCTATCTCTCTCTGAAATTACAACATAATTTCCTTCTTTCCATAATCTACTCTAATAATCAAATCCATAAATCACTTGGGGGTTTTTTTTTCTTTGTTTAAGCAAGAAGTCCAGAAGGAGTTTCCAGTCATTAATAAATTCAGGATTTGACCCTTCTCTAATTTTGTCATCTCTGCTAGTTCTGTCATTTCTCTACTATGGATATTTCAAAATCTCCCCCTTTTTGCACATACAGTAATCTTATGGCAGAGATCATTTATAAAAAAATAATCTTCCATGTTTCTTTTCTAAAGAGTCTGTCTTTAAAATTCTTTGTATTGTTGTATGTATTTGAACCCAAATTTCCTGGCTTTATATATATATATATATGTTAAGCATGGGATTCTCTCAATGTTACCAAACTCTCAAGAATATACTACAAATTATTTTTTTTTATGTCAAATGCTCCAATTTTTCTAACATGTGGCTTTTTAAAATGTTTGTACAGTGTGCGTGGTTGTTTTTTTAAGCAGAACTGCAACCAGGAATAATCTTATTTATTTTTTTTTAGTTCTCCCATATCCAATGGTACTTTGTCCATATTTTTGATTTTTTTAAGAATTCTTTCTCACTGTAAGCCATTCAATCTTCTGCTATTCTTTAGGATTAAACGTGATCTCGCTAGAGTTTCTAAAAATGAACATTCTGAGCAGAAAATATATGTTCATTAATGCAAATTTGTTCTTTTATAAATAAACTAAAAAATAGAATGGAATCAGGGGTGAAATGCTCCCAGTTCGGACCAGCTCGGGCGAGTAGGTAACGATGGCAGTGGGCAGTTCAGAGAACCGGTAGCAAAAATCCCTGCCCCCTCCCCCCCATGCCCAGCTGAACCGCGTGATCATCAGAGGCTTTTTTTCTTTTAAATGGCTCTGACGATCCAAGCTCTGATGATCCCAGCTGAGTTGCCTGATCATCAGAGGGTTTATAAAAAATCGATTGCCTGATCGTCAGAGCCTTTTGAAAGCATTTTTTTTACATGGTTTTTACATGTAAAAAATGGCTTTAAAAGTAAAAAAAAAAAAATGGCCACGCCCACCCAGTCACATTACCACCACCCCCACCAAGCCACGCCTACAGAACCGGTAGTAACAAATTTTAGATTTCACCACTGAATGGAATGCTGTATATGCAGAATGTCAGTACGTGGTGGCTCAGTCGTTAAGACACTGAGCTTGTTGATCAGAAAGATCAGCAGTTCGGCAGTTCGAATCCCTAGCACCACGTAATGGAGTGAGCTCCTGTTACTTGCCCCAGCTTCTGCCAACCTAGCAGTTCGAAAGCACGTAAAAAATGCAAGTAGAAAAATAGGGACCACTTCAGTGGGAAGGTAACAGTGCTTCGTGCGCCTTTAGCGTTTAGTCATGCCGGCCACATGACCACAGAGACGTCATCAGACAGCACGGGCTCTTCGGCTAGAAACGGAGATGAGCACTGCCCCTTAGAGTCGGGAAGGACTAGCACGTATGTGTGAGGGGAACCTTTACCTTTACTTTATATGCAGAATGTCAGATTGATCATAATATAAGTCACTATAAGTGAGATGGGCGGCTGTACAAATATGATAAATAAATAAACGCTATTACATTAACGTTATGTCTGTTCTGCATCAGAGTCCACCACTTTATTTCTTTACACTGTTGGAAGATAAGAATCTCAATGACACACACACCCAGTGAGGTCACACATCAACCCCAATCATCTCTGATTCACTGACAAACTACAAATAAAATACACCTCTTTCAACCTTTCTGCCTGCCTTTGACACTCGGGCTGCACCTGATTAAATGCATCTGTCTGCGTTCCAGAAAATCCCAACTCCAATTAAAAACTCCGAAGCAAGCATTTTCTCAAAGTTCCTTTTATTGAAGTAGGTATTCTGGCACATCTGGGAAAACCCGAATCTGAAAGTTCCAGGTTTTCCCTCAGTAAATCAAAACCCCCCAAACCATCCTCTCACTCATCAGTCCATCATATGCTCCAATCAGCATCCATCCCATCTCAAGACAGCACTCCAACCACTCCTTCTCCAGATGCAGGATCGTCCTGACCTTGACCGAAAGGAAGAATGCTGTTTTGTCTAAATACATTTCCTCTACTAAATCCCCCCTCCTACTTTCCCACGCATGAGAAAGTGGAAGTGTGCAAGCTTCCGGAGCTTATATGGCTTCCAAAGCTGACAGCATCTCTAAGTATCAGCCAACCCAAGCAAACAGACATAAAAGAGAATTCCCCTCAAGATAAGGGATCTCAAGACTGCTTCCTGAATTTTAAGATCCCTCTTAAAATTCCACAGCAAAGAACAGTTTATACAACTAAGGTCACACACATTCAGGATGAGAAATGGATTTTCTTCTCCTGGACTTCACAGGCCTCCAGGGCAGGTTTACACATTTAAGGTACTGCACATCAAAAGTTCAATACTTGATGATCAAAGTCCTTTGTTCCTATAAGTACAGGTAGTCCTGGACTTATGACCACAATCGAGCCCAAAATTTCTGTTGCTAAGTAAGGCATTTGTTAAGTGAATTTTTCCCCATTTTAACACCTTTCTTGACACAGTTGTTAAGGAAATCACTGCAGTTGTTAAGGTAGTATTATTTATTTATTTATTTATTTATTTATTTATTTATTTATTTATTTATTTATTATTTGGACTTATACGCCGCCCTATCTCCAAAAGGACTCAGGGCGGCTCATAACAATAAAACACACAAAGTTCAATTTTTTTAAAATTTACCTAATAAAACTATAAAGACCATTAAAATCCCTTCTAAAACCCCTTCAGTCCAAGCTGGCCAGGTGAAATAGCCATGTTTTAAGGCCACGGCAGAAAGAGCGAAGGTCAGGGGCCACCCGGAGGCCCAGGGGGAGCTGATTCCACAGGGTAGGTGCGCCCACAGAGAAAGCCCGTTCCTTAGGGGTCCCCAGCCGACATTGTCTGGCCGACAGCACCGCAAGGAGGCCGTCCCTGTGGGAACGCATCGGGCGATGGAGAGCCGTCGCTGGCCGCAGATGGTCCACCAAATACCCTGGGCCTAACCCATGTAGGGCTTTATAGGTGATTACCAGCACCTTGAATCTCACCCGGAAGGTAACTGGTAGCCAATGCAGGTCCCGCAGGAGGGGTATAACATGAGAGTGTCGGGACACTCCCATCACTACCCGCGCGGCCGCATTGTGCACCAGCTGAAGCCTCCAAGTGGTCTTCAGGGGCAGCCCCATGTAGAGAGCATTGCAGTAGTCGATCCGGGAGGTGACGAGCGCATGAGTGACTGTGCGTAGGGCATTACGGTTCAGGTAGGGGTGCAACTGGCGCACCAGACGAATCTGGGCAAACGTAACACAGTTGTTAAGTGAATCTAGCTTCCCCATTGAGTTTGAGGGTCAGAAGGTCACAAGGGGATCACATGACCCCAGGACACTGCAACTGTCATAAATATGAGTCAGTAGTCAAGCATCTGAATTTTGATTACATGACCATGGGGATGTTACAACGGTTGTAATTGTGAAAAATGGTCACGTCACTTTTTTCAGTGCCGCTGTAACTTTGAACAGACAGTAAATGAACTGTTGTAAGTCAAGAATTACTTGTGCTACCATTCTTAGCTTCCTAACCTTGTAGTCTACCTTCCAGAGCTGAATTATGTGTTCGTTTTTGCTGTCGAATAAATTTAACTTTATTTAAATTTAAAATAAATAAAAAATAAAATAAATAAAACTTCAAGCAGGCATCCTCTGCTCATTTGCCTGGCCATGGAATAGACCCAATTTTCCCCCCTCTAACAATGCTTTTATTTCTAGCATTGATAGGTATTCTTTGGGGGGAATTGAGGGCAATCTGTTGGGTTTTTTAGAATGTGCTTGGTGCAAATGTGGGAGAGACAAAAAGGAAAAAAAGGTGTGGGCAAAAATGTAGTCTAGTTCAGGGGTCTCCAACCTTGGCAACTTTAAGGCTTGTGGATTTCAACTCCCAGAATTCCTCAATCAATTTTGATGGCTGAGGAATTCTGGGAGTGGAAGTCCACAAGTCTTAAAATTGCCAAGGTTGGAGACCCCTGGTCTAGCTGCAGAAAAGAGCTCTTTGCACAGGTAGTCCTTAATATTTGATTAAATTAAATTAGATGAAATTAGATGAAATTAATTTAAATTCTAACAGCACTAGGAAAAATGCTTTATTGAGGGTCGTTGACCTAGCAACCATTGCAAATATGGTAGTGTAGGAACTAAGCACCCACCCCTCTCCTAGAAAAATGGGATACTTTATAAAATATCAAAAGGGCAGAATATTTCTCCTAAAAGGGAGTCAGAAACTCTCTCTCACACGCACCCTTTTGTTAATGAGCCATTAAGGCCTGGGCCTGTCTATTCTACATAACAAAGATCTACCTCCTTCAAGCAGAGCTATAACAGGAATTGCCCAAAGCCCCTTCATTACATCATCACCCAGCAAGGCTCAACCAAGCCTGGGATATGGACAACCTATAAAGTTACCCCTGCATGGCCCCATGGGAGTCTGACAACCAATCAGAATACAACCTCAAATTCAAAAGCCCAGAGAGGGCATAAAACCCAGGCACTCTCAGCATTTCTTCCCTTTTTTGCCCAGAACCTCAAACCACGTGGTTCTGTCCACCATTAAAAACCATCTTTCCAATCAGCCACCATGTTTCCAGTGTCTTTCTCCCCACTTGGAACTAAACCCAGATGGACATTTCTTCCAACAGTAGTCACTTCCCAGCTATCCAAACATCTCAGAAGTGGTTTGGTTGCAAGATCGCTGGACTTTCGATCATATGAAGTCTTGCAAAATCATGACAAATTCCCTCAGTTCCTCAACTGAGAGGAAGTGCGATGGTGTCCAGACTGACTTCCTACTGGGGGAAAGTCACAGTTTGAAAATGGGCCTCAGTGTGTCAGACAAGGCAATTTCTCAGCTTAAAGAAGGAATACAAGCAACCTTGTTTCGCCTTTAAATTAATGCTGGAGGCAGGGAAGGGAACTGTGGGAAACAACAGGTAGCTCATAGAACTGGAAAGTTCAGCAGGTTTGATGAAACTGGCGTGTTCCATTCACACAACATCCTTAGTTTGGCTAAAAAGAATTAGGCATTTGGGATTCAGCATACAGTGAGAACCCAGGCCAGCATGTTCATATGTAATAATGGTTGTTTGAATGTAGCTTGTTGTGGGAATATAACCATTGTGGGGATTTTAATCTGGAAGCAGTACAAATAATGGTTTACATAGTTTGCTCAGTTGTTTCTTTGCAGACATTTGATTACCCCAGTAAGTAATCAGTGTGAGGGAGTGTGGGATTTGTTGCTTGTTTATATAAAGTAGTTTGCTCAGTTGTTTTGGTGCAGGTATGCTTTCCTTCTTGATTAGAGTACAGGTAGTCCTTGAGTTATGACCACAGCTGAGCCCAAAATTTGCGTTGCTAAGTGAGACATTTGTTAAGTGAGTTTTGCTCCATTTTACGACCTTTCTTGCAACAGTTGTTAAGTGAATCATTTCAGTTCTTAACTTAGTAACACAATTGTTAAGTGAATCGGGCTTCCCCATTAGTGATCACATAACCCCACGACACTGCAACTCTCATAAATATGAACCAATTGCCAAGCATTTGAATTTTGATCATGTGACCATGGTTATGCTGCAATGGTCGTAAGTGTGAAAAATGATCATAAGTCACCTTTTCCAGTGCCGTTGTAAGTTTGAATGGTCACTAAAGGAATAATTGTAAGTCGAGGACTACCTGTATTGTATTATTTTCTGCCTGATTATTTGTCTGTTGATAATCCCTGCTTCTCTGAATGTGGATTGCTAGAAGACATGTGTCTAGTCTTTTTATTTTCTTCCTAAATTTTTTATTACCTCTTTTGAACAGTGTGCAAATGAAGTTTATCTCTTATGTGTCTATTGAGGGCTGATTTATTTGAACCCCAAGCTTCCAGAAGTTCATTGGTATTTCTGATTTGGCTTTGTCTATAATGCTTGCTGCTTCCTAGTTTAAACTTCGGCTAAGTCTGTCCGCGTGTTGTGAGATTAAGCCATTTTTCCCATGTCTTCAGGAGGGGGTTTATTCATCCTTCCCTACAACTGCAATTTCTTGCTGTAGCCAGCAGGGGGCAGGGCAACCCACAGCCACACAATGGCCTCTCCCTACATACATGCAGTTCTACTACTACAGGTTTCAAGATCAGCAGTTGAAAAGTCTGAGGCCCTGGACTGGCACACTACAGGGGTCCTGGACCGAATCCCGTGGGAAAAAAAATGAGTCGCCCAGAGCTGGCACTACATGGCTGGGAATCACGCCAACCCCACAAAGCAACAAAGGGAACTGCAGCCCAGCCAAACCCCCTGCCAAGCAGAGCCAATGTTGTTAATGCCCAGCATCCAGTAGTGTGGCTGCTGTAGTAAACCATGTTGGGAATCTGTCTCCATATTAATCTCATCCCTAATTTAGCTTTTCTGACCAACAGCATCTGTTCCTTAGGTCTCTCTTTCCCAACCTCAGTGACTTTGAGATGCATGGATTTCAACTCCCAGAATTCCCCAGGCTGGCTAGAAAATTCTGAGAGTTGAAGTCCACAAATCTCAAAATTGCTGAGGGTGGGAAACATGGCGTTATGTCCTCCAACAACTGCATTCAAAAGCTACCTTTTCTGCAGTGCCCAGGTATGTATATATGGATGAACAAAATCAGGACTGCAGTTGTGATCACATCTTGGAAGCAGTGCTGGGTTGACCCCGGTTCGCACTGGTTCTATAGAACCGGGAGGCTCCACTGACCGGAAGTACAGGTAAGTAGAACCCCACTCCTGATTGGAAGCCCCCCCTCATTTCTACATCAATGCATTAAGAAGTTTTTGATTCTGTGGCCATGGCTATCTACATTTTTTTGTGGCTCCTCAATGTAACAGTTCTGGAAGTGGATTTTCACAATGGAAAACTCAGATTTGCTGCCTTCCCATACAAAAAGGAAATCGGCATCTAGAACAAAGTAGGACGTATGCAGCTAGAACGCTTGATTTTGGAGGGAAGAATTACTTATGTATTTGTACATTTCTCATTGTACAAATCTTAAAGTGGTTTACAATGATGGCAAAAACAGTGTAGCATGTAAGATTAGGAGATCCTCGTTCAAAGGCAGCTTCAGCTATCGGCGCTTACCTGTGGTGGGATTCAGCCACTTCGCACCTATTCGGGAGAACCGGTTGTTAACTTTCTAAGCAGTTCGTAGAACTGGTTGTTGGAAGAAATCTTATTTTGTTTTTTTCCACTTTACAGGGCTAATCCTGTATGGAAGGCAGGAAGGAAACATTCTGGTATTGTTTCTAGCCTAATCTTTATTGCTATGCTTACAGAAACTGCCTCTCTGGTTAACCCTTATTACATTGTAACAGCTAAGGCGAAGCGCCCATTGACGTGAGCGACATTGAGGAGGCCACATCCACATGGTCACATGACCACTGAGCCACACCCACCCAGCTGGTCATTAGGGCAGAGAATCGGTTGTTAAATTATTTGAATCCCACCACTGGCGCTTACCCATAACTTTAAGAGAGTTGCTATCTCTTAAATTACCTACCTCACAAAGTTGTTAGGAAGTGAAAAATTAAAGAAAGAAGTACTATGTCTTCCTGGAGGAAAGGTGTACCCTCAAAGCACTAAATAATGAATAAGAAGTATTGACAAAGGACATTTTTTCACTAGGAACTTATTGTTGAGCATCTTCATAACATCCTTCACCCATTACTGAAGTAATATTAACACACACACACACACACACACAGAGGGAGGGGATTTTTTAAACCCCACTTTTATAAGTAACTCAAGGTGGATAACCTAGATTCCTTTCTTGCAGTATTTTCCTCACAACAACAACTCTGTGAGGTGAATTGAGCTGAGAGAGCAAGAATGTGACCATTTGTTTGCTTGTTTGTTTATCCTGCCTTTATTTTTATAAGTAATCCAAGATGGTGAATGTAATACTCCTTCCTAGTCCTATTTTCTTCATGACAATCTATCCTTGTGTCTTAACCACTAGACCAAATTATATATTTACAAATATTATTTATTTTTAACTATATAAAGCTGATTCTAATTAATGTTCTTTTGATCATGGAGTTAATTTCAAACATGTAAATATTCCTTGCAACCAACCACCTCTGACATTATTATCTAGGCATGGAAAATCAGAGGGGAAGTTGTGACTTTGTGGCTTATCTACAACTACTTGAGCAAATCAGAGCTCAAGGAAATGCTGAGCTGAGCTGCCTTCATAGATGTTTTCAGACAGATAGAGGGTCATTTTAAACCTTCCAAAAGTTTCCCACTGCAGGTAGCCCTTATAACCACAATTGGGACTGGAAAATTTGTTCCTAAGTGGTGTGGTCATTAAGTGAGGCATCACATGATCACATCCAGTTTTACAATCTTTTTTGCCATGGTCACTAATCAGGACATCATGTGATAATGATTTGCAACCTCCTGCTGGCACCTGCATTGACTTCACTTATTGGAAGCCAGCTGGGGAGGTTGCAAATGACAATAATGAGACTCTGGGATGCTGCAACCATCATATAAAAATACATGCCACTTTCCAAGCACCCAAATTGCAATCAGGTGACCTGAGGGATGCTACAATGGTCATAAGTGTGAGAAATGATCATATTTTTCAGCATCATTATAACTGTCAGGATTCCAAGTAACACCCCCCCCCAACGAAATCAAACTCCGAGGCTTGAAGTTCCTCAAAGCTAATTTTTATTAGAGATGTCATATTGGCACATTTGGGAAAACTCGAATCTGAAAGCTTCCGGGTTTTCCTCACCCACAAGAGAGTTCAAGATGTTGCCCACATCTCCCACATGTCCACACAGCTCCAATCAGTTCTTTCCCGAACAGAAGACATCCTCCAATTTCTTCTTTGCACAGCTGCCGGACACCATGGCCTTGAACATCTCTTAGAGAAGTTTGTTATGGCTATCTCTACTTCACTCATGCAATCCCCACTCCCAACTTCCCACAGTATGATTGTGGCAGGCCTGGATCCTCAAGGCACACTGGTAATATGGCTTCCAGGCATGACAGGCGCCCCCCCACCTCAGAAGAAACACGTGTCCTGTAAAGAAAATAACATTCAGGGGAGTTATCCACATTTAACCACCCCTCCCCCCCCAGGAGGACCCTTTGGCTTGTCCTGGTATTTATCATGGAATTGTTTAATCAGTCTATCTGCTTTGACGTTCCAGCTTTTTATCCAGGTGGCGTCAGACAAAGGGTACCCTTTCCATTGTATTAGGTATTATCTCGTAATGGGTCTCTCCTTCCACCACAATGGGGGGAGGAGGCGGTTGGGTCTGGGATCTTATGTTAGATCCAACGGATCGTTTCAGCAAACTACAATGAAATACGGGGTGTATTTTCCCTAATATGCGAGGGAGGCTTAATTGCACTGTCACAGGGTTAATTATTTTTACTATAGGAAAAGGGTCTAAGAACTTTGGTCCCAATTTCCTGCTAGGCAGTCTCAATTTTATGTATTTAGTGGACAGAAAAACTGTGTCCCCCCCCCAAAAAGGGGGTTGAAGTGATCACTGGTGGCAACGGGCCCAGTCCAATGACGATCTTTCTGTGGCTGCCATCCCAAGAGATCGTGGGGCCCCACTTATCGAGCCATGAGAGCCCCAAGATTATGAGATCTGTCATCTTGGGGGCAACTACGAACTGGAGGAATTCTTCATGCTGCCCCAGTTCTAACAATGAGCTCCCTGAGTCTGTTGGCAGGGGTACTGCCAATTAGCGAGCCGTCCACCTGCTCGAAGCTGATGGGCTGTCAGAGGGGACAAGTGCTTATGCCTAGTTGCTCGATTATGTGGGGGCTAATTAGGCATTACATGCAGCTGGTCTCTATGACCACCTCCATTTCTCCCTGGGCTCCAGTCTGGGGGGGGGGCGTTAGGGTAACCTTCAGGGCAAAGGGGCAAATGGTTCCACTCACCCTTGGGTCGTCCTCGCCACTGTCTTCCTCTGAGGAGAGGGAGGAGGAATCCCCAGTCAGGCTCCCTTCCAACCCCGCGGGCTGGGTAGAGCTCTCCGCTGCTTGCTTGGCGCTCTGTCCCTTGTCCAGCGGTTTCCACAGGGTTTTCTTAGGTCCTGCCCGAGCAGGGGACTTCGCCCAGGGCAGGGGTGCTGGAGCTAAGCACTCCAATGCTCGATGGCCCTGCTGACCACATCGGTAGCACTTGATGGTCCCGGGCCTTGCGGGTGGTGGTTCTGCGGTCTTCTTTGGCTCCACTCGTCGCCCGAGGGGCTGTTTAGCCATTTTTTCAGCTGTCGGCTTCCTCGGAGGCTGGAAGTCCAGATCCAGGGCAACCGCATTCTCATACCATGCTTGTATTTGGGTCGGTGTTCCCCTTATGCTACAGGCCTGCCTCAGGTCTGGGTCCAGGGCTTCCTTGAAGGTGTGGACCATCAGTTGCTCCGGCCAGTCCCGTAGCTTCCCGGCCAGCCTCTGGAATTCCCACACAAATTCTTTTGCGGGCCTCCCAGCTTGCCTCAGTGTGGTGATCTGGTGCTCTGCTTCCACTTGTTGGGTGACGTTGCTGAACCTCACCCTCATCAGCTGGATGAAGTCATCCATGTCCTCTAGCTCCGGGGCCCTTTCATTATGAAGCTCAGCTATCCACTCGGCTGCTTCTCCCTCGTTCATGCCTTCAGCAATGGCTGAAATCAATTCACAATCAGAGGGGTATTGGTTCCCAAACTGATCACTGTAGGCCCAGACTTGATTCAGGAAGTATGCCAGTTTCCCTGGGGTCCCATCGAAGGTCGCGCAGAAGGTGGGAGGCGCTGTGGCAAGCGCTGGCTGCTGATCCTGGACTTGCTGCGGGTTCACCAGCACCTGCTGCGGGATCGCGGCTTGGGGTTGTGGATGGACTTCTTGCTGCAGAAACTGCATCTGCGGTGGCATCGAGGCAGGCATCCATTGGCACTGTATCCACCCGTGGCCTGGGTAGTAAGCCCACCCGGGAGGGATTTGGCTTGCAGGTGAGAACCCCATCTCGGGCGGCAGCTGCAGGTTCCAAGCCCCTTGCGGCTGGATGGGAACTCCATGGCCGGCCTGGCTGGCTGGGAGGGGTTGCAGTCCCAAGTGGTGGGAATCCACGGCTGGGCTTACTTGAAGGGACAGGCCAGGAGTTGAGCAGCTTGGGACCGAGTGAAAAGTCATTGCCGTTTCGGCCCATTGGGCTGCCGGCCCCTGGCTCGGAAAGGTGGACGTTGGTTGTGCCAAGGTCCACTCTGGCTGCTTGGTGGAGGCATGCTGGGGCATCCCACTTACTCTCAGTCGGCTCAACTGCTCCGGAAGACCAGCTAGGGATTGGGTGCGTGACTGCGGCAGGAGTCCCCATTCTTTGGAGTGTCGGTGGCGCGGCGGCTGCAATAACTCCCACTGTGGTTCCCACATCGCTCCTCGAAGCGGGGTTGCACTGCTGGCTTCGCCTTGCGCTACCAGGTCCTGCTTCAAGCTTCGCTTCAGCAGCTGCTCCTTAGGCCGGGCACCCAGTTGGCGGGCAGCCTCTGCAGCCCTTTTCGCTTCCACCATCCCAGGGGAAGGAGAGTAGAGGGTCTCAGGAACCGTTGCTGAGCCTGTGCCTGCTGCTCCCTCCATAGGCTTCTTTTCCTCCTCCATCTTCCTTGTGTCTTCGCGTTGCCCTGGTTTGGGCCGGCGCTTGGGGCTCAGGACCCTGAACAGCTCCCCAAGGTTAGGGAAGCTGCTCTAATTTTAATGGAGATTTCGTGTTAATGTCAGGGTTCCAAGTAACACCCCCAACAAAATCAAACTTCGAGGCTTGAAGTTCCTGAAGGCTAACTTTTATAGAGATGGCATATTGGCAACATCTGAGAAAACCTGAAAGCTTCCAGGTTTTCCTCACCCACAAGAGAGTTCAAGACCTTGCCCACAGCTCCCACAGCTCCAATCAGTTCTTTCCAGAACAGAAGACATCCCCCAATTTCTTCTTTGCACAGCTGCCGGACACTATGGCCTTGAACGTCTCTTAGAGAAGTTTGTTATGGCTATCTCTACTTCACTCATGCAATCCCCCCTCCCAACTTCCCACAGTATGATTGTGACAGGCCTGGATCCTCAAGGCACACAGGTAATATGGCTTCCAGGCATGACAGGAACTTTGAATTGTTGCTAAATAAATGGTCATATGTCAGAGACTACATGCATGATATTATGACAGGCTGCCATCAACTCCTCTAATTGATCCAGAATCCCTTTATCTAGCCACACAGAAGTCTCCACCTTTAAAAGGCCAAAACTACTTCTTCAGACCAGTCCTAGAAAAAGAGAAAGAAAAATACTTTGATTTTCCCGACCAACCCCAGAAATGCAGAGTTTCACAAATCTTGGGCTAATCCGGAATTACAAGGTATAACTGGGTGACCATGCTGTTTTGCGCATGGGGATATGAGAAAATCCTTCTTAAGCCAAGGAAGCCAAATCTGAAAACACATGAAAAACATTTGCACGCCAAGAATTCCAATAAAATCAACAGAATGAACCCAGCCAAATTAGTTATTTATTACTGCCTAGAAGGAAAACTTGGATTTAGGCACATCAGAGAAGATGGTTGGAGAGAAATATTTTACACTTCGTGCTTGGAAGCTCTTGTTCCTCCTGTGTCTTGCTGTGTTGTAGGCTCTGAGCATTTATTTTGCATTTTGTAGAAAATGTACCAGAACCAAAAAATGGCTGGTACTTTGCTCCATCAAGAAAACCAGAAAATATCTAGCAGCTAAACCCACCTTCTTAATAACTGCAAAATTATAAAGCAGCAGCCTGTTTTTCAGTCATTCTTTAAGTAAATTGGATTACATTGGTGGACCCCCTTTAGGAGAATCAAGCTGAATTCCATCTATTCAGATCTTTGTGGTATTATACCAAAACCAAGAGTTTGTCACAGAGGCCAAACTACATGTTACTGCAAACAATTCAGGAAAGTGGTCTCAACTGCCTTTAACTAAATGTAACTTTGTGGTGGAAATTTGTGACTGGAGAATTATTTGATGGGAGACAGAGGTTGACCATTGGAGATATTTGACTGCCCTGCTTCCCTTGCAGGGAAACACACAAGTGGTTGTTTACAAAGATAACACAAGTGCTCCATCCTTAGCCACGTCATTCTTTGGACCAGCTCAAATTGTTTTCATCCTGAGACAAAATAAAAAATAATAACCTCTCAAAGTCATTGAATGTAGTGCATAAGCCAGCTAAGGTTTTTTGGTACATAAAACTGATGCCGAAAATTTAGTAAGTATTTCTGCCTGGTAGTCAATATGGAAAATTCATAACCTCTTCTTCATGTTTACCCCTTCTTCTCCCCTCCTTTCTTTCCCCTCCCCTTTTTTTTTGAAGAAGTTTATTAAGATTACCGTGCTATAAAATACAAAAAAAAAAAAAAACAATAATAGGAAAATGAGGAAGGGAAAGAAAGGAGAAAGAAAGGTATAAGGCAAAGGCAAAAAGAAAAAAAAAGGAATGACTTCCAACATTTTTCAGCACAGCAAAATGCAAAACGCAATTTTAGCCTCGACTTTTTACTTTACCAACTTAACAGATACTAGTCATTTCTGTAACAACAAACTACAGGTAGTCCTTGAATTACAACCATTTGTTTAGTGACTGTTCAAAGTTATAACAGCACTGAAGAAAGTGACTTATGACTGGTTTTCACACTTACAACTGTTGCAGCATCCCCAAAATCATGTGATCAAATTTCAGGCATTTGGCAACTCGCATCTGTTCACACGTCCTGGGCAGGGGTGGGTTCTACTTAACTTTACTACCGGTTCGCAATTGGGCCGCGCACGTGCTTGCTTCCCTTGCGCGCAAGCGCAGAAGCATTTTGATGACTTCGGGGTTGGTGGGCGGAGTTTCCTGCCGGTTTTACTACCAATTCTATAGAACCGGTGTGAACCGGGGGCAACCCACCACTGGTCCTGGGGTCATGTGATCACCATTTGTAACCTTCCCAGCTGCTTTCCAATAAGCAAAGTCAATATGGGAAACCAGATTCACTTAATGTCCACATGTTTCACTTAACAACTGCAATGATATGCTTAATATCTGTGGCAAATAAGGTTGTAAAATGGGGGAAAACTGACTTAACAATTGCCTTCCTTGGACTCAGTTCTGGTCATAAACTGAAGGCTACCTGTGGATTAATCAGCAAAACCCAAAATCAAGAGTTTATGTTTTTTTTCTTCCTTGAGCACAAAGTCCAGAAACAGTTTCCAAATAGAAACAAAATTGGATATCTTCTTTTCTCTAATTAAAACAGTCAATTTTGCCATCTCTGCTAGCTCCATCTCTTTTTCCATTCATTCCTTTGTTGTGGGGATTGACAATCTTTCCATTACTATGCCTATAGAATTCTTCCTGCAATCAACATGTACAGTGACAAAGTTAGAAATCTTTTTTCAAACGCCTGATCTCCGATAACCGTAAAAGAGAAATTTCAGGTTCCAATTTTAGGTTAATTTTAAGAATCTGCTGCATTGTAACAAGAATGTGAGCCCAATATTTCTTTATTTAATCCCAAGAATGATTTACCCCTTCTTACAGGCACCCCAAAGGTCTTCCACTAACCAAGAAAAATGATTAATGTTTATTACTTTGCTTTACGAAGGAGCATTTTAGAGGAAAATTTTATAAAAAAAACACCTATTCTAATATAATAATACATTCTCTTCCTATTTATCATTAGTTGTTGGTGAAAATAGGCAGACTAAGGAGTATTAGGTATGTTTGCCACCTTGAGCGATTTGTAAAAATAATAAAGGTAGGATATAAAAAAATGAACAAAATCTAAAATCAGATGAGTACAGGTAAAATTATATTTCTACTGAGGTGGTAATGTAAGTAGGAGATCCTTCTCCTTCATTTTTCTCTCCAGCAGTGCACCCACCACTTGGGGGGGGGGGAGTGGCAAAACAGTAGGAGTTAATGGATTAAATTGTTGGCCTCTCCCCAAGGCCATTTGCCAGCAGAGAAAATATCGTAGGTGATAAGTAACCCGCTAGCCGAGTCTCTTTTCCCAAGGCTATCCAGCTGGGCAAGGAGACTGGGGGAAAGAGGCAGGCAGGGAGGTCAATTTCCTTTGTTTGTTTTAGTCAACAAATTTAGTGATTTATACTCATTGGTGCTTTTCAGTGGTGATGGCTATTTACGGTGACCATATTTTCTGGGAAAAAGTAAAGGAGAAACCTGAAAAAGGGTTCATGAGGATAAAGAAAAATGGTTAATGTTTATTACTTTGCTTTATGGAGGAGCATTTTAGAGCAAAACTATATAAAAACGCCAATTATCCTCATCCTCATCCTTTTTCTTCCTATTTATTGTTAGTAATTGGTGAAAATAGGAAGACAAAGGATTATTAGGTAAGTTTGCCACTTTGAGTGATTTGTAAAAATAATAAAGGTAGGATACAAAATAAATAAATAAAATCTAAAATCAAACGACTACAGGTAAAATTATTTTAAACACACAATTCAACATCCATATTTTTCACATGATTGTGAAAGGCTATGCATAACCTGGTAACATTCATGTGGAAAAATTAAAGGACCAAAAGAAACCCAGAAGAGCTTTTTGAAATAAGGGGCTGTCCTTTATAATACAGCATTCGTATGCATATTATTTCATTAACTTGGTAATCTGATATTGTTTATGGAGAACTGCAAGTCAACCCCTATGTAGTTTAGCCCAGGTAGGACCCAATCATACTAAGAGCCTTGGTAGTACAGTGGTCTAAAGCACCCTGTTATTAAGACCAGCTGCCTGCAATTACTGCAGGTTCGAATCTTGCCAGGCTCAAGGTTGACTCAGCCTTCCATCCTTTCTAAGGTAGGTAAATTGAGGACCCAGTTGTGGGGGCAATAAGCTGACTTTGTATAAATATACAAAAGTATGAAGGCCATTGCTTAACGCATTGTAAGCCGCCCTGAGTCTCCGGAGAAGGGCGGCATATAAATCAAATTAACAAAAAAAAAAAAAAAAAGATGACGTCTTGTGCCTGGCCCCACCAGAGAGGATTGTGACCCCTCAGGTGCTGGAGTAATTTACAAACTCCTTTTTAAAAAAAACCAGTCTATACCTGTGAAGTAAGTGACATATGAGGTTCTGGATTTGTATAGTTTGCTTGTTCTTTTGAAAAAAAGTTGAAACCCCTTCTATATAGGTGGATAATCACTATCTTTTCATTAAGTCTTCATTACTATTCAACTTCTCATCGTTCCTATCACCCATCTCCTCCCACTTGTGACTGTATGACTGTAATCTTGTTGCTGGTATCCTTACGATTTATATTGACTGTTTCCCAATATGATTTGATTGCTTATTTGTTCCCCGTGACTATCATTAAGTGTTGTACCTTATGATTCTTGACAAATGTATCTTTTCTGTTATGTACACTGAGAGCATATGCACCGACAAATTCCTTGTGTGTCCAATCACACTTGGCCAATAAAGATTTCTATTATTCTATTCTATTCTATTCTATTCTATTCTATTCTATTCTATTCTATTCTATTCTATTCTATTCTATTATCATATAATAAAAATATGCCATTAAAAAAGTAAAAGAATTGAAATGGAAATAGGCTGATCATATAACAAGAAGAATGGATGGTAGGCGGACCAAGGCAGTCATAGAATGGATCCCACTTGATAAAAAGATACTACAGAAAAGACCTACACAAGATGGAACGATGACATCAGCAAGTATTGTGGGCCCAACTGGCAAAGGAAAGCTCAAGACCATATTGGCTGGAAACTTGCGGAAGAGGTCTTCATCCTACAATGGCTGGCTCTGCAGTGGATGGAATGATGGTGATGATGTACCACCACCTGTAGCCATTAGCAACTTTTTGTAAGCATGTAAGTTCCCTCAAAGAAAGTCGATTTTGCTCTACAGCACCTTTGCTCAACCTTGGCAGTTTGAAGACGCCTGGACTTCAACTCCCGGAATTCTCCACCCAGCCACACATCTTCAAGCTGTCAAAGTTTGGGAACCGCCGCACTACAGACTTCCAGTATAGTCAGGAAACTTATTATCATGTATGTATAAACTCGCACATACATATTAGCCTGCCTTGTAGATTTGGGGGGTGGTTGATCCACTTCATTGGAGCAGGTTCTCAGATCCGGGCTGCAAACATCTGGAGCGCCACTAGTGGCCATCCGTATGTTTGCAGGCCAAGTCTGCAGCCCTAAACCTCTGTTTGGTAGGCGTGTCGAGCGTACAGCTGAGATCGGCGCCTCTTTTGACTTTTTGCTCCCTGGTGGATCCAGCTGCTTCTTCCCTTCTTTTACGTCCCCCACTTTAAGACCCACCCCTTGCTCTCTCCACCCGCCCCACCTCCTTTCCAGCCCGCCCGTCCAGGCCCCTGGCGCTCCCTAACCGCCGAGGCATCATGTCCCGCTCGGAGGAGGTGAACCGGCTGACCGAAAACGTCTATCGGGTAAGCCGCACTCCGTATACTTTTGCTACAGGTTCTTCTCCAAAACTTCTTTCTGTCTTCCTTCCTTCCCTCCCGTCCCTTCTTCTTCTCCTTCTCCTCCGTTTCCTTGGATTTCCTTCCACGACTCCCTCCGTCTTTCTCTTCTCCTGTTTATTCCACCTCCGCAAATTAGCTGGTCCATCGATCGATCCCTCCCAGCCTTGCCCCCTCCCCTTTCTCTCCCCCCCCACAGGCATAGCATATACCCCCTTCCTGCTCCCCAGACTCAATTCGTTATCCAAGTTTGTATTTCCATTTTCCCCTTCCGCCTTGGTTCTGCGCTGGATCATATATTTTGGCTTTCTGGTCGGTCTTCGCAGCCTTTTGTTCGCCTTCTAAAAATCGGAGGGTGGGAGTGGGGGGGGGGGGGTAGAAGCAACAGGAGGTGCGTGGAAAGAGGAATTGGGACATAATGTTCCAGAAGCCCCCTCCCTCCGCTGCGGCCCCCCCCCCAATATTTTGGATGCAGAGAAAATGCCAGACTTCAAGGCAAAATTAATACCAGGAGGTAGCAAGTTTTCCCTTTCTTTCTGTTAAAAATCCACTGCCTAATTACTAAAACCAAACGGAGAAATTTGCAGAGCCGGGGGGGCGGGGGGGAAAGTTTGAAGCGGATTATTACTATTAGCGGATACATTTAACGGTTTGTAGCGGTCAGGGCACCCATTGCGTCGAATGGCGATTGAAAGCTTTTTGCCTTTGCTTCGGCTTCATGGTTTGAGCCCGAACCCACCGTGAATTTGGGTGTATGGACGGAACAATTTGGGGAAACTTCGTCAAAGATTTTTTTTTTTTTTTAACTCGGTTCCTTCTTTGAAACTAGCCGGCAGAATCTCTAGGAAAGTTTCCTCGAGATCGCACGTGGAAAAAAAAAAACGCAGAATATAAATTCAATAAGAAAATAAATCAATACAAGAAGGCAGGGAACTTGGCAGGTTAGGTTCTGGTGAAGATGGAAGAGTTTGGTGGTGGTGTTCTCCTCCAACCAATGGAAACGATGGAAATTTCATGCCAAATCACCCCCCCCCCCCCCGCCCCTCCAGCTTGGCTGGGGATGAAAAACGAAACTTAACCCATTTGTTGCTCACCCTCCTTCCAAACATTTGGTTCCCCTTCCCTAATTATCTTGATGGCGACTGAATGGGTTATTTCCTTATCTGTAAAGGAAACAGCCATCAGCCAGGGTTCCTGTGCTCCATGCTTGTTGCTGCCATAACTCAGGGAAGCTACGCCTGGCATGACATAGGGCGAAGCCATCCTTCTGTGGGGATGGGTGGAGAAAAGCTCCTTTAAGGTCTGCAGAATTGGAATCATGGGGATAGTAATGCCTATGGGAAGCTGGACTATGTTGTTCATGCTCACCAATATTTTTTAAATTGTGGGAATATTGTATGCCAGTCTTTGCAGTAAAGCCAAGGATATGGGACCTACAACAAGCCTATAAGGTAGAACAGAATGAGATGGAGACTTTATTAGACCCATTGATTGAATGACAAATGTTCATCCTGATCTTTCTGGACCAAATCTCCACTCTAACCCTGTTTCACAATGAGTAGTGGATACATGCATCTACAAATAATAATTACTGTTGCAGGATACAATCTGGGTTGGTCACTGGGACCAGAGGTTAAGTCTTAGGAGCTTTCGAACTTGTGCACATTCCAGTAGACAGAAATTCCCTGTGAATGGACTCAAGCACGAATCCAATAGCTTGGAAGACTGAACCTCTGGTCTGGGTGACCAACCTAGGTTGCATCTTGCAACATTATGCTGGGACATGTATATTTGCCTTCATTCATAATAGTTTTTGTTTATGGTTTGGCCGCTGGTTTTATTGGCTTTGACAGGAAGAAGGAGATGCCTAGAAAGGAAGCCAGCATAGACTTATATTTGACCTGATGCCTCTTTTTAGTGCCAGGCAGGAACATGCCCTCTAGGTCAGGGGTCTCCAACTTTGGCAACTTTAAGACTTGTGGACTTCAACTCCCAGAGTTCCTCAGCCAGCTGGGGAAGTCCATAAGTCTTAAAGTTGCCAAAGTTGGAGACTCCTGCTCTAGGTGATGACACATGGCTGGATTACACATGCAGCCACATGTGGCAGGAATGTACTGACTGACTTTTGTATTATTTATGAGTTCTAGAGAGGATGCTATTTCTCTGCATTAATTTTTTAAAAAGTATCTCCGCAAGAACAGATCAGCATCTCTAATCTTGAAGAACCTACAATGTCTCTACAGGGCTGGATTTTTTGCAGGCAGGAAATGTTCCCCCTGAAGAGCGTTTCAATGGTATCCAGGCACGTATGCTAGGGATTTGAACAGATGCACTTTTATCTCGTAAAGATTCCTGTGACTCATCTACCAACTGTTGATGCAATTTCAAGCTTATAGGTGGGCAGGTCTGTTCAAGAGTTTGGAAAAGTCAAAATAACAGCTCGGTTTTTGTGATGGCCAGGTATAAAAAGAGGTGGGGCTGTGACTTCGAGAAAGATCTGTGTGTTCATCACAGGACAGTCAACATCTTGAATTTTATACCCCCCATGTTGGCCCCACCATAAATGGGAAGTTTTTTTGGTGGTACTACAACAGACCATTTAGCCAAACTCAACCACAGGTGTGGTTGCCCCAGTTTTCTGCCAGATGTGCAGATAATTCATAAAATAAATTCTTCCCTTTGCCATTTTTCAATCAAGGCTTCCTCTATCCATTCTTCTCACCATTGCCACCAGTACATTTTAGCCCATTCTAGTGATCTGCACCTCATCCGTTCTTGTTCCTACCCAGTTGCTGTTCTTCATCTATCCACATGTACTCCACTATAATGCTCCTTTTTCTCTCTAGGCATTAGGGATGTCTGAAGGGAAGGGGTCAAACATGCATTAAAAAAGGCAAGGGTTTGATTGACAATTATGGGTACCATCTTCATTTTTTGACTCCTGCTAAGCATCAATCCACAACTTGCATGATCTGAGGTAATGAGAGAGAGGTGAACCATCTATGGCTATGCGTGGACCCCAATACACCTTTTTGCTGTTAAGCACTGTTTTCACTTCTTAAAATGTCAGTGTCTTTCACCTTTTATGGGGCTTCAAGGGATGTTACGTTCCTATAAGACCTAAGGCTCCTATTTTAACCCTTGATTGCCCTCCCCCCAGGCCAAATATTTAAGCTTTGCTTTCAAGAAGATGGTCCACTTCTGAAGTAGAATAAAAAGGAGTTGAGAGGATTTGCACCCTTATCCTCACTTTTATAATACAACTAGTCCTTGACTTACAACAGTTCATTTAGTGACCATTCAAAGTTACAACTGAAAAATGTGACTTATGACTGTTTTTCACAGTTACAACTTTTGCAGCATTCCCCCCCCCCCCATGATCATGTGATCAAAATTCAGATGTTTGGCAACCGGGTATATTTATAACTGTTGCTGTGTCCCAAGATCATGTGATCACCTTTTGTGACCTTCTGATAAGCAAACCAGGTTCACTTAACTGGGTTATTAACTTACCAGCTGCAGGGATTCACTTAACAACTATGGCAAGAAAGGTTGTAAAAACTCATTTAACAAATATCTCACTGAACAACAGAAATGCTGGGCTCAGTTGTGTTTGTAAGTCAAGTACTATCTGTACTGTATTGTAGTATTATAAAACATAACCCAAAATATTAGCTCTGCTATAGTTCTGTATAGGACCCAATTAGAAAGCTGAAACACAAGTTGTGTCTGAATATGCCTGGAAACTCACTGTTGTCAGACCTGGAAGCCATCTTTTACATTTGGGCCTTCAGGCCTGCCATATTTTTCTATTGTGGGAAAATGGGAGGGGGGATTGCATAGAGTATGGGTGATATCTAGTCAAAATAACATTCCTTTCTCAAAGAGTCAAGGGCGCCTTGCCCTGGCTCTTGGCATCGGATGACTGGGAGGTGTCTCCAGTTTGGACGGTGGATGATTGGACCATGTGATGGACATGTGGGTGCTGGGGAAGAACTTGAATTTTCAATTGGGGGAGGGGAAACCTGGAAACTTTCAGATTCAGGTTTTCCCAGATGTGCCAATATGACATCTTCAATAAAAAGAAACTTTGAGGAACCTCAAGCCTCGGAGTCTTCTTTCATTGGAAGTGTTACTTGGAACCCTGGCAACTGTAGTATAAAGAGCAAATACGCCAAATGAGAACTGCTGTAGCCTCTTATTCAAATCTTTGTCTGTTTTTGAAGTTTGCTAGGTGAAATGGGCTCACACACAATCATACAAAGACACACAAAATCATATTCTCCTCACTTCTGCATCTTTTCCATACTTCTGATCATTGTATTTCTCCCCACACAACCCATATTTTCTTCTCTTTTACTTATATTTATAGTGACCAACGAAGAGTTATTTTCCCCCCAGAAAGCTGTCCTTTAGATTTACTTTCCAAAAACTCACCTTTGTCCTATATTTGGGTTATTTAACTTTTATCATACAAATAGTAACAATTAAATCTTTCATATTCATGTGAAAAATAGGAAAATTAAACTGTATTTATAAAATAAGTGCACATATAGTTTGATTTTAGATACTAGAATACGTGCTTTTTGTAAAGTTTTTCTTGGTTTTCCTCTTAAATTTTCATTTGTAAAGCAAAGTTATAAACATAAACAATTACAGTTTTCTCGTTATGAACCTCTCTAAGATATGCCACTTTTTCAGGTTTATCTTTTATTGTTTCAAAGAAAATATGGTGGTTGTACATATATTGGATCTTTTTTCCTAAAAGCTACATCCACTTTCAATCTCAGAAGTTGCTAAAGGTGATCTTGCCAAAGTTTATATACTTTTAAATTCCTGTTAGATTATACTGGGAAAGTAAAAACATCTTAGATCTATAGAGATTCTCAGTCATCCAAGTCATGGCTGTTCCAAAGTTGCTTTTTCAAAAGCCAACTGGACTTTCTCTATTTTTCTTTGAAGACGTTTTGCTTCTCATCCAAGAAGTTTCTTCAGTTCTAACTGAATGGTGGAGAATGGAAGGATTTATATTTATATTCCTTGCGGTCAAGGAATGCAAATCCTTCCATTCTCTACCATTCGGTCAGAACTAAAGAAGCTTCTTGGATGAGAAGTGAAATGTCTTCAAGGAAAAACAAAGAAAGTCCAGTTGCCTTTTGAAAAAGCATCTTTGGGACAATACATTTGACGCTTTCTCTGGAGGTTGTGGAGGTGCTTAATTTTGTATCAGGCTAGAATATTTTATGTTTTATTTTCTTCCCTATTCTGACAAGGTGATTCTGGACCAGTTCAATCCAAGTTTAAGGAATTTTGTTACCATGGGGAAAAGTTATCAAAAAGCCCTCTCAGGTAAGGGAATACCCTATTCCAACTCATTGCCTTTGAATCAGGTCAGCATTGGTCCTTTGAAGGAGAAACATCTGTATTCAGATTTCATTATTTGATGTCTGTTCTCTCCCACTCCCTGTCCATCTTTACAGGAGTTACTGTTGCTGCCAAAGGCTATTTTGATGCTTTGGTGAAACTTGGTGAGTTGGCCAGTGACAGCCAAGGATCCAAAGAGCTGGGTAGGTTTCTTGATTGATCTATTTTGTCTTTTCCAAAACAACAAACAATGTTACCTCTTGTGGCACATTTCTTGTGGAGAATTCTTTATGGCTTCGCCAATGTTCCAGTAAGAGACAAACAGGAGAATTTAGATTTTCTATGATGTTATCCATTCAGTCGAGTCCGATTTTGTGGGCCAGGTCTCGCCACATCTTCTGATCTTGCACTATTTCTTTGCTGTGGCTGGTTTCAGCTTGATAGTGTCCAACCCAGTGGTAGGATTCAATTTTTTTTACTACTAGTTTTGTGGGTGTGGCTTGGTGGGCGTGGCGTGGCTTGGTCGGTGTGGCAGCGGAAGGATACTGTAAAATCTCCATTTCCACCTCACTCCAGGGGAAGGTTACTGCAAAATCCCCATTCCCTCCCAATCAGCTGGGACTCAGGAGGCAGAGAATAGAAGGAGGCGGGGCCAGTCAGAGGTGGTATTTACCCGTTCTCTGAACTACTCAAAATTTCCGCTACCAGTTCTCCAGAACTGGTTAGAACCTGCTGAATACCATCTCTGGTCCAGCTGCCATGTTCTTTGATGGCCTGGTTTCGTTTTACCACCAATTCCTTTTACTTTTCTGTAGATTTTCTATAGAGCTTCACAAAGTACAACACAAATAACCTCTTCCTTAACCTTTCAGAGGTTTTGAGACTTCAACTCCCAGAATTCTTAGCCAGTCTTGACAAAGGAAATATTGGGTGGGGGTGGGGGGTTAAAACAGCTTTGGACAGAGTTGGTCAATCAGGCTACATATCTAGACTACAACATTCCAAGTAGGCAATAAGAGGGAAGAAATACAGATAATTCTCAACTTACAACCATTCGTTTAGTGACTATTTGAAGTTATAATGTCACTGAAAAGTGACTTATGACGGTCTTTCATACTTATGACCATTGCAGCATCCCCAGGGTCACGGGATCAGAATTCATGCTCTTGGCAACTGGCATGAATTTATGACAGTTGCATTGTCCCGGGGTCATCTCATTATCATTTGTAACCTTCCCAGCCATCTTCCAAGAAGCGAAATCAATCCAAGAAGCCAGATTTGCTTAATAGCCGTGTGATTCACTTAACAACTACAACGATTCATTTGTGTTGCAAAAAAGATCGTAAAATGAGGCACGATTCGTTTAACAACTGCCTTGGTTAACAATGAAACTTTGGGGCTCAATTGTAGTCATAAGTTGACGATTACATATAGTGTTTTCTGCATTGCTGTGTGGCCATCTAACTGCTGTCTGGATTTTTGCAGCTCAGATATAGTGGCCTGAGTATTGTTGGCTGGAGAATTCTGGGAATTGAAGTCCAGATGTCTTAAAGTTGCCAAAGTTGAGAAAGACTGATTTACATTTTAAAGATTGGCATGTGACCTGTTCACTTTCCCCCTTTCTGGTTTGCATATGTATATTATGTGATCAGGTACCTTTATAATTTGGCAACCAAATTATACTGGTGGCATCATGGAAACCACCCCCAGAGAGAAGCAACTCCATGTATTTAAGGTAAACTGAAATGAAAAACTTAGTTATGTGTTCAGCAGAATCAGCTGGGAAATTTGCTTCTGCTGTACAGTTTTGTACTAAGGAAGAATTGTCAAACATGCCATTTCCAGCTGAGAAATAGGGATTTTTTTTTTCATATTTAATTATTGTCAGAACCCACCCACCCCCAAATATCAGTAAGTATGCCTATAGATATTCTCAGTCAGGTCATGGTTGTCCCAAAGGTGCTTTTTCAAGAGGCAACTGGACATCCTCTGTTTTTCTTTGAAGACGTTTTGCTTCTCATCCAATATGCAGTACAATGAAGTGAGACATGTGCAGATCTGTATATTGGGGAAGCAAAACAACGATTTCATAAATGCATGGCACAATGTAGGAGAATAAACCCATCAGGACAAGGTTCAGCAATCCGTCTGCATTTAAAAGATAAATGCCACTGTTTTGAAGACCGCAAAGTCCACATTTTGGACAGAGAGGACTGTTGGTTTGAAAGAGGGATCAAAGAGGCCATCTATTGTCAAAATTGAACAGCCCTCTCTCAACAGAGGGGGAGGAACTCGATGGCATCTATTCCAATCTACAACACAGCCCTTTCAGCAGTTCCAAAAAGACTCCACACCCATTTGCACCATTCAGGTGACCCTGAGCACACAGCTAAATGTCTGTGACCCTGAGCACACAGACAAACCTCCAGATGGCCTCAAGGACTCTCTAAAAGAATGCAAATGACCAGATGTTTGCAAGGAGTATTAATCCTCCCCACTATCCAGTCAGAGCTGAAGAACTTTCTTGGATGAGAAGCGAAATGTCTTCAAAGAAAAACAAGAAAGTCCAGTTTATTTATTTATTTATTCAATTTGTATGCCACCCCTCTCCGAAGACTCAGGGCGGCTCACAATGCATTTAAAATCATTATAAAAAACTTTTAAGAATTAAAAACAATAAAACTCATTCACACCATTCATAGCCGGATCTCGCCGGATCGCAAGAGCGAGATCAACAGCCCAGGCCTGCCAGAAAAGCCAGGTCTTCACCGCTTTTCGGAAGGCCAATAGGGTGGGGATGGTCCGGACCTCAGGAGGTAACTGGTTCCAGAGAGCTGGGGCAGCCACAGAGAAGGCCCTCCCCCACGGGCCCACCAGCCAGCATTGTTTAGCTGACGGGACCTGGAGGAGACCAACTCTGTGGGATCTTACTGGTCATTGGGAGTTATGTGGAGTTGCCTCTTGAAAAAGTACCTTTGGGACATCAATAAATATGGTACAGCCCAAGAACAGGCTTATTGCTGATGCAGTTAATTATATAACTATATAACTAAAAGTACCGTAAGGTACTTTTAAGTTATTTGGGGGGCTTTGGGATTTTTAGCATTTTATTTTCTATGAATGCCTCCAGAGTTTCCTTGAGGGCAACAGGAGTTGTTGGAATGCAGATTATGTTTGTAGCAAACATTTTGTTACAAAGCAGAGGACATTATCATTCATGGGTTTAATTAAAACATATTTTGTAAATGAAATTAAGTGTAGGCAGGCTGGTGGACCTAGACCAGTAAATGGCAAGGACAACATTAGACCTGATGTTCTTCTGGCTGTGGATGATGGGACTGGCACGCTTGGAGGGGACTGGTTGCGAAAGGCTGTTCTACACCAATAGATTTTTGCATGTCTCTTAAGTTATTGCTAACTCCTTGTATTTTTTTTTAATGTGGGGATATGCCTGTCTACATTCATGATATACAGGTGGTCCTCGACTTACAACAGTTCACTTAGTGACCATTTGAAATTACAAGGGCACTGAAAAAAATAAGTTATAACAGTTTTTCATACTTACGATTATAGTGGCATCCCCATAATCATATGATCAAAAATTTAGACATTTGGCAACTGGTTCATATTTATGACAGTTCCAGTGTCTTGGGGTCATGTGATCTCCTTTTGCGACTTTCTGACAAGCAAAGTTAATGGGGAAGCCAGATTCACTTAACAACCATGTTACCAACTTAACAACTGCCGTAATTCACTTAACAACTGTGGTGAGAAAGATCATAAAATGGGGCAAAACTCAGTTAACAAATGTCTCACTTAGAAACAGAAATGTTGGGCTCTATTTTGGTTGTAGATCGAAGACTGCCTGTACAGTTAATCCTCGATTTACAACGACAATTGGGACTGGAAAATGTGATATTAAGTGGTATAGTTGTTAAGTGAGGTATCACATGACTGCACCTGATTTTATGACCTTTTTGTCACAGTTATTAAGCAAGGCAACACATGACAATGATTTGCAACCTTCCCTGCCATTTTCCGTGTGGCTCCGGGATTGTTCAAATATAAATACGAGATGGTTGCCAAGTGCCCAGATTGCAATCAAGTGACTACAGGAAAGCTGCAATGATCATAAGCGTGAAGGCTGGTCATATGTCACTTTTCTCAGCATCGTCATAACTTTGAACAGCTATTAAACAAACGGTCGTAAATTGAGGATTACCTCAATCAGCGTCTCCAATCTTTCCAGTTTGGCAGCACAACCTGGTGTGGGGGGGGGAGTGGCATGCACACGCTTGCACAGCCACATTTGTGCATGTATCATGTGTGCACACCCTCCTCTCGCACGAATGGAGCTTCACGCGTGAGCGGAGGGTGCCTTCGCTCTCGTGCAAAGCTCCACTTGGACGAGCAGCAGACTTGCGTACGAAGCTCCAGTCGCATGAGTAGAGGGCACTTGTGCTCACGTGCAAAGCTTCATTTGCATGAGTGGAGAGCAGTTACATGAATGGAGCACCACCCATTAGTGCAAGTGCCCTCCGCTCGCACAACTGGAGCTTCACATGCCCACACTTGGCCATTTCTCCCGGGGGTTGGGGACCCCTGTAGTACATAAATTTAATCTCTTTAAATTTAAAACGTACCATAACTAAAGTATATAGATCACAGGTTGCTGACTCAAGGCAGAACGTACACAACTGTCTCCAAAGCTCTTTAGAGCAGGGTTTCTCAACTGTGGCAACTTTAAGCTGTGTGGACTTCAACTCCCAGAATTCCCCAGCCAGCATTAAAGTTGTTGAAGTTGAGCATGAAAGGGTTTGCTTTGCTGGTTCCAGTTGAAAGCTGTTTCTTCGGATAACATCAGGGAATGGATTTAACTCCAAAGGAGATTACCCTGGGACAGAGAAAGCAAGCAGGGTACAAAAAGATCTTTAAATGTGGAGGAACTGCCTTGGGTGCATTAACCCTTCAGTTGTCTTGGCCTTCAGGTGACACCTTGTTCCAGATGGCTGAAGTCCACAGGCAGATGCAAGTACAGTTGGAGGAGACGGTGAGTATCTGTATGTGATATTAGCCCAGCACCCAGGCCTGCCAGTATTAGATTAATAGCCTGTTTATTCTGGCACCACATTCTTTTGTCCTGCAGGCCCATTTTTCCCAATACCATGTCAATGTCTCACATCCATTTCTGGGACTCAAAAGAGTGGGGAGGGAGGAAGAAGCACTGATCTCCCTTTGCCCAATTGTCATTTGCCCTTCTCTGCTTTCTCATCCCTTGTTCTTAGCTGAAGTTTTTCCACTCTGAGATGCTATCCCAGCTGGAACACAAACTGGAGCTGGATATCAAATATCTGATGGTAAATGAAAAGATTCATCTACATCTCTCTGGTCCACCATTTCAAATTTATCTCTCTGTGGCTGACCGCCACTTCTTCCTTATTATTATATATTTTATCCAGTCCATAATGGCTGCATTCGCATAGCATGCAGTCATAAACCATGTTGACATAATGTGGTAAGCCAAAACTAAACATGGCTTAAAGAGAGCCCAGCTTTAAGTTTGGGGTTTCTTAAATTAGTGTAGCAGAAGAGCAGGCAGAGCTGGTGGGTGGAGTTAAGCATGTTGCATTCCCATAACAACTCCCCAAGTCCAACCTCTCTTGAATTCCATTGACCCTTATCTGGCACCAATTTTGTGTTGAACTTTAGTTGATCACATTCTTGTATATAGGCTTGAATAAATCTATCCTGCAACCTTACAAAAGGTCCTGATTCTTTGAGCCTGACAGTTAGGTCAGCCAGCATTCCTCGGGGAACCCAGTTTTCCAAATCTAATGACCAAAACATATATTGGATTCCAATTCCCAGAATCTTCCTGTCAATTAAAAGTCTGATCCATCTGGAGGACACCAACATGTGAAATCTAGTATCTCGATTTGGCGTGGATTTTAATTCCCCATCATGTTAGATACAACTTTCCTTCTTGTCAACATTCAGATAGTCCTCGCTTAGTGACTACACTTGGGACTGGCAAAACATCACTTAGGATTTTACTTTTTCATTCTCTATGAACTCTCCTTGTCACAAAAGACAGTCACGTGACCACAGGATGCTGCATGTCATAAACGTGAGGATTGGTCACAAAGCTTTCCCCCACCCCCACCATTGTAACTTTGAACAGTCACTAAACAAAGCAGACAGTAGACGAGGACTATCTGTATGGCCATCTGTTTTTGGCTGAAAAGGATTCAGAACTTGACAGCAATTTAGGAAATATCTGTGCTTTGATATGAAAATCATGGCGTATCCTATACCTTCAAAGTTGATCTGATCGTAATGCTTTGTTTACTCCTGTTTCCGAACTTCTAGGCTACCCTGAAAAAATACCAAGCAGAACATCGTGCCAAAGCTGAATCAATTGAAAAGTGTCAGACTGAGTTGAAGAAACTGCGGAAGAAATGCCAGAATAGCAAAAACCCAATGAAGTATGGGGATCGTGAAGTGCAGGTAGGTTTAATGGAGAAGGGAAGGGAGAATAACATTGCAAGAGGAAATATTAAGAAAACAATGAGAACATTGAGAACTTCTGGAGGAGATAAAGGTCATATCCTGTCAGAAATGGATGTGTGGGATTCAGGCCACTGATGAATCAGCCAGACTTCACCAGTTCAGTGGACATGTTTATATATAAGCTGTACATAAAAGATTACAGGCCAAACTCCCTTCTGCTGCGTTCTACAAATGATCTATTCAACCAGGCAGATTTATCAACTTTGCACAGAACTGACTCTTCAGACTAATTTCATGGGGTTTTACTCTTTACAAAAGCTTCTGTATTAATACTTTCCTTTTTGTTTAAGCAGGTTTGTTGCTGGATTTATTGTGTTGTGTTGTGTTTTGTAAACACAACTCCTTCCTGGCCCGGTTCTGAACAGCTCAAGGCTTGGTAATGGGCTGCAGCCCGGAGGTTGGGATGGCTACCTGGGGAGTTCTGGGAATTGAAGTCCACACGTCTTAAAAAGTGGCTGAGGTTGAGAAACACCGATTTACAGTCACAAATGGCTGCATTCATAGAATACACTGGACCAAACCCAACCCAAACACATTTATGGTTCAGTGAGGTTTGTGTGAATCAGGCCAACTGAAAGCACAATTTTTGATTCATAATTGTTAAATGTGGCAGACTCCAGCCTGGCTTTATTTATTCCATACCATTTTCCTTTGTATAGGTAAGCTCACTTCCCTTATGCATCATGCTCATAACATATATTTTCCTGCACGGCACAAGAGCAGCCACTAATATGGATCAGCAGTGAGGAAATGCATGTTATAGTAGCATAAAGCTACACCACCTTCAACCTGTCAATCAACATGTGTTGCTTTCAATCCTCATAATCATCCAACAAGGCCATTCCACTTAACAACTACAGAATGAATCCAGCACATCTGGAGAGCACCAGATTGTGATACGCTAAGCAATTCTACAAATGGCATGAATAGAAGATGATGGTTTACAGTGGCCATTGCAGTTCTACCTATTTGAATAGCTTAGGTGTACATGATTACTGCTAACAACTTACAGGAGGAAGTGGGTTGACTCTGGAAATAAATTGGCAGAGAGTTGAATAACCACAGATGCTAAATAGATGTTATTAGATGCTAAAATCCAGGCAGCGCATAAGCACATTTCCTCCAAAAATATACTTTTAATAATTTGGCTTGTACAAAGAATATCGCTTTGCTGTATCTTGTATCTAGTTAGGACATCTTACAAGGATATGCTGCATTTAAAAAATCTGACAAAATTTGAGGCCTGCGTTGTTTTGTGGCACTAAGAATGCAAATTGATGCAATCTGGATGCAAAAAAAGATATGGGGGGAAATGCTTGAAAGATTGGGTCTCTGCAGTCTTTCAGAGTGGCCTCTTACTCTCAGTTGTGCATCAAGAATTGTATCTGCAGTGCAAAAATGAAACCTGGCAGCTGTTGCTCCCTCCCCTTCCCATGTATGTCTGGGTCACTGCCTTCTTCTTGGGTTGCTGTCTGATGCTTGGAGATTGGGGTCACTAAGAAGGTGAGGTCTTGAAAGGATTTAATATTCTGTGGCCATTTGGAGCTTAAAGAGATAAGCTCTGTGGAGGGGCTACCTGTGATAAAGAAAAAAAAATCACCCTGATGCACAGATTGTTTTATACACCTGCTCATAAATGCACACACAGTTTTGCATACAATGTCCATGAACAGGCCCTGTTCTTGTGCAAAATATTTGCAGGCCCTGTTCTTATGCAGATCATTTTTAGAACCCTATTTCTACATATATTTGCCTTGCTGGATCCCTGTTAAGTATCTGTAGTGTTCCTTTTGCATCATTTTTTCTCATGCACAGTAACTCCTCAACTGTTCCCCTTTGAGCTTTAAAGGAGATGGATGCAATCCTAAAAAAAAAAAATCAAAAAGCAAGCCAGAAATCTAGTTTACTGTACAGTATTGCACCAGAAAGTAGGCCACTCACCAGTGTGGTCTTGTATCTGCCGGGTGTGCCCAGGCTGGCATGCTGACACAACTCATCCTGCATTCACACTGCTTCCTCCTGGCTCCCTGACTCACTCTGGGCTAGTGCCCTGCATCCCCTATTTATCTTCCTTCCTCCCCTCCCCATCCTGGGAATCCCCACAGCAAGCTTTGGACTCCTTTTGTCAACCTTGTTGCCACAGTAACCATTACTTCAGGATCAAGGCCTGCTGCAGCTGGGGGTAGGGGGGGCAGTAAGGAAGGGGGACAGGATAACCCTTTATTGCCCGTATCTTCTGAGATTGCCCGCTGCCTGCTAGCCTAAGGTGCCGATAATGGAAAATCTAGCTCTTAGTGCCGATGATGGAGTATCCAGCGCTTAACACAAATCTGAGCATTTTCTTCCTTTTTTGTGTGATTGCGATGATACAAGCTGGACAAAGGGATTGAAGTTCCATGAAATGTTTTAGGGTCCCTTTAAAAAATGTTTAAGGATGGTACCAATAAAGGAGAATATTTGTAGCTCAGGGTTGAATTAAGGGTGCTTGATGCTCTCTGAGCTTGGTTGTTTTTTGCAGATGTCTCATTACCCAAACTAGGTAATATCATCTGTGCTCTTGATGCTCCAGAGCGCACTGATGATGTTACCTAATTTCAGTGGTGGGATTCAAATAATTTAACAGCAGGTTCTCTGCCCTAATGACTGGCTGGGTGGGCATGGCCAGGGAGTGTGACAGGCAGCACTCAGCCTCCTGCAACCCCCTGGGAGCAAAAACGGGGTGCAGGGCCCGATTTTGCTCCCAGGAGGCTGCAGGGAGGCCTACTAGGCTCAGAACCTAGTAGGCCACCCTGCATTTACCTGGAAGCCAAATGGGGCGTATGGGGACTCTTGGAAGGGGCGGGGTGGAGCAAGGCGGGGCCAGCCAGCAATTTAACAACCGGTTCTCCCGAATGAGCTGAATCCCACCACTGCCTAGTTTGGGTAATAAACATCTGCAAGAAAACAAGCTCAGAGAGCACAGAGTACCCCTCATTTAAGGAGGGTGTCAGAAACCAGGGAGTCTTGCACCCTTCTGGGTTTTGGACCACACGTATCACACATCATCTGTGCACAAAGCAGCCGTAGATTGTGGGAAAATCTAATGTATCTCGAAAATGACAGACCGCTGTTCCTTTAACCATATGCTAGCGATAATAATATGCGTGAGTCATGCAATGTGCTTAGGATCCAGTAGAGGCTGGAGCAGAAAAATAAGGGAGAAATTATGTCTGGTAAATGTTAAAACCTGAATACAAAATAGAATGTTTCAGTTCTGATCTTTAGGACAAATTGAAGGAATTGAAATAACTAACCAATCAACAAAATATTGCAGATAAGGGGGTTGGGGTCCCACACCCCAACCCCCTTATCTGCAATATTTTGTTGATTGGTTAATTATTTCAACTCCTTCAATTTGGACATTAAAAGTGGATATGAAATAATAATAACATAACAGCAACAATAATAAGTACATTCTACTCTACTTATAACTGGGCGCATTTTAACCAGCTGCATTTTCAAGAGCCCTGACAAATGGTAATAGCAAAAATTCTTAAGGTTGCTGAATAAATTACACGAATTATTTAGATATGCCAACGTAAAGATGCCTTTGAGTTAGGGTCAGCTCATGGTGACTTCTTAAAACTATGCAGAATTTTTTAAGAAGAGTTTGGAAATCAGTCAACCCTATTTAATATCCAGCCAAAGTTGAGGTTCCTTTTGCTGAAACAAGTTATTTAGAGCCCGAGTCCTATATAACTACACTAGTAGGGCTTACTTCTTAGTAAACCTGTGGAGAAAGAGACTGGTACACTCCAAACCATTTAATTTTGCTGCAGATAATGGGAATATAAATCCAATGCATCAGAAGAGCAGCACACTAGGTAAGATTGGTCCAGTATATATTTGTATGGTGTTGTCTCTGATAAGTAGGCATTATGGAGCCTGCTGTTCTCCAAAAATATGGGCCCTGCTGGCTGGGGATTCTAGGAGCTGTAGTCTGCACACTGATTGGAGAAAGTTGATGTTTGTGGTACCTGGATTTTGTATAATGGGGATATCTTTAAAATATGGTCAAGAAAGTCAGGATATTGGATTAAAATGATTAATTTAAGGTCCAACCCTTAAAAAAAAACCACTTAAAAAAAAGGGTGAGTTTTAACTGCACCATTGTGGACAGCATCTAGACCAGTGATTCTCAAGCTGTGGGTTGGGACCCCTTTGGGGGTCAAACGACCCTTTCACAGGGGTCGCCCAAGACCATCCGAAAACACATATTTTCAATGGTCTTAGGAATAATTTTATGGTTGGGGGTCACCACAACATGAGGAACTGTATTAAAGGGTCGCGGCATTAGGAAGGTTGAGACCCACTGATCTAGACCAATGTTTCCCAATGGTAGCCATTTTAAGATGTCTGGACTTCAATTCCCAGAATTCCCAGAATACTCCCAGAGTATTCTGGGAGTTGAAGTCCAGACATCTTAAAATGGCTACCGTTGGGAAACACTGATCAAGACTTGCATGACCACACCCTGAGGACATTATCTGCCATGAAGCTTTGCTCTCGATTAAACAAGATGGCCATTGTCCTATCTCTGGATCAATTGGGGAGTGTCTGCTCTCTTTCTATCTTAGTATGTGGAAATCATGAGCACCAAGCAGAGCGAGCTGGATCAGTTTGTGGCAGAAGGCTACAAAGCAGCCCTGACGGAGGAACGGCGCCGATACTCATTCCTGGTGGATCGCCAGTGTGCTGTTTCCAAGCACTTCAGCAATTATCATAGCAAGGTGAGCTGCTTCTCTTTTCTCTCCTCTCCTTCCACCTCCCAGCATATGAATTGGGTTCAGATTCACCCTAGACGTCCTCTAGCAAACATGGAAACAAGGACTCCCGTGAACATTGTGGTTCTATATTTGCAACAGAGGTGTCAGAAAAACTTTAGTTGTGATCACTATCCTGCCTTTTTTGACCCTGTCTCTGTGGTTACTTCTTGCAGTGTGGAGGTATAGTATTCCCCCTGTTTAATTACAAATGGTCCTTGACTTACAACCATTCATTTAGTGACTGTTCAAAGTTATAGCGGCATTGAAAAAATGACTTATGTCCGGTCCTCGCACTTGTGACCATTGCAGCTTTCCGTGATAAAAATTTGGCTTGGCAACCTGCATATATTTATAATGGTTGCAGCATCCCAGGGTCACCATTTGTGACCTTCCCAGACAGCTTCTGGCAAGCAAAGTCAATGGGAGATGCTGGATTCACTTAATGACTGCCTGATTCATGTAACAACTGCAATGATTCACTTAACCATGGCAAAATAGGTTCTAAAATGGGGCAGGACTCACTTAATAACTGCCTTGCTTAACAACAGAAATTTTGGTTGCCATTGTGGTCTTAAGTCAAGGCCTACTTGTAGAATCAAATAATTGGGAAGGCAGCATGAGATTCCCAGGATGTCGTCTTGATTCCCAGAGGGAAAACCAAAAATATATATTCCTGCTAGAACGTCTAGTGGGAAATAAATATAGAATTTCTCTAAAGTAAAGAAGAAGAAATTAGAAGTGGTGTTAAGGACATCTGTTTATTCAATGTGAATGGCACAGAGACTTTCTGCCAGGGGTGGTGATAGTTACTGAGACTGCATCAGGTTTAATGTTTACAACTAAGCTTCCTGTCAACGCTTGGAATCAAAGGCAAGCAGAGTCCAAGACAACATTTTCCTTCCTCAAACTAGGAAGCAATTGTTTGTTAATACAGTTCAGTGGATTTTCTACTGTTGGCAAATTTTAGAGAGAAAGGGTATAAATAAAGGAAAATGTTTGTAACTCAGGATTGAAATGAGGGGTCCTTGGTCTCTCTGAGCTTGGTTGTTTTCTTGCAGGCGTTTCATCATCCAAACTAGGTAACCTCATCAGTGCTAGTAGGAGGTGGGATTTGCTCTCTTTTTATATTCCAGTGGCTTGCTCTTTGGTGAAAGTTGTCTTGGTGGGTTTTTGGTTGGGTTGTTTACAGTTAGCTTGTTTGGCAGTTCTTTGATTGGGATATTGTGCACTTCTTGATTGTTGTCTGATTATTATCTGCAAGAATGGTAGCAAAAGCAATAGCACTTACACTTATATACAGCTTCAAATGCTTTACAGCCCTCTGTCAACTCTGAAACGGAACGAGCCCATGGCAGCCATCTTCCATTTCTCAAGTTGACACACAGCTCCAGGAGGGTGGGGAGAGGAATGGAATGTGATCCAGCTAAAACAACCTACTATCTTGTGGGAACCAAGGTTGCTCCCAACAGGTGCTGGCCAGAGACTGAGACTGGTAGGTTTTGGCTGAATCGCATTCCATTCCTCTCTTCCCTCTCCCCCCGCCCCCCGAGCTGTGTGGCAACTTGAGAAATGGAAGATGGCTGCCGTGGGCTCAATCCATTTCAGAGTTGACACCCTCTTTAAGTGGTTTACAGAGTCAGCATATTGCCCCCAACAATCTGGGTCCTCATTTTACCAACCTCGGAAGGATGGAAGGCTGAGTCAGCCTTGAGCCTGGTGAGAATCGAACTGCCAAACTGCTGGGAGCCAGCAATCAGCAGAAGCAGGCTGCAGTACTGCATTCTAACCCAGTAGTGGGTCCCCAGTTCGCATTGGTTCTATAGCCCCACTGCGAACTGGTAGTAAAGATAAGTAGAACCCACCCCTGTTCTAACCACTGTGCCACCACAGCCCTAACCAAGCTTAGAGAGCACTAGAAACTCTTCAGAAAGGGTATAACCTGGCTAGCTAAAAGGATGATCAGACTACCATCATTTCATTTGCAACAGGTGCGGGAGCTGTTGTCAGGCAGACTGCCCATTTGGCAAACATCATGCACCCAACCAACTCGTTTACCTGAGCGGGCATTGGCTCTGGTCAAGCTCACTGCCAACAACACCACAGCTGGCATTTCTGTTCCAGGCATGGATCCCCTCCTTGTCTCCAAGACCCTGGAAGAGCCTTTAGAATTGGGACAAAATCACGTGAGTGTTTGTAGGTCAGGGCCGATAAACAGGATGTTAGCTTTTCCCTTTGCCTTCACTGTTGGGTTTGAATTTCCAAAAACCATGGAGGTCTCCAAATGGCAGAGTCTGATATGGCCTGGAGCAGGAATAGGGAGGGTTTTCCTGGCCTTTAGGTCATGGAAGAAGATGCATTACTTCTACAGGAGAAAAAAAAAAAAGAAGGGATGCTTCTTAAAACGTGTATGAGATCTCATCGGTGCCCTGCGTTTATTCATTCCTAACTTATCTCCCACAGCGGACTTCAATCCAGGAAGGAACACTGCTATTAAATGGGGATTTGCACCGTGGGCGAGGATCCCGTGACTTCAATCACCTGTCAATCAGTGAGCCCCTCACCACCACCTCAGGTCTGATCCCCACCCAGCCCACTCAGAGTCCTTCACAAATCAAGATTGCTGACAGTTATTCTTGCACTCTGCCAATGCCACGCAAGATGTCCATGGAAACCCGCCTGGCAACTGTAGGTGAGTAGTCTGCATTTGTTCTAATTTGCATCCCATTCTGAGTCCATCCATCTTCTTTCAGCCAATATATCCTTCGGCAATAGAGGTACGGTAGTTCTCGACTTATAACCACAACTGAGCCCCAAAATTATGTTGCTAAGTGAAACATTTGTTATGTGAGTTTTGCCCCATTTTACGACCTTCCTTGCCACAGTTGTGAAGCGAATCATTGCAGTTGTTGAGTTAGTAGCAAGGTTGTTAAATGAATCTGGCTTCCCCATTGATTTTGCTTATCAGAAGTTTGCAAAAACTGATCACATGGTCCCACAACATGGCAAATATATCAAATATAAATATGAACCACTTGCCAAGCTCCCAAATATTGATCGCATGACCATATAACAGTGTGAAAAATGGTCCTAAGTCACTTTTTTCAGTGCCGTTGTAATTTTGAACAGTCACTAAATGAACTGATGTAAGTCGAGGACTACCTATAGAGTTCCAGGATTTTGGCATTTGATCCTTCCTGTTCTCCGTAAATACTGATCTGGAGTGTTGGGAGAATGTAAATGCTTTGCAAGAAGATGAATAAAATCTATTTTTCATTATTTTGGAACTGAGGACACTGGTTGAAAGATGCAAAAATGTCAAGAGAGGTCCAACATTTTCTGTGAGGGAAAGACAAGACCTCCTTATGGAGTTGCTCTTACATGGAATTGCAACCTGGTGTCCCGTCCCTAATACAGAAGTCTCCAAACTTGGCAACTTAAGACTTGTGGACTTCAACTCTTGGAATTCCTCTGCCAGTCATGCTAGCTGATTTGAAGTCCACCCATCTTCAAGTTGTGAAGGCTGAGAAACATTGCTTGAGGGTTTACTTTGCCTAAGGAGAAAAAAGCAGGGGAGAAACATAACCAACCTCACAGGAATGCCATTAATTTCCACCTATCCTCCCCACCCTTTCTCGCAGTAGAGAACAAGACCCTGCCCCGCATTAATCCTCTTTCAATCCTGCCTCCACGTTCCGAGCGTCCAAGAGTCCAGGCAATCTTCTCCCATTCGGCAGGAGAGAACAGCACTCTTCTCAACTTCCAAGAGGGAGATATCATCCTTTTATTGGTGACTGAGGCGAGGGATGGCTGGCATTATGGGGAAAACGAGACAACCAGAATGTGAGTGAAAACCCCTGTATTCCTTTTGCCCTAGAAAAGCTAGATTACGTAGTTCTCCATTTACGACTGGTCACTTAGTAGCAGACTGAAATTATGACAGACTCAAAAAAGGGGGGGGGACTTACGATCCAGGTCTGAAGTTTCAAGGGTCAGCCCCACTCCCAGGTGGTCATTTGCAGTGTCCTGTGGTCACTTGACCACATTTTACAATAGTTTTGCTGCAATCTGGTATGGTATTTCCAGTTTTTGGCAAAACCACACCCATAGCGAACGATTGGTTTATTTATTTATTGTTTTATTTATTTATTGGTTCGATTTATATGCCGCCCTTCTCCGGAGACTCAGGACGGCTTACAATGCGTTAAGCAATAGCCTTCATACTTTTGTATATACCTGCTTAGTAGGGTTTCGGCCCCCCCTAAGTGGTGTTCTTTTTTATACGAAGTCAGGTTATTGCCCCCACAATCCGGATCCTCATTTTACCTACCTCGAAAGGATGGAAGGCTGAGTCAACCTTGAGCCTGGTGAGATTTGAACTTGCAGTAATTGCAGGCAGCTGGTGCTATTTTAACAGCACTTAGTCAGCTGCGCCACCAAGGCTCTTGGTTTATTTATTTATTTGTTTGTTGCATTTCTATACCCCCAACTCCCTGGGGACCACCTAACAGCCACTGTAATTCACTTAATGACCATGGTGATTTGCTTAACAACCATTGGAAAATAAGTCATAATTTTTTTTTTTACAACCATTATGACTTATGACCATAATGGGCAGCTTCCATTACAGTTGTAACTTGAGCACTACTTATATTCTCTTTCCCATTTGTAGACTGGATCCCTCCAGTCAGTTTGTCTCTATTTACAAGAATGCAGTGGGCAACTCATATGTGAGAGTCATGACATTTAAATAAAAGGCTTCCCTATTAAAAGAGGAGGGTCCCATCAAGTTGGAGAAGAGACATAGCTCTCTAGCTAAGAGATTCCAGATAGCTGCCTGGGATAAGAAAGAGCATCAACCACAGTGGGCAGTCCTGACTAAAACAAATCAAAAGTTCACATTTGTTTGTTTGTTTGTTTATTCATTTATAGAGTTTATAGAATTTATAGAATTTATATGGCTGTCCACTCTCTTTCAGTGACTCTAGGCAGCTTACAAAAAATAAAAATCCAATATAAAAATGTAAAAATAATACCCCTCCTCCACTCTCCCTGGCATAATAATACCCCTCCTCCACTCTCCCTGGCAATCAAACAAGCCACTAGATGGGCTTTGGATTCCTCAGACCCATTGGCAAAACCAGGTTTCCAGGACCATGAGAAAGAGTTAAAGTGGGGGCCAGTCTAATCTCCATGGGAATGATGTTCCAAAGGGAGGGGGGCACCATGGAGAAGGCCCTCATTCTTGATCCAGTCAGTTGTACCTCCTCAGGAGTGGAGACCCACATCATTCCTGGCCTCCTCGGTGGGTCGAGTGGATGTAAGCGACTGCAAACTGACATTGCTCTGACCCAGAATATGCTTTGGTTTTGGCTGAGCCAGTTGTGGCTGAGCCAGCCTGTTGTAGTTTCTAAATCATGTATTGTGACTTGACATTAACCTATCCATAAATCCAATCATCTCAAACCCATTTATTTTTGATAACCTCCTCTGAGGTATTTCAAGTTGAAAAATAGCAATTGGTCACAAAGTGCTTTGTGAAGTCTGTGGCGGAGCAGGAATTTGAATCTAGTTCTCTTTGTTCCTAATCCAAGATTCAAACCACTATATTTGATTCCCCTCCATAAAAATTCAGGCAGAGTGGGGGTAAGAGTTTACAAAGATTGCCTGAATTCTAGCTTTCTTCTTTTTATTACTTTATTCCATCATTTTTTTTAACCTTAACAATGGATCCAATTTGATGCCTCCCCTCCTTCAGATGAGGGTAGAAAATGTAAAAGAGGTTTTGTGTTCTTCTTTCTGTCTTAAATATTTGTGCCTCACACTTTCAGGAAAGGTTGGTTTCCGTTTTCCTACACACGACCCTTTCCTTCAGCTGAAGGAGCTAACAAACTACTCAGCAGGTAAGTCCTGGCACCTCAGTCTTGCAATTTAGAAAGAAAACTAATTGTTGTCCTTGACTTATGACTGGTTACTTAGCAACCAATTAAAGTTCCAACAGACGTACCTGGGGTTACTTGTGACCACACTGGGTGGTAAACTGGACCATGTTTACTACCATTTGCAATGTCCCACAGTCACATCAAGGGACGCAGTGGCTCAGTGGCTAAGATGCTGAGCTGGTCGATCGAAAGGCTGGCAGTTCAGTGGTTTGAATCCCTAGTGCCGCGTAATGGGGTGAGGTCCCGGTACTTGTCCCAGCTTCTGCCAACCTAGCAGTTTGAAAGCACATAAAAAATGCAAGTAGAAAAAATAGGGACCACCTTTGGTGGGAAGGTAACAGCGTTCCGTGCGCCTTTGGCATTTAGTCATGCTGGCCACATGATCACGGAGACGTCTTCAGACAGCGCTGGCTCTTCAGCTTTGAAACGGAGATGAGCACCGCCCCCTAGAGTTGGGAACGACTAGCACATATGTGTGAGGGGAACCTTTGCCTTTACAGTCACATCACTGTGTTTTGCTTCCTGATTTTAACAAAACCTCACCCAGGGTGAACCATGGGTTCACTTAATGACCACGGATTTGCTTCACAACCACAGTAATTCTCTTAGCAACTGCCACAGTTTACTTTTGATTAGGTGAAAACCATGGGAACCTTCAGAGTCTGTTTTCACCAGATTTGTGCCAATATGATATATTCAATAAAGCTATTCTTTGAGGAATCCACCTGCCTCAGAGTTTTGCTTAGTATGAGTCTATTACTTGGAACCCTGACAGATAACAGGATACCTCCATCCCTTTGCTTCCGCAGTCCACATGGCTCTCCCATTAGCTACAGGATCAGTCAGTACCTGCTGTATGGGTTGATCCAGAAGATGCAAAAGCTCCTTTTTCCTTTCCACATTAACAGAATAACAGAGTTGGAGGAGACTTTGGAGGTCTTCTAGTCCAACCCCCTGCTCAGGCAGGAAACCCTATAGCAGTTGACAAATTTGATTGTCCAATCTCTTCTTAAAAGCTTCCAGTATTGTATCATTCATAAGTTCTGGAGGCAAGAAGTTCCATTGATTAATTGTTCTGCTATGAAATTTCTTCTTAATTCTAGGTTGCTTCTCTCCTTGATTAGTTTCCATCCATTGCTTCTTGTCCTACCTTCAGGTGATTTGGAGAATAGGTTGCCCTCCCTCTTCTTTGTGGCAGCCCCCCCTTAGGTTAAAAGAGGTACATGCCTTGACATTCAGGTTCCCCTGACAAAAAGAGTTGGATTAATGGAATATATCTGGAAGGCTTGGAGCTAGTCTTTAGATTCCTTCAGGAAGTAGTGTATTGTGTAGAAATCCGGACAGGCATTGGGTAGAAATCCTCATCAGAAATCCTCACCTAACCTTTGTCTGTCACTAGTGGCTTCTCTCTTAGCAAGATGAACAGTAGCAGCACAGGAAATTTGGATCGAGCTGGATCTCCTCCTGCTGGACCTGATGGGGAAGATGATTTAAGGTTTGGCCCTTCGGCTCGTATCTGTGCATCTCGACAACGACCTTACAGCATGTTGAATCCAGACCTGTCACAGGTGAGTTTCATGGGGGAAGGGGAAGGGAGGGGAGGGAAGGAGGGAGGGAGGGAGGGAGGGAGGAAGGAAGGAAGGAAGGAAGGAAGGAAGGAAGGAAGGAAGGAAGGAAGGAAGGAAGGAGAGAGCGGGAAAGGAAGATGAGAGTGGAAGGAAGGAAAGGAAAAATGGAAGGAAGGGAGAAATATGAGAAAAGGAAGGAGGGAAGAAAGGAAGGACCTGTATTTGCCCATTGCCATCTGTAAGTGGTGTCCATTGTGCAAGGCCCTGGATTTGGGCCATGAACAGAGAAGGATCCCTTAATTTCTGAATGCATTTTTCCGTTATTTTACTTTCCAGTTGGCAAGTGAGTTTGGAAGTCCAACTGCCTCTCCTTCAAGGTGAGAAACCTCCTGTCATCTCTTGTTTTCATACTGTGGGATCTCTTGTGTGCCTTGTTCTGGCATTATCTTGTGGGCCTGTGCTTTAGAATACAGAATTCACCTTATGTGGTTGGGTGTTAGCTCTGTAATTCTGGTTTTATTGGTTGAAGTGTGTTTCATAGGCAGAAAAAAAATGAATGTGAAACTTCTAAATAATAAACCAGCACTCCACATCTAAGGCTAGTTTAAAACCTGAATATGCTGATTTTATATTGTAGCTGCAGGTTGTTTTTTAGCAGTTTTTATTATAATCGGTTAACTAATAAAACATTGAGAGGTTTTATAGTGAGAGAAAATTATGCTTGTGCAAAATTACCTAGAATACATAATCCATTTTTTGTACAGGCTGCCCTTCTCATACGATCACAAGTGGGACCTGAATTTCCTTTGTTAAGCAAGGCAGTTGTTAAGTGAGCCGCTCCCAATTTTACAACCTTTTTTGCCATGGTTGTTAAGCAAATTGCTACCCTGATTACATTAATCAGGTGGTCATTCATGTAACGGTCATTAACCGAATTTGGCTTTCCCCACTGACTTTGCTTGTTGGAAGCTGGCCAGGAAGGTCACAAATGGCAGTCATATCATTCTAGGATGCTTCAACCATTGTAAATACATACTGGCTATCAAGTATCAACATTTAGATCATGTGATTGTAGAGATGCCGGAGTGGTCATATGTGCAAGTTACTGGTCGTAAATCGCTTTTTAAAAATCCTGTTGTAACTTTGAACATTTGTTAAACAAATGGTTGTAAGTCAAGGACTTAAAATATCAGTTTGGTGGTCACTTCAAAGTGTTCATTTTAGCCTATAAAACAGGGGTGGGAAATGATGGCCCTTTTATGACTTGTGAACTTCAACTCCCAGAATTCATAAAGGAGCCATTATTCCCTCCCTCTGCTATAAAAGCAAAGGATTTTTCAGGAAAGAGCCAGGGAACTGCTTGCTGACAGAAGTTCTCCCGGCAATCATTTTTCTTCACTGTTTAGACCAGCAGTCCCCAACCTTTCTGTCTTGGCGACCTGGCACGCTGGCAGAGAGAGAGGGGATAGTTCTGTGTGAGTGGCAGGCATGCCCATGCGATTGTGCACAGCTACTTCTATGGAGTGGAGCTACACATGTGTGCATGCTTGCATGGCCCAGTTCTGAATAGACCGTGGACCGGTAGTGGGGGGTTTAGACATTAAACCAGAGGCCTTATGATTCCTCTAAGCCAGTAGTTCTCAATTTTTTCTTCACCACAGACGCCTTTAAATACTTTTTGTGGCCACAGACCCCCCAAGACTTAACTCAAAATTTACATCATAATGTTTCTTCAAGCCTTCGTGGACCCCCTGTGACAATATCATGGCCCCTCCCTCAGGGGTCCGTGGACCACAGGTTGAGAATCACTAATGTAAGCCATTTTAAACCAGTTTTATTCACCACCAAACTGTTTAATGTTTTATATTTAAAACATTCATTTTTAAAAATCTATGCTATGCAACAATTCTACTGCTGGTGAATTGAAGAGAAAGAATGTGAAGCCAAATAAATGAACAAATAAAATGTGTGAATCAAGTGCATTGTCTGATATGATACGGGCTATTCTGCTCCATCAGCTTTGTTGCTTTAATCTCAGTCTGCAGCAGCCTTTCCAAGATGCATTGTCAGTTCCCAACACCTGCTGGTTAGGAATGATGCTGTGTGTGTGGAATTTAATCAATCTGGAAGCCACTAGTTTTGGGAAGGTTAACCTTAAGTGTAACAGTTTTCTTTTTGCAGCTTCAAAAAACTCCCTGAAACCTGGGCCTACACAACTCACACTACCTCTCTCCTTTCCCCTTGCAGGATCAATCCCTTTGCTCATGTTAAGCTGAAACGTACGGTGACCAATGACCGCTCGGCCCCGCTCATCCAGTAAAACGTGCAATCAATGTTAAGTGGAGATAGACCACTGCCCTGCTTTCCCCCCTTTCCCTCACCATGTGGCCTTTCCCACCTAATACGCTGCTTCTGGCTCATAGTAGGTTTCGCAGGCCAGGCTGGTCCAGGCGTGCCACCCTCCCTTAATGGCACAGGGAAAGTCCACAGACTCGACGCACAGCAAAAAGGCTATGGGGTTTCATTGGTGGTAGCAGTTCCAGAATGCTGGGAAGGCAAGCTAACAGCAGGAGGACAGTAACAGCCGGAGAGGAGACAGAGTTTGGATGCAAGTGATGGAAACAGAGGTGTAACAGTTGGATAAACAGACAGGAGAAGGGTGAAGGATGTGGGGACAGGTGGAAAGAGGTCAGATGAAAGGAAAAGGAGATCAGAAGAGAGCTATGGATGGCATTTTACAGAATATTCAAATGGAGAGAAATTCAGCAAATGTGGGTTTCTGAATGTGATTCATGTTTCTTACAACTCAAACTTTCCACCAATCAGAATCCTTTTGTGTTTTCTTACCCACTTTGACTAAAATGCCACTGATTTGGTGGCATGTGCTTAGAAAGAAGGTACAGGTAGTCCTTACAACCACAATTGAGCCCAAATTATTTTTTTGCTAAGTGAGACATTTGTTAATTGAGTTTGGCCCCGTTTTTCAAGTTTTTGTGCCGATGTGGTTAAGTGAATCACTGCAGTTCTTAAAATAGTAACAAGATTTTTAAGTAAATCTGGCTTCCCCATTGACTTCGTTTGTAATAAGGTCACAAAAGGTGATCTCGTGACCCCAGAACATTGTAACTGTCATAAATATGAGTCAGTGGCCAAACATCCAAATTTTCACTAAATGAACTATTGTATATCGAGGACTACCTGTATTTTGAAACCAAATGAAGGTGTGTTTAAATCGGCAACCTAAGGTTTTGTTCTGTTTTTTTAATTCAGCAGGTCTTAAATGTATCTCTCTTTAGAGTCAGTTCTGCTAAGCCGGTTGAGTGATTGAATAACTGCACGTATCATACAACACCTGGGTCATGTGAAATTTCCATTCCGCAATAAACTTCTACGCTTATCATTACATAAGTCATAAATCAACATATTGCATGCGGACTTCCAATAGAAAGTCCACACTAATCTTTTCAATTGTGTAGCAGTAAGAGATGTTGATTTGAGAATAGAAAGAACACGGAAAACTGGTTTAGGAGAATAAGAGAGAAGTGGTGGGAGGAATAGTTAAATGAAGGAAAATCAAATTCAAAGCCTATTCATACTTATAAGATGCATTGATATTTCATCATTGAGTTATTCAGCCACAGGCCCAGCTTACTTAGAAAATCATATGGGAATGAATTGGTTGTATTGAAAAGCATCAGATTTCAATAAGTATGAAAGGTCTTACTGCAGTGTTAGTTTTGTACTGGCTTCTTAAGGCCTAGAAATCACCCATTTGTATAATCCTATTATTATGTGATAAACATACAAATGTGAAATAGCTCTGGGAAGGTGACTGTGTGAACAGTTCCATTGAAGAAGTAAAGCAGTGTTTCTCTTAGCAACTCTTAAGACATGTGGACTTCAATTTCCAAAATTCTCTGGTCAGGAAGACTGGCTGGGGGATTCTGGGAGTTGAAGTCCACATGTCTTAAGAGTTGCTAAGGTGAGAAACACTGAGGTAGAAGGTTGTAAGTTTTACAAAAAACACTATTGATAATTGATGTGCTGTCTCTACATTCATTGCACAATTGTAGGCCTATCTTAAGTGTCTTAACAAGGCATGGGTTGTGGATTGAAAAGGAGCCAGGATTTATGATCACTGGATTTCTGAATCGGGTCTGCGGTCCATGAAGTGATCCATGCTGCTAGTAGGTTTTGATTCCTCTTCAAACAATTGTTGAGATATTTTCATGGGAAAAAAGCATATCTGTATTATGAAAAGGTTACCATTAAACATAGGCCACTTATTTTGTAATTTATATTGTTTTCTATAGATTTAACCAGGGGTTTATCTTACTATGATATGCGATGGTCTAAAAAAATATAGAGATTTTCCCCTGCTCCCCAGGAAACATGAGATAGAAAGAGAAATGCCAGAAGTCAGGGCTTCTGTGTGTGGAAGGAGGAAGTAGATTAAAACAAGGCAGTTGCTGATTTTTTTTTAAAGTGTTTATTTAATTTCAGTTGCCAGAATGTATAATAAAGACAATTATTCAGTAGTATTCTTGTCCTGGCAGACCAAACTGCAGGCATTTTGGTCAAAGCCAAAATAGAGTAATTCAGCTATATTGTCTGAAGAAAGAAATATTTTTCCCAGTGAGGAAAGGAAATGCCATCTCGCTTTTCTTTTGCCCCTCACATTCTTCTCCAACTGACAAAGAACCCAGTCATTTAAAATCCAAGTATGCCCCCTTGCAGGTTTAGCTATGCTATTACAGAATCCTGGACAGATTTGAGTAACATGCTTACTGATCCTGATTTAATCTTGAATGCGGTTGCATAAATAAGCAACACCACAGCCCTTTTGGGATAAGTTAAATAAATGCATAAGATGTCCACCTTTGATGAAACTCACAACTATATAGTGAAACTAGCTTTGGAACAACTGTCAGGGCTGAAAAATATCAGATTGCCTTCGTTATTGGAAAGAAAACAAGGTTGATATTTTACCAATGAAAAAATACTCAAAGGTGCTTTTTCAAAAGGCAACTGGATTTTGTTTGTTTGTTTGTTTTTTGAGGAAAAAGATGTTTTCTTGAGGAAGAAGTAAAATGTTTTCTTCTTTTTCATCAAAGAAAAAACAGTCCAGTTTTTTTTAAAAAAACACCTTAGAGACAACTATGACCTGGATGACTGAGGATCTCCGGATATAATGAAAGAATAATTTCAGGTTTTGGAGGCGCAAGGTTTATAGAGTTTTATATAGCTACCTCCCACTTGTAGTTCACCTGTGTTTCATTATTTTTTCTAATTTGTAAAAAAAAATAAAATGAAGACGCCAAGACAGATTAGCTAGACAACATGTTTTGAATTGCTAATGCTGGGAGTGATCCCTATATGAGTTCAGAATTTTGATCACATGATCATGGAAATGCTACAAAGGCTGTAACTGAAAATTGCCGTAAATCACTTTTTTTCATGCCATTATAACTTTTAACAGTCACTAAATGAACTGTTGTAGGTTGAGGACTACCTGTATTTAGGCCTCTTTCACATCAGAACTGTTGTTTCCCCTTTTCAAGCTAGCAGTAGTTGACAGTGTTCAAACTTAGCAATATTAGAATTGAGAGGCATATTAAAAGAACAAGATCAGCATAATGGTTGGTGACTTGAATCCCTACTCTGTATTTCCAAAATCCAACATTTACTATAAGTTGCAAAAGGTGTGGACATTGCATATATTTGTTCACATTTCAATATAAGATGGCTACAAAGAAAAGGGGTTTTTACTTACAGCCTCCGTTTATTTTTACAGTATAATGTCTATAACTAGAAATCACTTATTTCCTCTGCTCAAAATGTATGTGTTCAAGAGGCAAAAACAGGCATGTATTTATGGACAGGGTATATATACACTGGTTCCCATTTGGAATGCTGTTTCAAAAGCATGAAATACAGATCTATTTTGCCTGCTTTTATTATCCATCAAATCAAACTATTTTCTAAAACAGTTTTATTATTGAATTCTGGAAAGCCAAATATGAAATGTCAAGAGGGGGAAAGGTTGAAAATGAAAGATCAGTTTAGAAATAGATTTGCAGATTAAGCACAGTAGCACAGAATTCTGTACATAACAATATGGTTGCCAAATGTGTGTGTGTGTGTGTATTCAGATACACACAAACACATATCCTGGATCTCTGAAGCTGGGAACCTTGTGTCTTATTAACAGCTCATTTTATCTTACATAGGGCTAAAATGTATACATTTATCTTTGCATTTCCTGCTTTTTGTTAGAAATAACTCCGGTCATCTCATGATTGGTGTGTGTGTGTGTGTGTGTGTGTGTGTGTGTGTGTGTGTGTGTGAGTTTCAGCTGAAATACATCTGGAAAATTTTTATTCTTTTTCACTCAAAAGCCTGAAGAATGAAATTCACGTTACAGATTGTTCATATCTAAGACCAGAGTTTACAGATCCTGCAATTGATATGTGAAAATTGGAATGATGGAAAATTTTGACACTGAGACACTCTGCTTTGAGAGTACAGAGGAGATGAGGAATATACCAAAACAAAATCAAAATGGCTTCACATAAAAAGAGACAGCTTGTATGGGATTCATTCAAAAAAACAAAAAAATGAATGCAGAATAGCATTTATCATATGTGAAGTTGCCATACTATGTTTTTGACAGCATTGTAAGCTGAGTATTTCTAATTTCTAAGTAAAGAAATTTTATTGTCCTGCACCATATTAGAAAGTTGGAAAATAATGGAATAACTATATTTTTATCTTCTCAGTTGGGCCATGTAAGATAACTGGTTTATCAAGTGATTGCATATATGCCATTGGTAAATAATTTTTATGTTTTACTAAAAAAAAAAAAAAGCCTGTGGAACTCTACACTTTAGATGTTTGGTGTAGCTTGGACATAATATATAAAGAACAATGAGGTTCCATTTGTTATTGGTCTCTGTATGCGCATAAATGAAAGAGAGGTGATGGAGAATGTATTGTTTCATTGGGACAAACATTACCAGCTGTGCAGATGTTGAGGTCTCCTTAGCTATGTCCTAATTTTAAAATTAATAAAGCTTAATATAAATGTGTGCCTTTCTATTTTTTCTTGGTACCTTGAAGCAAAATTATACCAGAGCTTTAGTTTTGGAATGAAAGTGCTCTTTGTTGGAGAAAACAGACTTCACCAGTTTCCCTACCTTCATAAAGTTTTCCCTATGAATTACAGCTTTACCAACACTTTGTCTGATGTTTTCAAATTAGTTCAAAAGCTTCCTTTTCCACTCATCAACTGGCTTGTATCCCCATTTGCATTCCCATTTATACAATCTGCAGAGAACCCCAGCTTTTATGTGTAACAAAATATGATGCTATTAACATTCCGGTATTTAAATATTCCTCTATCCCTATATATTCTTGGAATGAATGTTCCCACTAATGAAATACCACTCTGTAAAACATTTATCCATCTATTTCTGCAACATAGATTCTCCAGAATTCACCCTTTTGTACCTCAGTAAATCATCCATTCCTTAAATATTCAGATTATTATTTCACTGCTTGACCCATCATAATTCACTATCAATCCCCAGTGGAATCATGGATATACAAGATAAATAGTCATAGGTGTATTTATTATTCCATTTCTCCCACCAGTCTTTAAAGAATACCACTTTCTTTATAAACAAAACATCCACCCACCCCAAAAAAAGAAGACTCTTCCATTTTAACAGAGCATTCACTAAAGATGATCATCCCTTTATTCTGTGCTACAAATGGCAACAGGAAGGGGGGGGGTTATTGATATTGTATCCAAACTTCTGTTTCCCTCAGAATCTATAAAAATGGAATATATGGTACCAAGGTGGAAGCCATGATCACAGAAAATGTTTCTATCATGGCAAGAATGGAAGCTAGATAATCAAAATGTCCACACTGCCCACCACCAAAAGGCAGAATGCGGAGGCCTGATGCCATGCGAAACCAGCCAGTTTCCAGTCTTGATGTTCTTGAGATAATACAGATGCTGCTCAAGCATTTGACAGGCACTTCTTTTACACTCGTGGACAAAGTGTGGAAGGATCTTGCCACCTGCTGCAAGACCCTGGAGCAGGCTCGGGATTCTAATTTTGTAATGAAGTTGTTATTGAAAAACCCGGCACTTTTGAAAAGGGCACGGCAGTGAAACACAACCAAAGCCAGTAAACCCACTCTTCCTTTCAATTTGCAAGTTAAGTGGATCAAGCATCTGCTTAACATGTTGTAAGGTGGTATGTAACCCTACAACACCTTTCTTACTTTATGCCCACTGCTTCTAAAAATTCCAAAAGCAATTGAATCTTTAGAGAAGGAGAAAAACTTCTGAAAGGAAAACCTAATTGGGATTACTACCAGTTGTAATGGAGCTGCAGTTCCCAGAATTTCCAGGCTGTGCTGGCTAAGAGTTCTAACACATCTGGAAAGCATTAAGTGGTCAAAGCTGCCTTAAATCTCTCACAAAAGATATCATCAGATGGAGGCATAGGTAGTGTCCATAAAACATTTAGAGACTAGTAAATAGAATGAGGACTTGAAAAGCTTGTAGTTTGCTTAGCATTGTCAGTGCTGGAAATGGGGAAATAGGTGCTATAAACAGTTTGCTCCCAAACTTATCTATTTAATTCAGTGTTTCCCAACCTTGGGAATTTCCAGGAATGTGGACTTCAACCCCCAGAATTCTCATCAATGGTCATATTGGCTCTGGCATGCTGAGAGTTGGAAGTCCACACTCCTGGAAATTCCCAAGGTTGGGAAAGCCTGATTTAGTTGATAGTTCTGGACGTCCTTAGTAAAATACCATACATAATTCACTGAACACCGTACAGTATGGTGAAATGTTCTGTAGATAACTAGCCTTAAGATCTTCAAGAAAGAAACAGCTGATTTAAAATACCCAGAGTCCAAAGCTTGGGGATTCCACTAAAATAATTTTGTTCTTGTCAACACATCAGCTTGCCAAAGGAACCAGCTAATAGTTGTTTTCCTGCTAAGATTATAGAACAAGAGGAGAATATTGCAGCTATTATTTCAACACAAATCAGAAAGGACATCAGCAATTGCCATCCCCATAAATCAAGTCATGCCCAGATTGCAGATGTCTCTCCCACATTTTGGTTCTTGTTGCATTTTCCCCTAGGCATTTATCAACTCTCCTCTTTCATCACCATGGCTAAAACTAAGAGCAATTATGAAAACTCACATTTCTCTGTTATAAACTAAATCAAAAGTGAAACTATTGCCTTAAAGTTAATTAAGGTTTAGAGTCAGTAAGGGCTCATTCAACTTGGTCCATCCTGGCTGCTTCTTAACAGGCTGAAAACCAACCTATAACATGCCATTTGCAGGCTGAAGAATGATCTAAACCATATTTCCCACCAAGAAGCACTCCAGATACGTTAAGATGACCTCAACCACTATTCTTGGCCAACACAGGCATTGGTTTTAAGACTGGTGTCTTCCAGATGTATTGAACACACACCTGGAAGACACTCAGTTAAATCAGCCAGTAGAATTGGGTGCTTAAGCCTAATCTTCCATTCCTCCTCTTCCTTCACCAGGGTTAAGCACTCTTCATTGCTGCTTGTAATCTCCCATCTGGCCACAATGTTCTGCAGATAAAGAGAGAGGGGTTTCCCCTCAAAATGCCCACAGAGTAGGAATCTCCATAGAATTGCTTGAGCTTTTGCAGTCCAACCCATTTCCTCTCCACACTGTGGTTTTTGGCACAAGAGATAGACTTTTCCATTCTTTGAAAGTCCTTGTCATTTGAACAGGTCCCAAAAGACATTTATTAACCTCTAAAACAAACCAGTGGGGGACTGAGAAAGTCAGAACCGGCCACTCCGAATAAAAGCCAACCATCTCCAACACGGATTATGAATTAGGAATGATTTTCCCAGTTCAATGCATGCATTGAGCTGTGAAGACAATATGAAGGGAGTTCCCACAATGAATCAATGGTTATCAATTATCTGGTCACTACAAATGAGTGATGTGACCAATTTTCTGTTTTTCCTTATCACTTCAGAAATGAATGAATGGTGAACAAAGGATACCCACCCATCCAACTCTCACTACCCAAGGTCCCTATAACTTTACAGCTTTTGATTACTCCATCTTGCCAGTATAATTCTGTCTTTCAACAGAGTGGTCTTTTTTATGAATATAATGCTGGTTAAATGGAGATGGTCACCAGCCCTATTCAGTTCCATTTGGCATAAAAGGACATGGTAGCCATTTTCCATATTACAAGATTGCAGATGATGAAATACAGAAGGGCTCATGAGCAGTTGTACGCAACTTCCTGAAGATTGGTTCCTCCCCTCCCACCCCCAACCCTCTCAATTTGGCACAGTGGGTCCTTAGAAGGAACATATCAGAGAGTGGAAGGGAGGCTGGAAGGGGACAGGGGTTATACATTCAAAAGCCAGTGCAGAGCAGAGGCCTCAAGCATTGAGGAGATATCTTCCTCATCATATGGAGGCCTGAGACTGTTTGTACAAAAATTCTGCTTCTCTGCCTCCCCAGGCAGGGATGTGTCAGTGAGCAGAAAGAGAGCAGAAGTCTACATACGTCAGGTTCTAGTTAGCAATAATGGCCCCGTGCTGTGCACGCAAATACACACGTGTGCGCGTGCGCACACACACACACACACACACGCACACACGCACACACACACACACACATCTGTCAGTCTACCCACTGCAGAAAATTGATGTGTGGTAGCTTGGTATCAGCAGGTCAACTAGATGACTGGGTGCTGTCCCTGAATGTTGAGATGACAGGAGGCAGGATTGTCCAATTTCCATTAATTCTCAGTTCTCAATTGCATCTGGAAGGTGAAGAGAAAAAGAAACTTCTTGTTAAGGAGGAGGAGGAGGAGAGGAAGTGGAAGAAGAGGCAGAGGCAGAGGCAGAAGGAGAAGGAGAAGAGAAGAAGAAGAAGAAGAAGAAGAAGAAGAAGAAGAAGAAGAAGAAGAAGAAAAGAAGAAGAAGAAGAGGAAGAAAGAAAGAAAGAAGAAGAAGAAAGAAGAAGAAGAAGAAGAAGAAGAAGAAGAAAGAAATAGTAGTAGTTATTTTTTTGAGCTGCATTTAGCTTTTGAATGTCATTTTGGAGGGTGCATTCTAGAATGTCACAAGCACATCAGGTTATGCTTCTTTGATCTACAGCAATAATTTTAAAAGACTGCTAAATGGAACAATTCTCCCTTTTTCAGCCATATATACATAATTCCAATTGGGTAAGGAATTGGGATTAGTTATTTCCTCCTGGTCCTTAGAGGAGGACATCACTTCCTGTATTAACAAAATGACCAAGGAGCTTTGGAAATGTCCACCTTTTATTGTGAAGATAGCTTTCCAAAACTCCATAATTCTCCAGACTTCCTCTATCTCAATTTAATACAAAAGGAAGACAAGCTTTTTTCAAGATCAAAGAGTGGGAGCTGATGGGACAGATTTTATTGTGCAATTACCATACCTTGGCCAAGGACTTGGGGACTGATGTGGAGAATCAAGATTTTATCTTAGCTTTTTAAAGTAACCTTACCCTTTTTCTCCAATCAATTTTTTTTGTTTTTACCTCTCCTCCCCCAATTTATTCAGGAGAAGACAGAATAGTTATTTGATATTTTTTTATCAGTAATACTAGGGAATTACAGATGCCCACATAATCTTCACCAATCATCTATTCAATCACACAAAGAAACTATCATCCTTTGGGCAAGCTTTGCCAACAGCAGTAATTTTATGGGCCCAGGAAACTCAAGTTACCCTTCTATGTATGGTTACTCTGAAACACTATTACTTAATGAAAGGCCATAGCATCAATACAATCAAAAGATTTGGTTAACTTAGAGCAGCTTTCTTTAGTTTAGGTTCTTCTGAAGTCCCGGGCAACTCTCTGGCTCGGAATTATGGGAGTGAAAATTCAACATCATAGGAAGATGAAATTTGGGGAGGTTCATTCAGATATGAAGAACCATTCCTCTACCATCCACTCCTGTCTGTAACTGGGTCTGGAACCCAAACTCCACAAAGCTGGACTCACTATGTCCCCTAATAAACCTCCCCTACATAGGATAATGGAAAAGAATGGCATGCCTCTATGCCCCTTACCAGCTGTGGGTACCAATTCAGTATCACAGGATGGAGGCCGATGTGGCTCTAGGGCAGGAGAAACAGTGAAGCGAGAGAATCTCAGGGTGTCCACGAGGTTGGACTCAGCCCGCTTGGCTGATGGCAGCAAGGCAGGTGTCATGGGCACTGGTGAAGAAAGTACTGGGTGTAACTGGGCTGTGCTGGGGTCTGACACCATGGAGACATAGGAAGGGTTCTGAGCCATGAGGGGGAAATCATCGTCCCACTCAAAACTGCCACCTTAATTGAGAAGGAAGAAGAGGGAAGGTAGGAAGGAGGTTAGATTGGGGCCAACCCCAGAGTAAAGAAGACGATAAAAATATAATCAGTAGCTCTGACATGATGTCATGCTTAAATCTTAATCTGTGTGGGTTCACACAACATGCTAAAGTAGACTAAAAGAATATGTTGTATGACCAGGCCATTATATTAGATCGGAGGTTCTCAACCTGTTGTCCAGGGATCCCTGAGGGGGCACACAATATAATCACAGGGGGTCTGTAAAGCCTTGAAGAAATGTTATGATTTAAATCTTGGGAGTCCATGGCCATGGTCTGTGGCCACAAAAGGTATTTAAAGGGGGGCCATGGTGAATAAAAGGTTAATAACCATTGTATTAGACCATTATCTGGATGATTTGTTTGAGCACAGCATGTTACTTTTATGTTTTGTTTACCCAGATTTAAGTTCCATACATCATAAGAGCCCAGTCTTTAGGTCACTGTTGAGTAGAAGATAGTACAAGAATTAGACAGCAGCAGAAATATTTCTTTTGTAGTGCTTAGATGCATAAGTAGGAAAAATATAGCAACAAGTAGATTTTCTCAAGGGCAGTATTTCCTAATTCTTCCAATTTGCTCAACTCCGTCTCATGTCCCTCTGCTCTGCATCTCCCATTTGACAAGTTAATTTCGGTATGGAAGCATAATCACTTTTAGTTCTTTAGATCAACTAGTCTTTTCACAGACATACATGCATTTCAAAAACATCCGGCTAATGATCAATGCTCACATGCAGCCTGACAGAACATGTAATTTCATAATGAGGAAATTCTTTCTGCAACTAAACTTTATTGGCCTGCTTTCTACAACAACTTATGTTTTTAAAAAAAGTCTTCCTATCATTCTGCAAATTCTCGGTTTTCCTTCTTCCACTAAGCTAGGAAAAAATTTGAGGACTTGTAGTGGAAAATCCTGACCCCTCCTTCCCTCTCAGTTCGTTGATCTGCTGTGCAGACTCTGTCAAAATGAATGGGTGTTCCAGATCCTTGTATTTGATCTTATAGGCCAAAGGAGGTCACCTTAGGGCTATTTAGGCTTCCTAAAGCATATCTTAAACTAAGGAGGATTAAAGCCTGGCTGTCCTTGTCCGACAGTGAAGACAGATGCCAAAGTGTATTCTGAGTATAGGAAGCTCCATAAATCCTTTGCCTCTCTCTGTGTCATTGAATAAATCTCTGGGAAACACTTCTGAGTGCTTGGAAAGCTAAGTCATGGGGAGCACTAGAAGGGGGCTAACTCCATATATGGAACTTAGCACAATTTATGACCCTATCATTTATTTATTTGTATCCCACCTTTATTATTTTTACAGACTAACTCAAGGCGATGAACATATGCAACATACCTTCCAGAATGGCTGCCTAGGTTAATTTAGCAGATCCCCAAGAACAGCAATAAGAGTAACAATAACAGAAGGATAAAATGAGTTGAGGTCGGTGTGTTGTGCTGCAACTACTGAAAATACTACATCACTGAGGGATTCTTGGTGTTCTTTGAGCTTAGTGGTTTTCTTACAAAAGCTTCATTACCAAAGTAGTGATATCATCAGTAGCACCTAGTTTGGTAAGGAAATATCTTCAAGAAAATCACCAAGCTCAGAGAGTATCAAGGAACGCACGGTTCAACCCTGAGCTACAAATATTCTGTTTTATTGGTACTACATTAATGTTTCTAAATTGGCAACTTTAAGAAGCATGGACTTCAACTCCTAGAAATACCACTCATATCTGCTTACATTTAAAGTCGACCACTATGCTTTGTTTTACATGGGACTTATTTTGAATTATGTTTGGAAATTCCAAAAGGTGTAAATCCAGAGTGATCTGATACATATTCTGGTGACCTCCAGTTTGTTTTCAGATAAACCAATTGACCCTTAGTCAAGGCACAAATGACCAGGTTCCATTATCCTACTTCAGACACATTATCTGCAGTGGTGGGTTACTACCGGTTTGCCTCAGATCGAGCAAACCGGTAGCGGCAGAGGCGGGAGGCTCCGCCCACCCACCTGGATGTGTCTGTGCATGTGCAGAAGCAGTGCACTTGCACGCAAGCGTGCACCCACAAGCAAACCGGTAGCGATGGGTTTTGAAACCCGCCCCTGATTATGTGAAGACTTAGCTCTCTGATGTTGGGAAAAGTAAAAGGAAAGAAAGAAGAGGGCAACCAATAGAAAGTGGATATACTGCTGATGGGTGCACTCTACTGGAAGACCTGAAAGATCAGGTTAGGGACAGATTGCCAAGGAGAAAATCATCTGCACTGACTTGATGCCAATCAATCAATCAATCAATCAATGAAATGTCCCTAAACATCAGGAACCTGATCAGAATAACTATTTCTTCTCATGTTATTCAGCTGACAGTTCAACTTCAACACTTGCTCTTTATGTTCTACCAAGTTTTGTTACTATGCTTGACAACTACAGAAGATGGATTTCTAAGTATCATATCCAAACACTGGGTATGTCTTCTTCAAAGAACCTTAAGCCACCTCTCTGTTTTGAAAAGCAGAAAGTAATACATCATCTGTGCCTTTGATCTACCTTTCAGCTCTTGTGACACTATTTTTCCAACAGAGACTAATAATTTATATTCTTCTTGACTGCTGTTTTAGTGATCTATTGTCCTTTTAATTGCTTTTGTTTTGGTTTTATTGTATCTTGAGACCTATAGGGGGAGTTAGACACATAGAAAATAGTTTTTAAAATTGGATATACCTCCATCATCAGGCCCTTGCTACAGCACAAAACAGATTAGTTTCTGAATAAGGAAGAATGTGTACCACCATCTCCCTTAATATGACAATTTTAGATTTTGAGCGTTCATGGAGGCAATAAAAATTATATCCTAAAAATAAACTATGTAGAGATTATTTTTTAAAAAAAGGATCAGCCAGCATCAGCATAATTATTATGCAATGTCTCCTAAATTTCTGCTAACTGAAGCACATTTTCATTTTAAGAAGATAAAGCTTTATTTATTTCCACTCACATATGAAATGACTTTAAACTGAAGAATGCTAAAGAATGTTTATCTTCAGAGAGGATCACTCATATTTACTGCAGGAGTCTCCACAGAAAAAGATGAAACAAGGCAGAAATAAAAGTGAAGCTCACCTGAGGACTGGCAATTCTGCTCTGTGCATTGGAGACAACCAAATGATCCCAACCATCATACCCAGGAAAGATACAGAAAAATGCTATCCATCCAAGCAAAAACTGGAAGGAAAATGTTATCTGTATGAATGCACTTAAATCTAGACAAAATCTTGGTGGCTGGACTTAACATTTTTGAAGATTACTGGGTCACACCAGGAATTTTTGCATGTTTTCCTAGTTTTCCTTATTTTAAAAAACCTCCTTATTTGAAGGTTTACATTAGCGCTTTCATATGTACTTCAACAAATGTTGAGAACCTGCCCCAGTTTTAGCCACTGCAGAGAGAATTTTGTCCAAAAAAGAAACTTGAGGCCATATGGGTTACCCATCCCTGCTTTAAATTGCATTGAAATCAAACTACTATTTCTGATATTGTAAAAATGTTAATTAAAATACTGCTAGTGGGTCACAAAGACACACTTAGTGTCTTTCCTCAGTTCTTCCTGTTTAACAGCAGCAAAACAAAGTGCCCTAACAAACTGATTTTGAAAACCACTCCCTGACAAGAGATGATTGCCCAATTTTCACTTGATCACATCCAAGAGGAAATCATGCATCTGGTTTCTTTCCAATATTCATCCAGTCTCAATCTTTCTGTAACTTAACGCCATTATTCCCAGTTTTGCATTCTGGAGTTATAAATAATCCTTCATCCTTTTCTACAGTGTGATTCTCTTTCAAATACTGCATGGTCTCTTACTTTATCTCTACCATAACCATCTGCCTTTTATTTTCTCTTTTTAGAGCTTTCCGCTTCCTTAAATTCTTTTCAGCTTAGTTTCTTGCCCTTCAGTCTTCTTCATTGCCTTCTACGAAACAATTTTCTTAGTATGGTGCCCAGAATTCTACACAACATTTGAGGTAGGATCTGGCCAATAGGAAATAAAATGGAACTATATCTCACCTGGCCACCATTTTATACCTGGAAATCTGACCCTATTTTCAAGGGTAAATTCATCAATGCCATTTTTCCACCTCAAGTAAAACATCCAAATGATTTGCAGAATTAAAAATACATACAGAGAGATGATGGAACCATCAATGAATAAAGCTGAACATTTAGAGATGAAGATGGGAGGTAGAATAGTAGCAAATATTCTAGATCAGTTTTTCTCAACCTTAGCAATTTTAAGATATCCCCCAGCCAGGCTGAGGAAGTCCACATATCTTAAAATGGCCAAGGTTGAGAAACACTGTTCTAGATGCTCCATACTCAATCAACAACTTCAGAGTTTTGGTAACTATAGGTAAGCCAGGGAAGGCTTACGTAAGGGAAGTCTCAAACCAAGATTCTTGTCATCAGGATCCTGTACTTTTTCTTCTACCTGCCCGGGAGGCTAAATATATATTTTAGGCTGCACTGTCACCCTGGTGTTGTACAAATTGGATGGCTTGGAATTCAAAGAGAGTATTTCCACCATATCTGGAAGTAGCCAAGTTGGGAAAGGTTGCCTTGAGAAGCATCATTTTAGTTGTGTTAAAAGCTTTCTAAAACCCGGAGACAGTAATAACTAAGAAACACTGTGTTAACTTCGAAACGGATCAGACCTGCCACAGCCATCTTTCCGTTTCTCAGCTTGTCACATAGTATGGGAGAGCGGAGAGATCTAGAATGTCAGACCAGACAACAAAACATCCTGTGGGAAGCAAGATCATCTCAACAGGTGCTGGCCAGAGACTAAGAGGAATTGCCAGTGAGATGCCAGAATACCTAATTGGTGTTCCAATGTGACCTGTGACAATAAGGGAGGGGATTATCTATTCTTTAATTATATTGAAAACGTGAGAAATAGTTAGGTTTGGTTTTGTTTTCATCTGTGCCGAAATGATATACTCAATAAAACAGTTCTTCGAAAAAGTTTAAAGTCTTGGAGTGCTGTCATTAGTCAGAACCTTGACACACTGTCCATTGATTAAGTTTAAAGTGGGGCCATAGTTTATTTCTTCTTGAAATTGTCCTCAGCCAAGCTGAGTTTTGCAGCTATCCTTGGTACCTTTCAACAGTCTTCCTTCAAAATCAAACTTAACCTCCTTTGGACTTCATCCAATCTTCATCAGTTTACTCTTCCTATATCGACAATCAGTTTGATCACAATCAGTTTCCTGAAACCTGGCCCTCTACTCCAACTTATTTCGCATACCACTTTCTTATCAAAAGCACCTGTATAGCTCAGCCTTCTTCCACTATGACTCTGTAGCTGGGTTGGCCCATCTCCTACTTGGCATTTAAGGCTGCTATGGAGAGGAGATATTTATGATTTGTTCCAATACTCACTGAAGCCATCAGCTGGTGGGAAAGCATCAAGTCCCGGTTCTGCTGCTGAGCCAGGAGAAGGGGTATCACCATCGGGGGCTCCCTGTGAACTCAGTTCATTGGTTGGTGTCTCCTATATAAACATGGACAGGAATTAAAATCCCTTTGAATTATCAATCTAAAGTCCCTCTGGACTGAGGCCCAGCTCAATCAAATAAGTAAGAAAGGAAAATCATTTATCAGAATGCAAAGGTTTAGCAATCGACTGTTTAAATTGTGGGGTGGGAAGAGAGATAAGACTAGCTGGATGTGAACTGGAATAAACCCTGGGGTTTTCAGGACCTTCGACCATTGATGTAAACTACAAGAAAGAAAAGAGCCTTCGTATTGCATGTCATCATTATGCAAATATGCATGAATCCTTTCAGCTATTGGGATAGATCAAAGGCATCCAACTGCTGGGGGGGAAAACCTATTATCCACAGATCATTGGTCGTTTCTATAAGGAGGCATGAAAGGACAGCATGGCTGGGATTAAGCCAGACCCAAAGGGAAATAGTGTTGTCTGCATTGGCAGAGAATTTAAAGCATGGACAATTGGGTGGGAAGAAATAAACCCAGAGATGCAGAAGATAAGAGAGACCCAGGATCCATGAAAGAAGAGACAATGCCTGGAAATGGGACTATTAAAGTCCTTCTTCAGGCTACTGTGAATCAACTTTCATCCTCTCCATCCTTCACCGCCTCATAACTCACCTGATCAAAGAGGTAGACGGTGACATCATCAAAGAAGGAGACCATCTTCCGCTTGCGGTCAAACTCAGCCGCTGCCTCTTCCGCTGAGCGGGGTGACTTGAGAAGACCACGCAAGTTGCGGGCATCATCACTTTCACTCACCACAATGGGCACACCCCTCCCTCCGCTTCCAGCCACGCCTCCTTCCTCATCTTCTTCAGCATCCTCTTCCTCTTCCTCTTCTGCTCCTAGGGAAACTTCTCTCCCTCCCAGAGCTGGACCCTCCCCCAAAGCGGTTCCTTCCCAAAATGGTCCTTTCCTTGCTCCGCCAGGCGGGGGAAACGTCTGCAAAGCCAGTGGTGGCAGTGACAGAGACAAACGGGATAGCTTGGCTGGAGGCAAAGGTTAGAAGTCAAAGGTGAGGATTGCCAGGAGAAAGGAAAGTGATTGAATAGCCAATGGTCCAAGGTTAAGAAGGACAAATAACATGGAAACCAGTCAAGAATAAAAGAGTTGGGATGAAAGAGATAGAGAGAGAGAGAGAGAGGGAGAGAGGGAGGAATAGACAGAATGTATTATTTCACTAAAAGTACATTTTTTGTATTTTTGCCCACATATAACTTGATATGACCTGCCACATGTATCAATTCAAAATGAATGAATAGTTTACTCTAATTTGATTACTAAAACTATCCTGGCCTACAAACAATTAGTATCCATGGAAAAGTTGACAGCAGAACACATCTGTGATCATTTCTGTATCTAATTACCATTTTCCTTCTAACACTATGGATCAAACTATGTTGATCATGGTTGGATTAATAAAGCAGCTAAAAGAATCTAGACACCCCCACCCCCCAATTGGTTTGGTTTTTTTTTTTACTGTTTGTGACATTGCCTATAAATCCACCCTCTTCAAAATGAGATTTTTTTTGTAAAAAAATATACATTGATTAGCAGAACGCTCCTCCACACACACAAAAAAGTTGTTTGCAAGGCTGTGGATGGTATTTGTGAGTCTATAGGGGAGGAAAGTTTTATAACGAAGAAGAAGAAGAAGAAGAAGAAGAAGAAGAAGAAGAAGAAGAAGAAGAAGAAGAAGAAGAAGAAGAAGAAGAAGAAGAAGAAGAAGAAGAAGAAGTAGTAAAATTAAAAACTGGACCATTGGATCAAATTGTAAGTCACCCAGAGTCACTTGGTTGGGTTAGGCAGCTATAGGAATTGAATAAATAAAGATAAAATAAAGATAAAATAAAATAAATAAAATATAAAATAAAATAAAATAATAATTAAATTAAAAAATTAATAAAATAAAATAGAAATAGAAATAACAAATCTTATTCGGTGTCCCCAGGATACCCATAAGTTGGAGAAAGGCTTTACTAACTCTTCCCTTCCTTCATTTAAGATTTTATTTTGAAGCTTAGGAGAGGACCTGATAGGACACTGATCCTGCTTCAGAGAACCACTGCCAGGGACGATGGGAAGCAGTAAAGTAAGACATGATGGGAGTTGCAATGGTGCCATCAAAGCTCTGCCTCTTTTAATATGAACTGCATATTAAAGTGTTGGGGATTTAATAATGTGACTTAAACCATCCTCTTGAATTCTCCCTACCACTTCCTCCACCACACATGCTTGGCCGCTGCCATTTTCCATTAAATCAGTGATTCTCAACCTCTGTAATTTTAAGCCCTGTGGATGTTTTTCCATCCCGTTTGTTACATGAACACCCTCTTCTTCCTGTTATTGTCACCCTGAATTGTAGATTGCAGAATTTTACCTTTGATATCTTCACTGGCTTGATTCACAGGGACCCCAAGCTCTCGTTCCTTTTTAAGCTGGTCATTTGCTACATAAGTGTCTTCCTGAGGATCCTGTGATTGTTCCACGTTGGCCATGGGTTCACTTTGGATCTCAGTATGGATAGCTTTCTCTCTTTCCTTCCTTTCTTCTTCTTTCCATTCAAGCTGCTTCTCTTCAGATTCTCCAGTTCCTTCCTTCTGCTGCTGCTTTTCTTCTTCCTCCTCTTCCTCTTCTTCTGCTTTATCTTCTACACTTTCTGACCACTGGAAATGCACTGTTTCCTCAAGGTGGCTTTTTTCATCATTCTCTTCTTCCTCTCTTTCTCTTTCTTCTTTTTCTTCTCCTCCTCTTTCCTTTTCCTTCTCTTCCTCTTCCCCAGTTTGCTGTCTCTCTTCTGGCTGCAGGCTCCAAAGCTTGACAATGGCCTGATCTTTTAAGGAGGCAATTGGTGAAAAGCCCAATTTTGGCACCTTCTGGCTACAAAGTAGATTCCGTGTGACATTCTCTTGCAGTGTGACCAATAACTGTTCTTTGCACACCTGAACCACAAAGCCTCCCTCTACTATTGTCTTCTCTGAAGGCTTTTCTTCCTCAGTTCTGGTTACAACTGGTGCCTCAGAGGATTCGGCCTCCCCATCAGAGAAGTAAGCAGAATCACGGTGAGGGATTGTAAGCCCCAAGCTCCTGCCTACCTCTTCTTCAATTTCAGTCCCTTCTTCACTTACTGAGAGTGTAAGATCGCTAGTGGACTGAGAGATGGGTGTTGCTGGCAGTTTGCCAGAGTCATCTTCTGCCTCTATTTCTTCCTCTTCTCCAGAAGGTGAAGGAGGTGATTCCTCTTTAAATATAAACTCAGGTGAAAAAGTGCTCTCTGTTTCATAACCACTGTCCCCAAATTTTTGCCCTGGAGAGGAGTAGTGGGAGGCTGGGCTGCAGACATCTGAGGAACTGGTATTAGAAGGAATGTCCAAGGAATCTACAGAGTCTAGGGTTCCTCTTTGCCGATCAGGTGCTGCGGGGGAGAGGCTCAGGGTTGCAGGGCCAGCTGAAAATCCATCAACAGCTTCTGGGAGAATTGCAATAGTCTCCTCATCATTAGTCTCAGCTAGAGTAGATAATGGTGGTATCTCAACAGGGACAATCACATTGCAGCATCCGGATGACATAGTTGGAAAGGGTGACCCAGGTGGACGGATGTTTCCCCCACCTCTCTGCTTTGGGTAATCTTGAAGTTCATAGGTCTTCACAGCTGTGCCCATAAGTGGGTCATAAAATTCACTGTGCTCCCCAGTATCTCCATCACAGTCTCTAGGAGGTACTATAGAACAGTCAGATAGGGAGCCCCGCTCCACTTTGAGTGAGGAGTCATCCTCAGTGCCGTAGCTGTCCCGGTGAGGACGCCTCAAAGGTGGGCCATGGTTGCTCCAACTGCTTACCACATCCCCTCGAGGGATGGCACATGTGCAACGGGCCCGAGTGCACAGGGGACAGGGCAGAAGGTTGCGCCGCCCTCCTCCAATGCTGCTTCCACCATCATCAGTGCTACTGCCAGAACTCTGGTCCTCCATCAGAGAAGGTTCCTGCTCCCAGGAAGGTGACCCCTGGAACTCTGAGGGGTCCCCAGCAAGAGTCTCCCCTGCCCCTCGTTCTTCCATCATCTCAGCATCCCAGTTACGCTGTTGATCCTCCAACTCACGATACACAGTGAGCAAGGATTCTGCAAGGAACGCTTCACTTTCTGTGGTTGGTGTCTCTGTCAGTGACGTCTCTTGGATCTCACCATCAACACGGAAAGGATTGCTTTCACCGCTGCCACCAGTCAAGAAAGGGTTAGTATTGGACTGCTCTGCTGGCCGAAGAGGGGCATTGTGGCAATCCCAATCAGAGGCAAAGAGTGGCTGTGATGCTGAACCAGGGCTGGGGGCACAGACTGGCCCTTCACCACTACCGTGGTCCTCCAGGCGAATGTAATATTCACTGCTGACGGAAGGGCTGCGGGCGCTGATTACAGGCACAACGCTGGGTGTCTCCAGACTGTGTCCACGGTGTACTGCCTGTTCATAAAAAGGGTTGCTGCCAGGCACAGCTAGCCCACCATTGCTGGAGGGGTATTCTGGTGGTGCTGAGGCAGGGCCCTTCCATCGCCCCAGCCGGGCCTTCTCCCACATATACTCAAAGTTCAGCCCTCCACTGCTTTCAGTCACAGTCAGGATGTCATCCATGTCTCCACCATGGAATCCATCCAGGAGTGGGTAGGCTGAGATCTCTTCTGATGGGCAGTGATGACGTGCTGAAGAAGAGGAGGCCGGTGGTGGGGAAGAGGAACGCATGGGTTTCAGGGCACTCCAGCGCCACTCAAAACTCTCCTCTGCCTGAGCATTGGAGCGCTCATTCAACAGGTAGCTCACCTGCAAGTGCAGCTCTTCCATAGTTGGGCGATGAAAAGCTGGTAGCCAGCATGATTGCATCACCTCATACCTGCAGTGGGGCAGGGTTGGAGGGAGGATAGAGGAACAGTCGGAAAAACAGGCAGAAATAGGGTGGAAAAAACACAGTTGTGGGAAGATAGCCTGAAAGGACAGCTAAGGGTGGGCAGCGGGGATTGGGAACATTTAAAATGAAACAAAAAAAATGTTGCAAAAGAACAGTTGGAAAAAGAGGAAGAATTAAACACCCTACAGAGTAGCAAAAGGAAAAGCAAAGGTAGAAACAGATATGCAAAATTAGAAAGCTTGACTATTACAGCAAGAGAGAGTAGGGAGGAAGAGTCAACCAGTAAAAAGTGAAGCAGAGCATATAAAAACACCATTCTGAAGTCATTCAGGAGTACAAGAATATGGGAAAAATCAGTCCCAAGAATGAAAGGAGAATGGCTGTGACATCAGGAGAGCAAAATGGGTGAGAAATAGAACAGCTGGAAATGTAGATCATTTATAGATCTTGGAGAATTGTTCTAACGTAGGAGAGCTACTATACAGTATAAGGCATTAAATCATTGACCCATCTAATCTTATTAAGATGCCCCAGCCTAAAGAGAGAACAGATGGGCATCTGGTGGAGATGCAGAAGTCATTAGCAACCTTTGAGGTGGGTAGGGGAAAGAAGGAGCAGGAAGATCAGAGTGAAGTAAGCATCACTGCTGCATCTCGGCACATTCTATGGGCAACCCTAATCCTTTGCCAACCCCAAAGAAACTTTCACCTGCAGACAATACTAACTGTGATGATGGATTCCCACACCAGACACGTGGTTGGACTAGTTCTTCAAGTTCCCTTTTCCCAGTTACACTCAATGTTTCTAGAATTCAAACTGGTATCTACACAAGTGTGGTCCATCTCCCCTAAATCACAAGAAGATGAATATTCAACGTTTTTAGGTGCTGCACATGAATTGCATTCACACAATGCACTACTTATTTACTGAATCAATCAATTTTTCTGGATTGATCCAATCCATCCATTCATCCATCCATCCATATCTATTTTTCTATCTATCTATCTATCTATCTATCTATCTATCTATCTATCTATCTATCATCTATCATCTATCAATCAAATTTAGGCACTAGCCCAGCTCACTATCTAAGGGATTCTGGGCAGCTGACAGGTAAAAATCATAAAACTGTATAATAAGATAACAATGAAAATAGAATTAAAACGGGATGAGAAACAAGTAAAAACAAAGATAAAAGATAAGTTAAAAGATAGAAGGGGTGCCCCCAAGGAACCAATCATCGCCATGGTGGCATGATGCTCTTGAATCCCTATGTGTTAGGTGCAAGGAACTGGAAATGCTCCAAGAATGGGTCAATGATCATCAGTTTAAAAGAAATTCACCAGACCGGAAATAGCAGAAATATTGACTTCAAATGTTTCCTCCTCCAATGGACTCTAAGCTGGAATGTCTTTTAATCGACCCCCACTCCAACTGAGGCCTCCTTTCCTTCAGCTGTTGGCTCCATCACACCATGTGAGTTGGCAATGCCAGGTCTTCACACTTTTGAAATGCCAGAAAAAATGGAGACCAGCCTCACTTTTGGGAGGAGGATATTCCATAGGGCAGGGACAACAGCAGAGAAATCTTTCTTCCTAGACCCTGTCAGTTGGAGATCTGATGGGATCAGTGGTGAAATCCTCCGCGGTTTGCCACCGGTTCGCTGCCTGCGCATCAGGGGTGAAATGCTCCCGGTTTGGACCGGATCACTTGATCCGGTAGCGATGGAGGCGGGTGGTTCGGAGAACCAGTAGCAAAAAACTCTGCCCCCCCCCAATGCCCAGCTGAGCGGCACAATCATCAGAGGCTTTTTAAAAAAAATTTAAAATCATTTTTTCTACAACCTCTTCGGCTGAAAAAATGCTTTTAAAAGTTAAAAAAAAAGCCTCTGATGATCGTGCAGCTCAGCTGGGATCGTCAAAGGCTTTTAAAAGCATTTTTTCTACAACCTCTTCAGAGCAGTGGTGAAATCTAAAATTTGTTACTACCGGTTCTGTGGGTGTGGCTTGGGGGGGATAATGTGACTGGGTGGGCATGGCCAATTTTTTTTTTAACTTTTAAAATCATTTTTTCTACAACATCTTCGGCGAAGAGGTTGTAAAAAAAATGCTTTCAAAAGGCTCTGACGATCCCAGCTGAGTTGCCTGATCATCAGAGGCTTTTTTTCTTTTAAAAACATTTTTTCTACAACCTCTTCGGCCAAAGAGGTTGTAAAAAAATACTTTTAAAAGCCTCTGATGATCCCAGCTGAGTTGCCTGATCAGCAGAGGCTTTTTTAAAAAAATGGCCACGCCCACCCAGTCACATTACCCCCCCAAGCCACGCCCACAGAACCGGTAGTAACAAATTTTAGATTTCACCACTGCTGCGTATGCACATTGTGCGCCAAACACATGCTTCACGCAGAAAAAGGACACTTTAAAAGGTAAGTAGAACAGCGGGGGGAAGGGAGGAACAGCTGTGCCATGCGATTTAGATTCTCTAGAAATCAGGATTTCCTGATTTCTAGCAAATATAAATCATGCAGCACAGCTGATTGTCGGAAATATCAATTCAGATGAACCGGTAGCTTTTTTTTACTGGTGCAAACTGGTAGGATTTCACCACTGGATGGGATCCACAACATAACCTCCATGCCTGACTGGTTGGGACAGGACAACGTAAGTGGGACAAAATGGTTCCTCAGGTAACCTGGTCCCATGCTATGAAGGGTTTTAAAAGTGATAACCAACACCTTGACTTAGACTCTGAAGTAAGCTGGCACCCAATAAAGCTCACACAGCAGAGGTGTGACATACATAGTCCTTGGGGCACCCAGAATTGCCCTTGCAGCTGTATTCTGCACCGGGTATTCTTCAAGGGTAGCCTTATGTGGAGCACACTAAATCATAAATCCATTGAAAAGACACTGAATCATAAACCATTTAAATGGGCAGCGTTCACATAACATGCTAAGCTCTTAAAATAAAAAGAACCTAGACAAGGTTATTTGTAATGAAGCTTACAGTGTGTTGCACAAACATTGTTCTATCTTTTATTGACCTAGTTAAATCTGTTGTGAAGTCTGAAATCATCTCTTCAGGGTTTCTGACAGGAGTCCTCCTTACAAATGGCAGGGCCTAAACTTCCTAATGGAAAGCAAAAGCTCAATTACTCTTCCAGAAGAATTTCTTTTAGGGTAGCAGCACCAGCAGTGTCCACAGTAAACTCTGAGGACCCCAAATGGCAACATGTGCATGCTGACACCGCCAGGCAAATGCTGCTCTTAGAGGCTCACTTCTGCAACACTTGATGCCAGGATGTAAAATGGTGTTATGTGTATAATGACGTCACCAGGTCGTGTCCTCTGGCCTCCACCAGAAAAAAACATAAGCATAGAACATATTCCACAGCAATCTTAAAGGTGGAGATCAAATTGATCCTTTGAGAGAAGATGGTCCATAAAAAGATGCACTCCACTGGCTTTGAAAATTAGTTTTATTTTTGGGGTTACTTGTTGACTGCTTTTTTTATATAACAAACAGATGCTAGGTCAATTGATTTGATAGATAAATAAATTTACACATCAGGGACACCTTTTATGTAACAGTATTTTTATTTTATGTAGATGGGAAAGTTATTTATAATACAGGTCAATAATTATTATTGACCTGTATTACAAGAGAAGGAGAATGCATCAGATATTTTTGATATATTTTTCAGCATTCAACCAGGATGGCCTTTTTATATTTAATGTCATTGTGGATGATATATTTATCATTTGTTATTTTTTTGTACACATGTTTTTTTTATTATTAGCATTTGATGGTCGTTAAGCTTCTTTTTTTCTTTGTTTTTTATTTTAACTTTGGAAATAAAATGAAATATTTGTAAAAGAAAAAGAAAAAGGTGCACTCTACCAATGGAAAGGGAGAATAGATAGAATTCCACTTTAAAACAGAGTTCCAAAGAAAGGGAAAAGGCTACGAAATTACTTAGTTCTTTTTATGGAAAGCATCACACTTTTATTTAATTTGTCTAATTTATATTCCAGGAATTTTCATCCAGGAATTCGAGGTACTATGTACATCACACCCCATCCTCCATTTTTTTTCTACAACAACATTGTGAGGTAGATTATGTTGAGAGAAAATGATTGGTGCAAAGTCATCCAAGGACTTTTTATGGCCTTGAACCCAGTCCAATTGTAGTCCAGTCTGCAATTGCATAGACCACATTACTTCCCCTGTCCTGTTGCTTTTTACCCATTTAAAATATTTAATTTTAAAATGAAGGGCCTGGCTTAAAATTTCACTGCTTTTCGGCTATGACTATCCCTCTGGTTGAATAAAGATTTTTAATAATGTTTTGGAATGTTTGACCCCCAGTGTATATGGTGGTTTTATAATGAACAATCTTGGCTTTAATATGTAATTATTATGTTTTTTTATTTCAAGTCAAATTTCAAATTTGGGGAGTTACTTCATACTCAGATACTGTATGGTTGACTACACAGATTCTGGTTAGAGGGTTCTTCATAAACATTGCATGTTTGCATGCCATTTGTATCAAAATAGATCTCTGTGTCACAAAAAAGGATTGATTTGCTTCTGGGTAAAAATAATATTTGCAATAGAAACAATGCCTATTTTTTTCTTTAAAAATCCTCTTTTTATACTGTTTCACTGCATTCTTCCTTTCCTAATTTTTAATAGGATTGCATAATATGTTATGATGAGATATTAAAAATGATAATACAACTACTAGAAAAATATTTAAAATATCTGAAAGGAAATCCTCAGCCCTGATTAGCATGTTAGACAATTACTGGCTGAAATAGAAATTGACTACTCTGATTAAAGAAAAGAACATAAGCACTTTTGTTTCTACTTGGAGACCGCTCCTGAACTTCATGCTTGAAGTGGAAAAGAATGAAACTTTGATTTTGATTTTACCGAGATTGATAGATCTTTACAGAAATGGCTTGTTCATATTATTATGAAAAAACAAAAAGTTGTGATTTAATGTTAATGCCTTATTTTACTGCAATAGAGAGAGTCGGAAGTCAATGCTTCTTTTTCTTTTCTTTTCTTATCCTTCCTCACCTCTCTTCCCCCTTTTCCTCCCCACTGCTTTTCTATTTACTTTTGTATTTTACAATATTTTATAACTCAATAAAAATGTTAAACTGGAAAGCATCTTAGACAATTACTGACAGAAATAGAAAGCTGCAGACAATCAATTAGCTCAGAGGCCCCCAACCTTTTGGGCACCTGGGACTATTTTCATGGAGAAAAGTTTTTCCATGGAAAGGAGGGTGCATGGTTCCATGCGCTGCCTGCATGCCATGGATGGGGCTTCACTTGTTTGTGTGGCCCAGTTTGCATGGCAGGCCATAGCCTGGTGCTGGTCCACTCAGGTTGGGGACCCCTGAATTAGCTAACATGAGCCAGGAAGAACAGGAAAAGGAAAAAAATGGAAAGAGCGGTCATAGCTGAAGAAAGCCTGGCCAAACTGACAGTGCAGAGAGAGAAATGGGTGGACAGAGGAAGAGTCAGAGGAATACAGAGAGGGGAGAATGGAAGAACATTAGGAGAAATAAGAATGCTAAGGCAAGCATCATAAAGTTTAGGGATAACATCCCAGATCACAAACTGTCCATGAAATCTCAATAGATGTCTGTCAAGGATGAAGGGGACAGGGACATCTGCAGGGGGGAAGATGAGGTGGGGGTGGGAAGGCAAAGGAAGCCATGTATGCCAAGGTATCTTGATACAAATGATGCAAATTGTGTATACAGGTAGTCTTTGATGCCTATGGCAATTCTCAGTTATCCAGGTCATGGTTGTTCCAAAGGGGCTTTTTCAAAAGGAAACTGGACTTTGTCTTTCCTGGAAGACATTTTGCTTCTCATCCAAGAAGCTTCTTCAGTTCTCGGTTCTTGGATGAGAAGCAAAATGTCTTCAAAGAAAAACAAAGTTCAGCTGCCTTTTAAAAAAGCCTCTTTGGGACATGTAATCCTTGAATTACAACCATAATGGATCCTGCCCATTACAGTCATAAGTCACAACAGTCGTAAAATGGATCACCAAGTGACTGGCCCATTTTTATGACCTTTTCTTCAGGCAGTCATTAAGTGAATCTGCGGTTGTTGAGCAAGTGCTGTGGTCATTAAGCAAACCTATTGATCTCTATGGGGCATTTTTCCTGGAAACTGGAAGTAAAAACCAATTTTTGGGAAAAACCACTGTAAATCATTGCCATTTCACCAAGGGATACTACAAACATCCTGTAAATATGGACGGTTGCTAAGCACCCAAAATATGGTCACATGACCCTGAAGAGAGGCCTGACTGCCAGAACTTTGGAACTGGGTTCAAAATACCTTTTGATGAGGTCCATTATAACTTCAAACATTCGCATAAATAACCAGTTGCAACTCAAGGACTATCTGTACACACATCATTTGCACAATGGCATAATAGCTCTTGTGATGTATTGTGGTCTTGTAGCCTGTTGGCTCCCGGTCCCTCCAGCAGCCGAATCAGATGAGGAGGAGGCATGGGAGTCAGGGTCAGCATCAAGGCAACCTGAGAGCTCCGAGGGGGAAGAGGGAATGGAGCTTTCAGAGAGAGAAAGAGAGAGAGAGAGAGAGAGAGAGAGAGAGAGAGAGGCTCTCCATCAGCCCTCAGATGGAGAGTCAACAGCCCCCAGGTCTGGAGGTAGCTGATGAGGAAGGGGAGGAACAGCTGGGTCCTGTGCCTGATGCACGGATGCGCAGAAGACAGAGGAGAGCAGTGGAAATCTGTCGGCCGATTCTTGGGATGCAAGAGCCACCGCTGCTAGCAAAGCCCCACCCTACCTCTGGGGATAAAAGGCAGGGGGCGGAGATGAATAGATGTGGCAGACAATTATTCATCTCCTTGCTGGACAGACTTCTTAGCCTGCGGTGAGAGAGAAACTTTTTGCCGGGGCTGCTGGCACTCCTAATAAAGGAGTCATTGATTTAACTATAGAGGGTTTGTCGTGTTCAAGGAGCTGGGTCACAACATGTGGCTTCTACTGGATGTCTATGGAAGGGGCATGAGCTGATGGAATCCCAGTTGGTGGGTGATGGATTTGTTGGCCTAAGGAGGAAGAACTCACCAATAGTCTGAGTAAGGAAGCTTAAGGCGAGGTTTGGCCAGTTTCATCTGCTGTTCCTTGATGACAAAAGTCAGCACCTCCTCATCGGAAAGATGCCGGTAAGGCTGGGAGCCAAATTCAAACAGTTCCCAGATGGTCACCCCCATTGACCTGCGAAGAACACAGAGAGATCAAGACGGAGGGGAAAATCCTCTTTGCTATGTGAATAAATTATAATGCCTCAATTATAATGCTGGCAATAATGAGTCAGGGGCTGGGATTATCCCAGCTCCTATCAGCTGTTGGAGGCTATTGTGGGCATGCCATAATTGTAATTTACGTTTTTTGAATTGTACGTTGCCCAGAGTCATTGAGTGAGATGGGCAGTTATAGAAATTAAATTAAATATGTGTCCCGAATGCCTCAGATATGGTTTGGGAAATGCTGAGTCTCATTTCCATAGATTACCAATCTTCAGGAAGAGCAGTACACCTCTTTTTCAGATACGTGTTTAACAGTCTTGGGAAAAAGCTGTAGATCTCTCTTTTAAAAAGTACAGGAATAATCCAATCAATTTAGCCTGGGAAAAAGAATCAAATCCTGCCAGCAGTTTAGGCCTGAAAGTCGAGCAAGATAGATGTTCTGTTTCTTTTGCGGTCAAGTATTTTTGTGTGATCACACTTTTCACTGCCTTGATTAATTTGAAAGGGGCAGCTATTTTGTGCACTGTGTAGACAATTTCTCGGTGCTTTGGGTCATGCCAGCTGTTTCCAGCACTGTATTGATCATGCAGTATTTGCAGGTAGTCTTCAAATTATGACCACAATTGGAACCAGAGTTTCCACTGTTAAGCAAGGCAGTTGTCAAATGAGTCACACCCAATATTATGACCTTTTTTGCTACAGTTGTTCAGTGAATCATCTCAATTATTAAATGAATCACATGGTCATTAAACAAATCCAGCTTGCCTCATTGACTTTGCTTGTTGAAGCCTTCTGGGGAGGCTTCACAAATGGTGATCCCATGACCATGGGGCACAGGAACCTTTGTAAATACATGCTGGTTGGCAAGTGCCTACTTTTTCATTATGTGACCATGGAGATGCTGTAATGGTCATAAGTGTGAGGACTGGTCGTAAGTCACTTTTTTCAGTGCCATTGTAACTTAGAATGGTCGTTTGTAGATGAAGGACTACGAGTACAAGTTCAAGATATACCATAAATGTCAGTCTGCAGTATATGTTTTTGTATATATAAGAAACTAGCTGGATATCCGTGCTTCGCTACTTATGACCACTTTTCACACTTTTCCATTGTCGCATACTCATGGTCTTGACAGACTCTCATTGTCATCATCATCACCAACAAAGTATATCTGGAGAAATGAAGGCTGCTGCTGAGGTCCCGTCATGATACTCCCTATCCTGTGGTAGACCTGCCCCTGCACTTTGAATATTGGCATAAAATTTCCCTCCTTCACTTCTCTAGCTCCAAAAGACATCATTTCGAAGCATCCGTTGTACTTCTGGGAAGCAGAAAGACAGTCTTTTCCCTTTAACTGGTGTTACAGTAGAAGGAACAGATTCGTCTGAACTGAGGAGGTCAGTGTAAGAAGTGAGTTGGGGCTGGGACACTATGCAGGAGAAATTCGGTTCACAATCTGTTGGCTCAGTGGTGGTTGGTGATTGAAACACATAAGGGAATATCTCTCCCACTGCCTTGAGTCCGGAAGCAGTTCCATAGGTGGAAGGGGTAGACATTTTGGTGAGGTAGTGACGTTTAGTACTGTAAAGAGCCCCATACCGCCCCTGAGTGAAGGAGTGGACTGTCTGCCAGTTTGAACGGAGGGAACGGAATGTGAGGCAAGTGGCAGTTGGAACTTTTCAGGTGGGGAGTGGGAGTAGAACGTCTAACTCCTTAGCATCAGAGCGTGTTAATATACTGTGTATGAATATACTGTACATGAAATACTAATGATCTGATGGTCATTTCGAAAAATCCTTTCTTAGCGAGCACCTAGAAGCCAAGAGGAACATTTGTGCCAAATTTCAAGTTTGTACGCTTTACCGTTCCGGAGATTTCATAATGAGTGCATGGATTTCGCTTTTATATATATAGAAGATATCTAACATCCTTGTGGAAAATGAACTTTTTTCCACATCCAAGCTAAGCCACTATTAACAGACATTTCCAGAGTCCCATCCTCTTCCAGCCACACATTATGATTTCAGTTGGTGGCTGATTTTCGCATTGCCAGGTGAGGAGGGAGGGAAATCTACCCACCACTGCCTTGAAACTCTTCTGCTCTATATTTATAAGAAGAAGCATTACTCCCCACCAGCCTAGTTGCTGAGGCACATTTAAGCTGTGGGAGTAGCATAATTGACAACAGCATATTTTTCTGGTGTCTGGTAAAGGACAGCAGGAATGTGTAATGAGGAAGAACCCTAAAATAAATCTCATGTGCACCAGGCCTTAGAACTGCTGGTACCTCAGGGCATCAGTATGTCCACACACACATCTTTTGGCAAGATTTCTCTCCCGGGTGGTTACATTAAAGTAATAGCTTTAATTAAAAAATAGAAAATTGGCATGCTGCAAAGCAAAGCGCCAGCCTCCAACATCATCTTCATTTCCAGGGCTCTCTCTGGACTCCCACCGGGCCCCATAATCTTGATTAGCAACGCTACACAGTCCTTTGTTTTGGACAAATGCCATCTCCTCAGAAAAGAGAACGTTGTGATTATGGTCAGTCCAGAGCTTGGGGGTTGAGACTGAGAAGATTGGCAGGTAAGCCAGCCATCTGGTAAATAGACAACTGCACTCCCCCAACCGCTTCTGGGGAGCAGCCAGAATATAATTTCAAACATGTCCTTTTGGCCAGAAACATGGGTGCAGTCTTCTTTAGAGTAAAGGAACATGGCAGTCAAATCGCTTTCAAGGTTGTCTTTGCTAAACTCTATTTTGGTTTAGTTTATGACTGAACAGAAAAAGAAAGGGGAAGCTGAAAAATCATTTGCTTAAATAAAAGAACATTCGTAACTAAGAGGATTGTGATGAGTGGCTCAAAATAACTAATTCAGTGCATGGATTTCTGCAGGGGGAGACAAATGATAAAAACTGTATAATGATACAAATGCTATCACTTACATATTTGCATTAGTATATAGATAGTCCTCGACTTATGACCACAGTCAGAACGTTCAGAATTTCCATTGCTAAGCAAGGCACTTGCTAAGTGAGTCATGTCCATTTTACAATCTTTTTTGCCACAGCTATTAAGTGAATCACTGCAGTTGTTCAATAAATCATGTGATCCTCAAGCTTCCCCCATTGACTTCGCTTGTCAGAAGGCGTCTGGGAAGGTCACAAATGGAGATCACATGATCCAGGGACACTGCAACCACTGTAAATACATACCATTTGCCAAGCACCCAAACTTTGAGCATTTAACTGTGGAGTTGCTGCAATGGTCTTAAGTGCAAGGATCAGTTGTAAGTCACTTTTTTCAGTGCCGTTGCAACTTTGAATCATTGCTAAATGAATGGTTGTAAATCAAGATTTGCCTGTTCAACATTTGCATTATTGTTCATCTATTCATTCTATTTGTACACTAGTGAATCTACCAAGGATTCCAAGTTGACATCAATGCACCATGTTTTAACATTGTGGCATCATTGTATTTTACTGAGGATGCATGCACTGGATGAATTCTTGCAAACACTGGGAAGCATTTCCTTGTGAACTTGGAAATGTTCTGTTTTTTTTAAAATTTGATTTATATGCCGCCCTTCTCCAGAGACTCAGGGCGGCTTATAATGTGTTAAGCAATAGCCTTCATACTTTTGTATATTTATACAAAGTCAGTTTATTGTCCCCATAATCTGGGTCCTCATTTTACCTACCTTAGAAAGGATGGAAGGCTGAGTCAACCTTGAGCCTGGTGAGATTTGAACTTGCAGTAATTGCAGGCAGCAGATGTAAGTGGATGTTAATTAGTCTGCTGAGCCACTAGAGCTCCTAATTCATCTGGGGTAAAGTTTCAGCTTTACCCCAGATGAATTGCGTATCCTTGCTTAAGAATACAAATTAAATTTCTTCAGTCCAAGAGACACTCTTAGGACTCACCAAACATTGCTCTCCTTGGTCTGATCCACAACAATGAGATTTCCATGCATCTCATCCAACAATTCTGGGGCAACCCAACGCAATGGGATCCAGAGTCGGTCCGGAGTGATATAATAATCTTCCTATGAAATAGAAATGAGAAACGGTACAGAATAGAAACTGAGTTATAGACATCTCAATATTCCAGTATCTCCTGGGTCCTGGATGCTCTGCTTCTCAACTAACATCCATTATAAAGTTCCCTCTCAAGGCCCATGCACTATTATGTAGTAGTTTGCTCTAAATTAAACTGCTCATAATAATTTCCTTTAAAAAAGAAGAGGAGATTTAATCTCATAATGGATTGGACATGTTCCGCAAATAATAAATTGACACATCTACTCGTTGCCTAAGACTCCCTTGAGACCCATCTTAGATTCTTTGAGGTATTTTCACCTCATACCTTGTAGTTGTTGTGTGACAGGCCATAATCCCCAACCCTCACTGTGAGATCTGAGGTCAGCAAGCAGTTCCGAAGTGCCAGGTCACTGTAGAAGACAAGAGGATTTTGAGTCAGGTGAGAAGGGAGACTCATTTTCTACCCTTTCTTACATTAAGCTTTCCCAATATACATAGAGAAGATAAACATTTTTTTTTTGTTATATGAGTAGGTTTTTTGGGGTGGGTGAGGGTAAGGATAACCCATATTGCCTTCAATAATTCAGAGGGAATATTTTTATCCTAAGAATAACTTTAAAAAGGATTTAAAAGTTTGGGATTGCCTAGAATCTTGCTATGTGACCTGTTTATTTTCTTAACTCTTCCTAGGATTTGACTGATTGATCAAAATAGTGCCTTTACTGACACCTGGATTAGTCCCTCTAGATTTTTTGGCAAAATTGCAGTAGTGGTTGCCATTGCCTTTTTTCTAGAGCTGAGAGAGAGTGACAGGCCCAAAGTCACCCAACTACCATTATGTCCAAAGCAGGCCCAAACAGGACTAGAACTCACATTCCTCTTGTTCCTAGCCTGATGTCTTAACCACTACACCAAACTGATTCTCTAACCCAGTGTTTCTCAACCTTGAAAGCTTGAAGATGGGTGGACTTCAACTCCCAGAATCCCCCAGCCAGCACTGCTGGCTGGGGGATTCTGGGAGTTGAAGTCCACCCATCTTCAAGCGTCCAAGGTTGAGAAACACTGCTCTAACCAGAACCTCAGCCCTCCTTATTTTGTTAAAATAGAGATCCCAGTTAACTCAGCTATCATGTGGTGATGAATATTGGGAGATATTATTTTCAATAATACCATAAAGCTTCAGATTCCCAAGCCCTGGACTAAATAAAGCAGGGGTGTTTTGTTAAGGGGTCACCGAAACCCCACTTCTTTGCTTTATGTATTCATTACAGACAAGATTTGTAAATGAAAACCTGTTTTTGGTATACGGCTTGCAAAATGAACAAGGCAAAATACTGGATTCAAGCAATATACTGTATTAGAAAGCCTGAGTTGTAAAGCTGATCATACACTAGAACCATGTTTCTCAATCTTGGCAACTCTAAGAACTGTGGAATTTTGGGAGCTGAAGCCCACGTATTTTAGAGTTGTCAAGGTTGAGAAACACAGGAGGAGGAGGAGGAGGAGGTGGTGGAGTAGTGCCATGGCATAGCAACCTATTTACTCTTAGTCAAAAATTTTCAGAATCCAGTTTAGCAGTTAGTGGCTAACTGCTTTTAAGCTTTTTGCTTAATGATGGATACTCACATACAGACCTGACTACACATGATTTTTCTTAGCTGGAACTCTGTATAGGAAATTCTACAGTATTTTTTAAATGATATTTGTGATATAGCTTGCATCACAAGAAAGTCCCCCACCCCCACCCACCCAGGAAGGAACCTCACTATATTCTTTCAACTTTGGGGGCAATAGCCATACACAGGCAAATAAATAATATATTTAAACTACAGAATATTTTTGCTATAACATTTGGCTGCTCATTTTTTGGTCCTGATTTCTGATTTTTAAAAAATGGATCAATGCTTTAATTATCTTAACCCCCACCCCATTCCTTTTCTGTTATATTTTTTAGACAGAGCCATAATGACATAACATGATAATGTCCCAGCAGGTTTCTAACTGTAAGAAACTTCACATCTCTATTCATCCTTTACCAAGATCAGGCCATCATCAGGTGCAGTTGCTCTTGGAAGTCGCCAAATCTTTCAACCTCCATTTTAACCCGCAGTAACTTCCATTAGGATGAACCTGCAATTCTAAATCTCACACTCTCCTCACTTTTTTTCGCATCCTGGTTCACACTCTCTTTCCCAAAGCTGCAAAATTCAGATTTCCAGCCATCATCCCTACCTGTGAATGTAATTGTTTTTATGCAAGTGTAGCACTCCCAGTGTGATTTCATAAGCCATGCGCTGCAATGTGCTGAGGTCACGTGTCAGTAAATCAGGAGTCATTCCATCTGCTTTGCGTTGAGCTCGCAAGTAACGTTTCAGATCTCCCTGGTGGACAGGAGGGAGATACCAAGTTTGTAAATTTACTAATTTTGTCTGGGATCCAGGAAAATTATCCAGACATTTTTAAAGAATCCAAGATATCCTTATTCTCATTCAAAGTTCACATTATCCATATTTTATATCGTGCCCTCATTCTAAACTGACTTAACAAAAGAGCCAGGTAGATTTGAACTATGTTATAACATCACAAAGCCTATTTGGAAGTTAAGTAGCGAGCACTGAGCTCACTCAGACCTACATTATTCAAATTAATAAAGCCACACAAGATATTTGATTGGTGGTGTAGGATGTGATTTTCTCAGTTATTGCAGGCTCCTCACTGTTTTAAAAGTAAGATGTAATTAAAGAAAAATATGAGGTTAATATTCTACACAACTGCCTCCTACAAGGAAAGCCAGGTTCCCTACTTATATCTACTTGGGCAAAGCAATTTTGAATGAATGGCTATGGAAATTAATGTTGTCATTAGAGCCACATTGACAAGGAGGCAGACATTATTCTAGAGTGACTACTGATATTGTGGTTACTCCAGATTCAGAGGACTGATGCTCTGGGCATTCCAGTTTCATGACAATAGGATTTGGACTTTAGTAATTCTCAAATCTGATTTTCAGTTGTGCTTCAGTTGACTTACCAGTTGGCAGAATTCCATGATCAGGAGGAAGGGTATAGTTTCTGTGCATAAGCCGAGGCACTGTAGTATGTTTGGGTGCTGGAGGCTTCTTGAAGGCAAGGTAGAGACATGGGGTGGGACACAGAAAAAGCAGGAGGGAAAAAAAAGTATTTCTGGATGACCGGACAAGAATCTCAATGAGTCATAACATACATAGGGAAATCCTATTTCTATTTTTGGACAGTTCCTCCGTGTTCTCTATTATAACCTACAATTTGGTAGCAGATCATTGGAGCATCCCCAAACTCCAACACCTCCTTAATAGCCAGAAAGGAGATTTCTGAGCCATGACAGAGCTCTGCTTAGAGAAGTAGAAACATTTATGGGACTATCCCTTAACTTTTTCCTAGACCCCACCTGATTTACTGGTTGGGAAATAGTTAGTGAATCCTTGGCTAAATTTATCAGATAGATTGTTACTCTAAAATAAACATTAGTCTACATTATTTCCATGATCTCATATAATTCTAATCATCAAATCCCCAAATCAACCTTTCATTTCTTTCAGTTTCTTGCAAAAAGCTCCAAAATGGTTTACAAGTAGAAATAACATTTGTCAAAGTCTTTTCTTTCATCAAGACTGCCAACTTTGCCATGTCTGCCAATTCCACCAATTTCACCATCCATTTTTCCATTATAGGTATTTGTAAGCCTTCCCATCTTTGTGCATATAAAACTCTTGTTACTATTATCCTGTATAAAAATGGGTATTCCTCAACTGAGAACATCTTGCCCAGCAGCATGACAGCATTCAATCTCCATAATGTTACAATAAAGAGAAAGATAATAGAGAAAAATGCAGTAGAGATTTTTAAAAAGATAATTTATCATTGGGGGCCTACCTTTGGCACAGTTCAGCATCTTTGACATAAAGACAAATACAGGTAGTCCTTGACTTACAACAGTTTGTTTAATGACCATTGGAAGTTCCAATGGCACTGAAAAAAAGGGACTTATGGCTATTTTTCACACTTATGACCATTGTAGATTCCCATGGTCATGTGATCAAAATTCAAATGCTTGGCAACTGACTCATATTTATGTCAATTGCAATGTCCCTGGATCATGTGATCATCCTTTATGGCCTTCTGACAAGCAGTCAATAGAGAAGTCAGATTCACTTAACAACTGCAGTGACTCACTTAGCAACTGTGTCTAGAAAGGTTGTAAAATGGAGAAAAACTCACTTAACCAATATCTCCCTTAGCAACAGAAATTTGGGGCTCGATTGTGGTGGTAAATTAAGGAGTGCCTGTATTTTGTATGAAGATTCCCTACCCTATTTTCACCCTCATATCATTTTCTTCTGCTTCTTACCGATAAGGCTGGGCCTCTGACAAGAACTTCCTCTGCTCCAGTGGTCCGGCACTTACACGCAGCTCCTTCACCACCACCTGTGCAGGGGTGAAATCTGAGAATATTTCACCCAGAATAACCTATGAGACAGAAAAGAAAAAGAAAAGAAAAAAGAAACCACCATCAAATACTGGCACCTGGTTAATAATTTGAACTGGCTATGTAGATCATATCTCATTAGTCATTAAAGTCCTTAATGAACTCACTGATGGCCAATTGATTTCCAGGTACAATTTAATTATCTATACAGCCCTAAACAGCTTGGTTCCTGGGCAGCTGAAAAATTACTTTTATCACAAGGGATGCAATAAAGGAAGACACAAGAAGGCAAAGAAGAAATAGCTTAAGAGTGCCTGAAAGTATTCAGGTCGAACATGTTTTTGAATTGGTTTGTGTTTTTTTTTTCTGAACAATATGAATGTTTTCACTGTTTTTAAAATGTTTTTTTTTTCTTGTTTGAATTGTTTTTATACTTTTGGAATTGTAACTTCTTCAGAGTCATTGATTGAGATGGGTGGCTATAGAAATTGAATAAATAAAATAAAAATTTGGGAAAGTAAACTTTTTCTAGTTCTTAGAAAGTAAAATGGCTCTAGATTAAAGTCAATGGATGATAACTTTAATAAGGTGGGAATCATGGATTTTTATTTCCCTTTTCTCCTCCTTTAACTGTTCAAATCTGGCAAATCAACTTCCATCCCGAAATCTCCATTTATATTCCCAAATACGTCCCTGGGTGTACTGGGAGAAGCCTTGTCAAGTAAAGGCTGGGCACATAGTCTTTGAAATTATGGTTCCTTCTTTATCAAAAAGAAAAGTTGCTTAATACTTTCACTAACGAGAAAATAAATTCTTGCTTGCTGTAGGCTATTTTCTGTAACCTCGTATTTAATTACTTTCTGCATTAAGTTTTGCAATTCGCAATTAATGACTTTTTTGTTGATTTGCTTATTTGGCTGCTGGTTTTTAACATTGTTAGAATGTTACTCCACAAATGTGTAAAAGGCCCTTGCATCTTATTCTTTTGTTGCAAACTATATCCTTTTTATTCTTTTATAAAGGATATCTTTATAAAGTTGTTTAGAAATAATATAATAAATGAATGATTTGCATCATATAGTCAGTGATTTGCCTATTGCTATTCCATTTATAGGATTCAAGGTAACTCTTGCTGGAAAGCATGAAAGCAATTGCCTGAATGTCATTCTTAAATCATAGCCACAAAAAACCTGAATTTTTCTTACTTACTTTTCCAAACCAGCCATTTCCAATCTCCTGCAGATAACTGAGGTGTTGTCTACTGAGACCCAAGTGTTTCACTAAATCTGAAAGAGGAATATGGTGTTCAAAATAATGGGAGTCAAGGATGCTGCACAGAGGATGCAGGCTAAGAGTTAACTCCATTTTGACTCTCCCCATGCCACAAAGCTATTAGACCAAAAAAAAAATGGTGTTGTGAGATAAGCTAGAACAGTCTTCTATATTAGGATGTACTTCAAATAGTGTATCTATGAGAAGCCATTGTAGGCAGACTACAGATAGTCCTTGACATACAACCATTTCTTTAATGGCTGTTAGAAGTTACAATAGTGCTAACATTGCTTATTCATACTTTAACTACCGTTGCAGGATCCCTATGGTCATGTGATTAAAATTTTGATGCTTGGCAACTGGCTCATATTTATGATGGTTGGAGTGTCCCAGGGTCATATGATCATCTTTTTGTGATTTTCTAACAAGTAAAGTCAATAGGAAAGCCAGATCTACTTAATAACCATGTTGCTAACTTAACAACTGTAGCCATTCAGTTAATAACTGTAACAAGACAACAACAACTGTAAAATGGGGCAAAACTCACTTAACAACTGTCTTGGTTAGCAACAAAAATGTTGGGCTCAGTTGTGGTTGTAAGTCGAGGACTACCTGTATGTGGAAATGGTCGTGGGAAAGTGTTCATGAGATGAAAAAGGATAAGATGATCTCAATTAAAGCAAAAGTAAAGTGGAAACAGAATTCCTGGGGCTTCCAAAAATGAAAATGAGTTGAAGATGAGGGAGATCTAGAGATCAGGATGGATCACTGCATAAGGCAGTGGGTCATGAAAGTCAACAATGTACATGTAGATGAGATCAGAAAGACAGGAGAGAAAGATGACAGACAGACAACACAAGGAAGGTTACACAGAATAAACAGCAGGTGCCACAACAGAAGAAAATGCAAAAGTAATAGGGAATGCCCAAAATAGAAAGACAGGGTAAAATCTAGTCATCTAGAATCCTAGGTTAGGACATCGTAAATGCTCAACTGATAAATCACTAGAGATATTCCCATTCTATAGAAAAATAAACCTTGGATTTCTACTGTTCTACTACTTTTATGCAAAGTTTATATAATTTTCATTATGAAGGTGCCAAGGTCTACAGCAGCCTTTCCCAACTTGGTGCTCCCATCATGTCAAGATTCAGATAGTGGAAATACATCTAATGGACATCAGATCAGAGATGGCTGGCATAAAACTGCACTAGTATATTTTCCCAAGGAACTGTAGCAAGTGCTGCCAATATTCTAACCTTTTGTGTTCTCTAAACAAGGGCAATATGAAAGATATCACAAATGGAGGATAATAATAGGACCAGAGGTGGGTTCTACTTACCTTTACTACCAGTTTGTAACGGGGCCACGTGCGCACACATGCGCTTCTGCGCATGCACAAAAGCTTCTGCACATGCACAGAAGCTTTCTGATGATGTCCGGTTCAGTGGATGGAGCCTCCCGCAGGTTTTACTGTGAACCGGTCGAAACCGGGGGCAACCCACCACTGAATAGGACCCCTTTCCCTCAGGAAATATACCTGTTTTGGGCATCTGTTGATTGGAAGATGGGAGTGAAACCTCAGAAAGAGGCAGAATGTAGACATCTGGGATGGATTGGGAGGAAGATGTCTCCTCTGCAGGTGGTGTATACTCTCCAGAGTATTCTTCTCCATCAGGGTTTTCAAATTCCTATCAGGTAGACAAAGACATTTTTTTAAAAAAATCTTTGTTTTCAAACATCATGCCCACCTCCCGTCCCCACCATCTGGCTCACCTTGAAACCCACATCACCCCTCTTGCAGCACAGACAGGTGAGGAGAAGGAAGATAAAGGCCAACAAGCCTGAGCAGGAGATCAGAACCACAGCATAGGGAGGGGCCAGGGGAGCCCGGCCCTGAGATAATCCGTCTGAAGAGAATATACAAAGAGCAAAATAGGACACATATATTAAAACAGCATTTAGAGGTAACTATTTGCCTGGTGGGAAAGAAAGGGTACTTTGAGGACCAACTAAATGTTCTGAACTAATGTGAACTTGCATGTTTTTCAGAATTAGAAGCTGAGATACAAACTGATGAAAGGATGGAGGACAAATGTTAAGGAAGAACAGTGGGTTTTTTTGTCCTATGAATTATCTTTCAAAGATTATGGTTCCATGTTTTTATTATCTTGCAGAAAAGCAGAAAAGCAAGATATACAGATAGTCCTCAACTTACAAGAGTTGTTTAGTGATTGTTCAAAGTTACAACGGCACTGAAAAAAGTGACTTATGGCCATTTTTCACATTTATGAACGTTGTAGCATCCCCCATGGTGACATGATTTACATTCAGATGCTTGACAGCTGGTTCATATTTATGACGGTTGCAAGGCATCGGGGTCATGTGATCATCTTTCGCAACCTTCTGACAAGCAAAGTCAATGGGGAAGCCTTAACAATCATGTTACTAATTTAAGAACCACAGTGATTAACTTAACAAATGTGGCAAGGAAAGTTCTAAAATGGGACAAAACTCACTTAAAAAAATTTTTCATTTCAATTATGGGCTCGATTGTGGTACTGTACAGGACTACCTGTACGGTAAAATGATAATGATGAATCTTGTCCTAACTTCATACTTCCACGAATATTTCTTTCCCTCCTTTTCTCAAAGTGCTTGTATTTATGTTCTGACCAACATGATTTTCTAATTTTGTTTTAGCCACAGGGTCCTTCCACCTCAGGGCTGACCCTGTTGTTAGACAATGTGAGGAGATTTTCTCAGGCAGCAAAAGCCAGGAAAGCACCTGTTATCGGAAGACAGAGATATGGAGATTTAAATTCCTAGTTCTGCTTTCCTTAAGTTACTATGCTATGGGCAGTCATCACAGAAGACGATGCTCATTGCCATTATAGACCCAAACATTACCTACTGCTGTGATGACCTTCCATTCCACAAAACTGGGAGAGAGGCAAGTGCCGATGGCCCTATCTCCTCAGGAGATAATAATTCTTAGTATGGCTGTGAAATAACTTGCCCCCATATTTATGGCCTGCTACTTCCCTGATAAGCTTTTGTAAAGAAGTGAAACCTGGCTCTGGGAGAGGGGATATTATATTTAGTGCCTGCCTCCATACAACATTATGGTTTACATTATATTTTCTGTTTGTTCTGTTCTTTTTCATCTCTGTTTCTGTTGTATGCCATTCAGAGTCACTTGGAATGGAGTAATTAAGACAAACAAATAAATCATTGAATGTGGGGTGCTATTTTATCCTTCATTACAGGAAACAAAATGCCTTGGACTAAGCCTACTGTATATTCTTTGTCTCCTACCTTATATTCTTCCAGCTGCCAATAAAAGATGAACAGTAAGTTTTAGGGACCTTGAACATGTTATTCTCTACCTCATCAATGAAAGTTGGTGGTAGCTGATGCAGTTACAGGTGGTCCTTGACAATTGAGCCCAAAATCTCTATTGCTAAATGAGGCATTTGTTAAGTGAGTGTTGCTCCATTTTACAACCTTTCTTTCCACAGTTGTTAAATGAATCACTGCAGCGGTTAAGTTAGTAACACGGTTCTTAAGTGAATCTGGCTTCCTCATTGACTTTGCTTGTCAGGTCACAAAAGGTGATCATGTGACCCCGGGATACTGCAACCGTTATAAACATGAGTCAGTTGTCATTTGAATTTTGTCAGTTGAATTTTGATCATGTGGCCATGGGGATGCTGCAAGGGTGGTGAAAAATGGTCATAGGTCCTTTTTTTCCAATGCTGTTGTAACTTTGAATGGTCACTAAATTGTAAGTCAAGGACTACCTGTATTTCACTCATTGCTTTACTCCTGAGTGCCAAGCTGAACTTTGTGCCTCAACTTTGTCCCGACTTCTTCATGGAAATGTACCCACCCATAGTACACAGCAGAGGGAGATGCTTGGAGTAGTAGAGGAGCTTTCAGCTTGGTGGCTGTAGGACCCACCAACATCTTTATTTTCCCAGAAGTTCAAATCCACACTTGGAGACATTCTAACATAATAAAGATGGTAGACCTTGTGCTACATAAACACTTCTTATTATATCACAATGAGACATCTCTTTTAAAATCCAGAATCATTGTTTAAAGGTTGAATCTTGTAACCAGGTAGATGACAACCTTTGCTCCATCATACCGGATAGTTTTTGCGTGCTCTCTGTGTTATCTCTTCCATCCTTTGCTCTATCCATCCTGTTTTAACCACTCACCATCCCTCTGTCAAATGACGCAAACAGAAAGCACCAACTTCAAGTTACGTACATGAGATTTTCAAATTTTGCTATAGCATTACCAAAACATTAGAAACTTGTCATTAGAAACTGTTTCATTATCCTGCCTTCGCCCTGAAGGAATCTATAGAATTCTATTTTTTTCTCGGGAAATGTCATCCTCTCTTTCCCAGGAAGCTGAGATATATTTGGAAACAGAAAAGACAATTTAATCAGATGGTACTAAAATTAGGTACACATTTACATTTCTAGAGACCATCTTCCATGCTGTGATTTAGTCCTAAAGCATATTACTTATTTTTTATTGATTATATTAAAATTAGTATTCTAATACTATTACCAGAGACGTCTGGCTGCTTACGCTAGATTTTCCCTTAGGCATGGATAAAGTTATGCCAGAAATGAGAATTCACCTTGTTCCTATAGGACAATGTAACAGGCTACAGGTCTCCTATTCTTGCTTATGTGAAGGCTTGGCAGTTAGTCACAATAAATATTTGCTAGTAAAGCAGAGCTGTCATCTATCCTACTGTGTCATTCAGTCATGAGACAGACACATGGGCTTCAACTCTCAAAGGGTCTGCTGGTTGGAAATTAAGGGAAATAGAAGGTATCAGATTGGGGAAGGTTCATATAGCCTCAGTTTCTTCTAAGTGACTGTAATTTGCTAAGATTTGAAAAGCACATTTTTCATGTCCTGGGGGAATCATCAGCCTTTGCTTCTTGAAGACAATATCAATATCATTGATCCTCTGCATATCAGAGGCACATATCAATGTGCCTCTGATATCAATATCAGAGGCACAACCTACTATGCCATCCTTAATTCTTGGCCCATGACTGTCTTCCCTTTCTGACATCAGAGCAAGTAAGCCATTGGCAACTAGTGTGACATTTTCTGGACTTCCAGCCTGCATTATGACAGCAAAAAAAGAAAGGCAAGATAGAGATGAGGAAGTAGAAGGGTAATACATCAGAGTAGACTGAACTCCCACAAGGGGAGTGGAGATAGCTTTGATTATAAATTATGGGGGGGGTGGATACCTTTCCAGCTTGTTGCAACAGTAAACATGCTGCAATCTCTTAGAATGAAGCAACTGGCAATGTCACAATCCTTTAATAATCCAATCATACCTCAACATTCTGGAGTTTTTGAGGCATGATTAGATTACCAATATTTGGTAATGATTAGCATACCAATATTTGAAAACTATTGTTCCTGGGTATTAATATTTGAGTTGATTCCTATATCAAAGGAGGTAAGGGACCAGATTAACGTTTATGGTGGATCTGTGGGTTGAACCCAGTCTGCCAAAGCCTCATTGAGGATCATGTCCAGTGAACTCATGGTTTCTCTAAACCTCCCACCAGCCCATAACTATCAATTTATTTCTTCACCTAATCTCCTATTTGGTCCTTCTTCAAAATAGTCTTTATGCATTCCTTCATTCTTCTTCCAGTGATGAAGTCTTTCACCATCTTCTTCATCTCAGCCATACTCCATCCTTACACAAAGCCCTCAGTGAGCCCCACATAATACCTTTTCACCAATGTCAAGAATGCATCCCAACTGAGTCTCCCACTTTCCACGGATCACTGTCAGACCAAACACAGATGGCATTTCTGAATGTCACTGACCTGTCAGGCATAAATTTCACACCCACCTCTCAGACATTCCTCCCTCCATCATGTTGTTTTCTTTGCAAGAAAATATTTATCCTAGATCTCCTTTACCGTGGAATGACTCTGGACCCCTCTTCAGGGATCATGTACAAAAATATCTCTTTTTCCAGATAACTTCTGCCTTCTCTTGATTGCCTTAAGGGGTGGCTTCAATTTTCTCCAGTGCCAATTATCATTAAGAATAGGCAAGGATCAGGAGAAGACGATAAGAAACACCACCGCTGCTTTAAGGCATTTGGCAAAATCCCAGGGCTGATGTATTTGCTCTGTATAGGAATCCCAGTTGTCTCTGGAGAATGGCATTTATAACCCAGGTGCCCCCTCTCCATCTAGTCTGGAAAGAACCCCCTGATCCAAGTCTTGTCCCCATTTGGTGCCCTGAAGGGGGTGGGGATCAGGTCCACCAGGCAGCTACCTAGCTGCACAAACAGGTGGCTACAGATGGCTGGGCAAGAGGCAATAGCAAGCGAGAGCAAATCGGGTGAGGGGGTGGCTGCTGGCAATAATGCCCAGGGAACCCTTGCCCCTGCCCAAACTCACCATTTTCCGAAGGCGCTGCCAAAGCTTTCTCCGGGTTGAAATACGACATGGACGCAGCCAGGAGAAGGAAAGGGCCTTGCCTTAGCATCTTAGGGGTAGTCTGGAATCATGGATCAGGAAGGAGGGGAAGGGAGGCGGGGAGGGGTCTCAAGACGCAGGTGCAGGGGGACGGGGAGAGAAATTGGCTGCCCCAGCAAAGCAGGGGGAGGACAGGCACGATGGGCTTCAGACATCAGAACTGATGGAATGGAGCAGGAGGCAGCAGGAACAATGGTCGCAGCGCCCAAGAGGCTGTGTTGCCCGCATCCTTAAGTTGATGTGTTACCGCTTGGCTCGCCGCTACCTGCCTTTCATTCTCATGGATTGTCTTCCTTCGTTGCCCGCAGAGGAAAAGGAGGGGTGGAAAATAAATGGGGAGGGTGGCAAAGGATATCAAAGGTGAAACAAATGAAAGATTTTTTTGGGGGGGAAGAGGAATTGTAACAATAGGTGATCTCACATGGGGAACAGGAGGGGAAGCAAATGTGTGGGGAAGAGGGAGGGGTGGGGAAGAGGCAAAGAAGGAAACCTAAAAGAGACAACTGAAGGGATAAAGGGAGGAAAGAGAGAAAAAAAGGGGGAAGAGAGAAATGAGGGGGAAGACAGCTGGGTGTTTTCCTCCCCCTCCCCTCAGATCTAGCTCTCTGGGTTGCACTAGCAGAGAAATTGATGGAGAAAAAAGCCCTCCCAACCAGCTGAGGTTGTTGATTGGATGACGGGTGTGTCACTTATACGCTAAAGGGAGGAGGATGCAGGAATGGAGGGAGGGGGGTGTTGTTGCCATAGAGATCTGTTCCTGGGTAGCAGCAGCAACACTGGGCAGTGCAGGAGTGAGAAAGTGATGAAAAAGGGTCTCAGGACAACAATCAGCAGAGACAGGATGGGTGCTTTGTACAGACTGGGATACATCCTCCATATCACCAATCTATAAACACCAATGCAGGAAGCAAATCTTTCCTCTGACACACTCATGCACCCATTTAGAATAGGTCATGCACAATACTTCATGCCTGTAGAAATAGTCTCTCACACTTATTTATTTACAGCACATGACAATCACTTTTTAAATTAATGCTAAGATGCTAGTTAAAACAACAATTCATTTAAAACCAACACCATGAAAATGGAAAACAGCTAATGGGATAATACCATGGCTCCAAAATGAGATAGTAATACTTTTCAGAAGTAGCCCAATGTGATAAAAATAAGCTTCTCTAGATGGGAGAGAAAGAGAGATGATGTAAGGAAGATCAAAGAAGGGGCAGGGGAGAGGCCGCCTCTGAAAAGAACCAACTAGTGGCCAAAGAAAACATGAACTTGACTCTTCTGGTGGCACGGAACCAATGCTACCTATTTATGTCAGATTGATCATAATGCTGGATTCATAGAACACAAATAATCTTTACCTTCACTGCAATGTGTGAGTCCATTGACTTCCCCATCTTCAGACATAACAGAGTGCTAGCTTTGGATGAGAAATAAAAAAAGATGCCAATTGGTGAATTGGGGGTAGAATTTCATGTTCCCTCTAGAATCTCATTCTATGGGATAACTGTGAAAGGGGATGCACCCTGTCATATTAACACCAAATATCTAAATAACAATATTTTTTTTTAAAAAAAATCACACTGTACATCTTCATACAGATCATGGGAATTTCAGAGTTAATCTCCATTGTATGTTTCTTGAATAATTAGGGTGTGTGTCGTGAAGGGGCCAAAATAGCTCAGTTGGTAGGCATATCTATACAATTGAGGCATTACACTATTTTTGTATGGTCCTACTCTAATACTCTTCCATGCAACTTAAAAGTTGCCAAATTTAAGAAACACTGTTCTAAGGAAAATAGCCTTTGGTTTAAACCAGTGGTTCTCAACCTGTGGTCCCGACCCCTTTGGGGGTCGAATGACCCTTTCACAGGGGTCGCCTAAGACCATCGGAAAACACATATTTTCAATGGTCTTAGGAATAATTTGATGGTTGGGGGTCACCACAACATGAGGAACTGTATTAAAGAGTCGCGGCATTAGGAAGGTTGAGAACCACTGGTTTAAACAGACAATAGTTTAAACAATTTGATCTTTTTTCATGTATAGAAATTTCATACAAAAGAAAGAATGTATACCTAACTTGGGTTGACACATTGTGTTAAAGATAGCCATAATGTGGTTTGTTTGCTTGATGGCTTGGGTTATGGAACTCAGCCTGCAGTAATATTTTTTCAAGAAACATACAGGAAATGATATTTTCCCAGAATCATATTTTATTTGTTTATTTCTTCCTACTTGTGACTTTATTACCTCTGAAGATTCTGAATTGCTTCTGCAAAGGAAAAGATTAAAAACAAAAATCAGTTAATGCAATGAAAACCAGTCCATGAATCATTGTTTAGGGTAGCAAGACCTTACTTGTACCTAAATTCCCTTCTTAAGAACCATTGTCAAGTGCAGGAAATCAGAATTACAGGCAGTTCAAGTGAATGCATATAGATTTATTATATACTAATGCTCTTTACAAAAATCTGAATTACTAACAGTCAAAGAGAGTTGGTGGGTAGATAAGAGTTAATGGAATTCAAGGTGGACTGGACTTAGATTTCTTGTAGACAGGAAGACATGTTTATACTTATATCTGTTATCTAGTACATGCTTGACAAAAATAAAATAAATAAGAAGGGACTCGACTGATGACACATTTGACCCTTCCCTCAGGCTCAGCCTGGTCATCTCCTACATCCATGTTTTTATTCCAAAAATGTAATTAAAGTATGAGTGTTCTGGAAATCCTAGGGCCCTGGTGGCGAACCTATGTCACGCATGCCAGAGGTGGCATGCAGAGCCCTCTCTGTGGGCACGCGCGCTGTCACCCCAGCACAGTATGCCATAGGGCGGGTGTTGGCAAGCCATGGGCTCTTTCGTTCCTCTACTGTGGCTCCCTGTGTGGTGATCCCACCACTGGCTGGTCCCGCCCCTCACCCTCCCTCCCCAGTCACCCCAAAGAAGTCTTTGAGGGTTGAACATGAGAGGCATGGATTTCCTCCACCTTATGCGTTCCCAAACTGCACTGAAGCGAACAAAACAGGCCAGGGTCTCCCTCCCTAATCCTCTGCTTGCAAACTCCACCGAGCACCGCTCCAAATATTTGGCTCGCGTGTCCCTCCCGGCCAGCGGCCAGTGAGTGATATCGAGTTGGCCATGCCTACCCAGGTTTTGTGGCTCCCGGTGTTTTCTTTTCTGTGGGAAATGGGTCCAAATGGCTCTTTGAGTGTTTAAGTTGCAGACCCCTGCCACAGGGTTTCCTGCCTGAGAAAGGGTTGGATTAAAAAACCTCCAAGATCTCTTCCAACTCTATTATTCTGACTATTATGGGCGATGTGCTCCCAAGTTGACACATAATAATGGCAATTAATCATTTCTATGATCCCTCAGCAAAGTGACTAACACATTGCTTCTATGCTTGGTTGCCCTGCTCTCCTCCTTTTCCCGGTTAAATTTCCGTGTTGGCAATTTTTGATAAATAAGTGGGTTTTGGGTTGCAGTTTGGGCACTCGGTCTCTAAAAGGTTCGCCATCACTGTCCTAGGGTAAGCTGTTCTCAAGGTGGGGCCATCACTGAAAATCGCAAAGCCCAGGATTTCTGAAGATGTGTTACGTATGGATGTACAGAGCATCCATTTGTATGCCCATCACTGATTGGCTAATCTAGCGGTGAGAAAAATAAACTGCTGTAAGTGGCCAGCAAGACTGCCGGGCTCTTTAAAAAGAGAGCTCGGCAGCCTGCTGTCTCTCTTGCTCCTGATAGTGGCTGGAAATAAAGTGCTGAACAGACTATGGCATCCTGCCTCTTCTATTCACACCCACTATCTAACACTGGCGACGAAGATGGGATTTTTGAAGAGGACAAGAAAGGGGACAAAGAGTATTGACCTTCACCTCGTGGCATCCGCTGCCATCTTCTAGGAAGGAACAATCTTGTCTGGCAAACAACCCCCCAAAAAAGATGACCAGCCAAACCTCTGCCGGACCGGCTATCTATGACCCACAGACGGAGGAATGGTACACCTATATGGGACGATTCCAAATGTTCCTGGAAGCCAGCAACAACCAAGACCTCCCAGACAACAGAAAAAGAGCCCTCTTCCTCACCTACTGTGGCCCAAAAATTTACAAGATGGTTCAGACCCTCGCATCACTGGCAGACATCAAATTGATGATCTGGTCCATGCTGAAGAATATCCCAAGGGACCATTATGCCCCAACAGCAATCCAATGGTGAGTCGAAACGAATTTTACCACCGGCGGCAAAGAGAGGGTGAGACCATCAGTGATTTTGTGGCCAAATTGCGAGAAATTGTGTGAATTCATCAATCTGGAGGAGATGATGAAAGATAGACTCATCTTGGGGATGAGGGACCTGACCCTACAGAAGAAGCTGCTGATTCGGAGCGTAGCCACCTTCAAAGATGTGGTTGAGGAAGCAAGAGCTGCAGAAGCATCTGATAATTCCGCCGACAACATCCAAAAGACCAGCAGAGTGCATCACACCCAATGGGTGCCCGATTGGCCACTGAGGTCTCTGAAAATGACAAAGACTGGGAGGAGGAAAAGGCAGTGAACCGAATATACCCGGAAAGAAGGGTAAGCCAAAGAGACAATGATTTTAAGCAACCCTGTTGCCCAGGGTGCATGGCTTAAGGTCAGAGAAAGAAAGTTACATTGTGAACTGTGGTCCGTACATCAGAATAAGTGAGTTATTACAAATAATAATAATAATAATAATAATAATAATAATAATAATAATAATCCCTACGAGGAGCTCTACCTTGTCATGGTGGAGGGGCTTGCATGCTCTAGTGATCCTAAGGGCTATGCTGAATAGGTGCAACCATATCAGACAGATCTTAGGTGAAGGGCCAGACAAAATTTGCTCCACAACCCATTCAAACATGGTGAATATGAAAAAAATGAAATTTATGCTGGCTGAACTGTCGCCCAAATTAACAAGGGTTCCATTGGATGCTATGGCTCCTGGGCATTCTACATAAAATGAGTTATAGGACTCAGCTCCCTCTGCTAGGCAACCAGGGCATGGAGCTGACAAGCTACTGGAAGAAAAATCCAAAAAGCGAAAAATCTGGACTAGCGAAGAAAACATCTCAGCAAGAAAAAATCATAAAGTACCTGGACTTGCAAATTGAAGTTGAGCACCTGATTGTAATTGGAGCCCTTGGAGCAATACCCAAAGGGCTACCCCGCTATTTAGAAATTCTAAATTTACCGGACTTGAACATTTTGACTCTACAAAAAACCACTTTACTCGGAACAGCTTACATCCTCCAATGATACCTTAACAGTTCCTAGGTCCTTGGTTAGGACTCGAGCTGCTGAGCTATTAACCAGCCTCAAAGGCTGTGAATCTCACTAAAGATTAATAATAATAATAATAATAATAATAATAGTAATAATAATAGTAATAATTTTTTAAAAAGCTACGGACTGGTCAACATTAAAAGAGGGATTTTCCAGGGTGATTCTTTGTCTGCTGTTCATCATCACCATGACCCCTCTGTCAACAGTTTTACAGAAAACTAACCTGGGTTAGCAAACTGCTAAAAATTCACAGAAAATCTCTCACCTGTTGTACATGGATGATTTGAAGTTATACGGAAAATCA